AAAACTCCAACTCTTGCTTAAAAAACTCGCACTTAGAGCCTTTGGTGATGAGCCGGTTCTCCTGTAGCCGCTTAAACACTGTGTCGAGGTCGCGGAGGTGCTGCTCGGGTGTCCTGCTAAAAATCAAAATATCGTCCAAGTAGACGATAACACACTTGTCCAGCAGGTCGCGAAACACCCTGTTCATGGTGCGTTGGAATGTTGATGGCGCATTCGTGAGGCCAAAGGGCATCACGGTGAACTCGTAACTGCCGTAGCGGGTTCGGAAGGCGGTCTTGTGACAGTCGTCGACGAAGACCCTGATCTGGTGGTAACCGCCGCGTAGGTCAATCTTCGAGAAGTAGCGAGCGCCGCGAAGTTGGTCGAGGAGGTCGTCGGTGCGTGGGATGGGATAGCGAGATTTGATGGTAACCCGGTTGAGCGCGCGATAGTCGATGCACATGCGAATGCCGCCGTCCTTCTTCGGTGTGAACAGGATCGGTGCGGCGAAGGGCGAAGTACTGGGTCGGATGAAGCCCTTCTCCAACAGTGACTCAAGTTGACTTCGAAGCTCCGCAAGTTCGGGCTGAGTCAACCGCCACTGTGTACGAACAGTCGGTTGCGCGCCGGGCTCCAGCTAGATTCTGTGGTCCTCGGGGCGTTCGGGTGGTAGTCCAGGTGGCAGGTCGTCGGGGAAGATGTCGGGGTATTGTCGAATCAGCTCCGCTAAATCAGGTGGTACAGCTGCGCACAGCTTCTCGATGTCGTTTCCGTCAGTGTCGGCTGCCAACTCGCGCAAGCATACGGCGAACAGTTGCGCACCCCTGTTGACGTGGCGTGTAATAGTGATGGCTTTGACGCATGTAGACTCGATGCAGTCCGGAGTCCACGCGGGCAGAGTAATCAGCTTCCTATCCTTGCTGATGCTGCACGATCCCGTCGTCCAATCGATTATCGGGTTGTGCCGTCGCAGCCAATCACGCCCAAGGAGCACGTCGCATTTGTCCAACGTCATCGTGAGAAACTTCATGCTGAAGCCGAAATTGTCGCCGCACTCAATCCGCACTGTCCGTGTCTCCTCCAAGATCGCCAAAGGCGTTCTATCCACGAGGCGAGCGTCAATTTCGGGCAGACACCTGTCCAGCTGCAACTTGCATTTTTTTGCTGTCGCCAGATTGAAGAGGCTATGGCTAGCCCCGCCATCGACGAACATTTTTATTTTTTTCTTAACAACCGTGCCAACAACCAGCACAGGGTGATCCACATGTTCACCCCCGTTATTCGTCCGAGTGCGATCGATTGCATGAATCGGAACCACGACTCGGTGGGGATGGTGGGGTTCGGGCGACAGAGCACAGTCAGTAAGGGGCCCGTCTGTTACTGACTCTTCCCGTTTCCCTGCTCTTTCCCGTCGTTCCTCTTTCCCTGCGTCCTGTCGGGGCAGTCTTTATACATGTGGCCTGGGTTCCCGCACTTAAAACACAACCCTGTAAAAGGGCGGTCTGGCGCATGGACTCCGTTAATCGTGGCCCGCTGGGTCTGTCCACGAAATCGGTTTCCCTCCCGAGAACTCGATCTCGCCCACTGCATTAGCGCATCTGTGCTCTCTGTCACGATAATGGGTATGCTTAGGAGCCATAGCTAGGGTTTACCTAGCTAGGCAAGAGAGAAATGAGCAAAGGAGAGTTTGCACTAGCAACAATGGTGGTACAAATAGCTAACCCTAGAAGGGTTGTACTCGCTATAGAGCACCCCACTGCAGGCTAGAGCATAATATTCTGACACACCCCCATAGTCAAAGTGGGGTGTAATCAGCAGAGCAAGCAAAGCAGTACAAGCTCAGGGTGGATCACGATGTCACCACACATTCTGAGCACAAGCAAGAAGCAATAGTTTAAGGTGCACAATTATGAGCAAAGCTAGAGGCAGTCACAGGGGGGCAAGTGAGGATGAAGGGGGGTTGGCGAGAGGAGTGTAGATAGGAGGCGACGACTGAAGCTGCAGACACACGGGCAACAGACGGCTCTGGTGCGACAACGTGGCTACCGGGAATGAGTGCCCCGGAGTACAGGAGTAACAGGCTCCGCGGCTAATATGCGCGGCAGGAGCAACGGACCCACAGGCGACGGCGCAACCGGCTCTCTGAGCTACCGGGAATGAGTGCCCCGGAGTACAGGCGCTGCGTACAACACGACGGCAACCTCCGCTCAACCTCCCCCTGCCAGTCCCACACCCCTCGACACACACCCTCTGCTTCAAACCCTAGCTAGCTCCACTCCCACGGTACCCCCCTTAAACCCCAAACCCTAGGCTCCCACACACCACCCCCCTCAGCGGCAGCTGTAGCAGAGGGAGACTAGGGAGGAGGAGGAGCAGGGGGAGGAACTCACAACCGACACCCCCATAGTCGCCACCCCCACACTCCTCACCCCCAAACCCTAAAACGGGCGGAACGGGGGAAGGAGCGCGGGGGACGGCGAGGGGGACGGCGCGCGGCCCCCAGGACGCCACCACGGGGCAGCGAGGGGCCGCGCGCGGCTCCTTAGGGCGCCGCGCGGGGGCAGCGGGGGGTCGCGCGCGGCTCCCCAGGGCGGCGCGACGGGAAATCGGGGGCCGCGCGCGGCTCCCCAGGGCGTCGCGGCCGTCGACGGGGCAGCGGGGGGTCGCGCGCGGCTCCCCAGGGCGGCGCGACGGCGAATCGGGGCAGCGGGGGGCCGAGTGCGGCTCCCCAGGGCGGCGCGACGGGAAATCGTGGCCGCGGGGGGCCGCGCGCGGCTCCTTAGGACGTCGCAACGAAAGGGGCGGGGGCGCGCGGGGTCCCCCACGGTAGGAAACCGCCGCGCGCCTCGGGGCGCACGGCGGGGAGAAAACCGCCGCACGCCCCGAGCGCGCGGCGGGATGAAAAATCCGTCGCACGCCACGGGGCGTGCGACACAGACAGTAGTAGGAGCAGCGGAAGACTAAGGTGGTGGGGCCCACCCACAGGATCGACCCAACAGGATCGTCCTGCTCTAATACCATGTCACGATAATGGGTATGCTTAGGAGCCATAGCTAGGGTTTACCTAGCTAGGCAAGAGAGAAATGAGCAAAGGAGAGTTTGCACTAGCAACAATGGTGGTACAAATAGCTAACCCTAGAAGGGTTGTACTCGCTATAGAGCACCCCACTGCAGGCTAGAGCATAATATTCTGACACTCTCGGCCAATCGGACGGCTTCGTTGAATGTTGCTGGACGGCTGCGGCGCACCTCGTACTGTATCTCATACTTCAAGCCGCTGATGTATTTATCCAACTATTCAGCTTCCGCCATGTCGTCCACTTGATCCGCGAGCGCCATAAACGACGCCGTGTAGTCTTGAACAGAAGCCAACTGCGACCAGGTACGCAGCTTCATGCGAGCGTGTTCCGAGGCGGATACATGCTCGAAACGCTCTCGTAAGGCTGCGCCCCACTGTTTCACACCGAATATTGATGATGCCCTCCCAATAGCAGAGTCCGAAGTCCCGTCTGCCGCATGTGTCACACCTGTCGGGGTCCCCGTGTCCAAGGTTCGTCGCCACCACTCAAGCGCCGGGCCTCGAAGAAGCAATACTGCGTAATTAATACGCGTGGCGTCGTCGTTGACATTCGCTGCAGTGAAGAACACCTCCACGCCAAACAACCACCCCTTAACTGTAGTATTCTTGTCTGTAGGGTTGAACGGGGGCGGGCTCGTAGGCTTTATCTTGATTGTTGTCACTGCAACTGTTGTCGCTGCCGCTCGCTGCCTATCTTCTTCTTCGAAGCCGCGTGTGAGCTCCTCCAACGGATTGCCGCTCACCGCTTGACCAGTGCTCTCGCCTTCTTCAGCGGGCGACTCCTGGCGCGCTTCACCTCGCGCCTGGCGTAGCTCGTTGTTTTCTTCACGTAGTCTCTCCACTTCTGTCGTTAACGCCTTCATGCCTGCCGACATCTCCGCCACTTGCTGCATCAACGCGTCAAATGCCGCCTGATCCATGAGTCGCAAGCTACGTCTAGTAGGCAAGTGGGTATCCGTGACTATCCGGCAACAGTGCAAGCGCAAAAGCTATCGGAGTCGGGCAAGTTTAATTTAATAAACTTTGCAACCAACCGCTTTGCAGCCCACCGTACCAGTCACACCCGTGCCTCTAAACTACCCTGGAAAAGCGGGGTGAACTAGGAAAGTAGCTCTGATACCAGGTGTTATGAGTTGTCAAACAGAGTTGCGCGGAATAACGAATAACGAGGCTGTGACTCAATGAACTGATCATACAATGAAAGGCATGCGATTATATAGCGAGGCAACCTAGCTAGGCGGGAACCTCGGGAACACGAGGTTGAGTGCAGGTTGGGCAAAGGAAAGCCGAAGGCGACGCGAGGTTGCTTCGGCAGCAAGCAAAGCGGCCGAACGTGCACTTCCGAAAGTTGGGGTTGTACGCGGTTGAGTAAACCCTAGTAAGGAAAAAAAGGGTTTTCCTTACATCATAATTCTTTTCCTAACACTTTGTGTGAGAAGCAATGAAAAATTTGTCGGAAAAAAAAAAACACGGTCAGATTTTCATGCGTAAATTTAGTTCCGCACTGTGGGTTCCAAAACTGTTTGTCGAAACATAAAACTTGGCCCTCATATATCACAGAAAAAGTTATCATACCGTATCATCCTTCAGCCTTTCCGTGTAAAGAGGTTCAAGACATCGCAGAAACTGGTGTCGCGTATTCTTATGGTAGCTTCAAGGCGGCAACTCCTGTGCTATGTGCTGCTCCACAGCCACCCAAGACCATGCAGTTCTCCATCTCTCCACTCCACGCAGCCTTTGAAGAAAAAGATAGAATGGATCGACTAGGTACAAGCATACCGGAAGATTGAACGACGACTCGTCGAACTACTTCTGATGTTGGAGGCCTCTAGTGTAGGCTCGTAGTTTGTTCAAGTTCGATCAAGTTCGGTCGAAGTCGATCGAGGTCGATCACCTCGGGGGATTCAGGACAAAGATAGGCGTGGATTTCAAGCGTGTCATCATGGCCGTCCATCTTTCCACGTCAGCAGTAGCGCTGGCACCACCTCCCTCCTCCGCCACTTCCTCCCCCTTCCCGCGCAACCCCGCACCCGTTCCGCACAATCCCGCTCCTCTTCCGCGCTTACCCGCTCGTTCCCCGCATCTGTCCGACAAGATCGCCGCGCCCCGCCGCTGCCGGTCGTTCTCCTTCCCCGCGCCAGCTTCCGCGCCCCACTCCCGCGCTGCTAGCCGCTGTTGCCCCGCGCATGGATCCGCGGAAGGCGGACCGGGGGAAGCTGGGGTGGAGATACAGAGAGCGGAAGGGTGGGGGACACCTAGAACGGAAGGGAATGCTTGGGTGGGAACACGAGGGGGGGAAGGGGCAGCTGGGTTGAAAATACAGGGAACGGAAGGGGAGCAACAGGAGGAGGAATGGCGGTCACCAAGCGGGGAAGACTCTAGACCCGCCGAAGCTGCTGTCCTTTCCGTGCCACGTGAACGGGGTGTGCTGAGAATGCCTGAAGGTGAAGCATACGTGGGAAGCAGAGCACGCGAGGCTGGAGCTGCTGACCTTTCCCTGCCACGTGATCGGGTAGTGCTGGGAATGCCTGAAGGTGTAGCATACGTGGGAAGCAGAGCACGCGAGGCAGAAACAGTTGAAAATCCACTGCCACGTGATCGGGTGGTGCTGGGAATGCCGGAAGGTGGAATGCACGTGGGAAGCACAGCACGCGAGGAATCGAACGCCATGCTTGCCTGGACTGGCAAGTCCGTTCTGCAGGCTGTGTGCAGTGCGGTGCTGAGCGGTTCGTTGGTTTTGAGTCCACTCCCAGGATTCTTCGACCACCAGCCGTCTGCTTTTGCTGCTTCTGCTGCCACAGGCACTGCTACAGCTGCCACAACCACTTCTGGCGATTCTGGCTATCATGACTTTTTGTTTGAGAATCATATCACTTACAGCACCGTGGATCACGGCAGCATGGAGGGGAGCACACGCAGCATGGCTTCCAGCAGCAGCGGGAGATACACATATGCGTTCAACTGTCAGGATAACATCGTGGCACCATCACTTGCATTCAACGGCCAGGATGACAGCGTACCATCCCTCACCAACACACCCTCCGCCTCTGGAAGCTTTGCTCCCTCCACCATCATTGCTCCCTTCACTACCATTGCTCCCTCCACCAGTTCCCTAGGCAGTTTCCCCCCCACCTCTAGCGTCTCTCCTTCATTCGCCTATTACTCACCTTCTCTTAGCAGTCAGGGAGGCGGGGACTTCCTCTCAGTGTCACCCCCGGTCACGTATACGGCTCTGGCCATGCCTGGGGGAGGAGCACCTGCCGCGTTTCCTTCACTGGAGCAGCTTCTAGCGGAGCAGCTGGCACACAGGTGAGTTGATACTGCTTCCAATGGAAGCTTTTCACCTTCTCTTAGCAGTCAGGGAGGCGCTGATTTCCTCTCAGAGTCACCCCCTGTCGCGTATACGGCTCTGGCCGTGCCGGGAGGGGGAGCAGGTGCCTCGTTTCCTTCATTGGAGCAGCTTTTAGCGGAGCAGTTGGCACAAAGGTGCGTGCCAGTTACCTTGGGGGGAGCTGGGGAGAGGAAGGGAGGGTGGGGGCCGTGGGGGGGAAACAGGTGGGAGCAGCACACGCGTTTCCCCTTCTGGAGCAGCTGGCTCAGAGGTACGGGCGTGGGGAACAGGTGTGGGTGGGGTTCATGTGGGAGGGAGAGGCTGCCCCGTTTCCCTTACTGGGGCAGCTTCTAGCAGAGTATCTGGCTTAACAGGGGGGTAAGTGACTCTGCCCTAGCAGAGTATCTAGCAGAGTGGCTCGGCTCGCACTTCTCAATGACGCACACACGCGGTTCTGTTTTCTCTTTTTTCTCTCTCTCTCCTTCCGTCCTCATGCGGTTACACGCGGTCTGGACAGGTTCATTGTGATGTTGGACAGTGAACTTGTAGGCTTCAAGCACCTTCCGTCTTCCCCCATCCTCTCTCCCCCGCCCCTTCTCCTTCCCGTTGATTTAAACACGGTTCCATGTGGTTTGGACAGGTTCCGTGTGATGTCAGACGGTGAGCTGGTGGGGTTCTTCCAGCAGCTGCTCTCTGCTGCGCGCCACACAGGAGTGGAGGGCGGGCAGCAGCAAAACGGCCAGCAAGGCGTGCAGCAAACTGGTCAGCAGGGGGCAGCACGTGTCGAGGGGTATTCCCAAGGGGAGCAACAGGAACCAGTAACTCAAGATGGGCTTTCCTCTTTCCGGCAGCCTGCCTTTGGTGTCTCAAACACTCCTCCTCCTCCTCCTCCTCCTCCTCCTCCTCCCCCTCCCCCCTTTGAACCACCCTCACAATTCCTGCCACCACCCCCTCCCGCATGGCAACCACTGCCCCTCCCACCACCACCATCACCACTACCAGTGCCACCACCACCACCGCCACTGCCAGTACCAGTACCAGCACCAGCAGTGCCACCACTGTCAGCACCAGCACCAGCAGAAGCACCATCATTAGCAGCGTCAGCGGCAGCAGCATCGCGACCTGCAGTAGAAGCGCCAGAAGGAGTGGCGCCAGCAGCAGCTGTCTCTCAATCTGCTACAGCTATACCAGTTGAGGAGACAGAAGGGCGATTCGAGGAGCAGATAAAAGAAAGCTCAGGAGAACGCTCAGGGGAAGGTTCAGAGGAAAGTTCAGGAGAACTTTCAGGGGAAAGGCTTTCTCTGGATGCCTGGGCAGCAGCAGCAGTGGAGAGGCTTCAGGGGGACCCTACCATCCAGGCGCTTATGGGGGGGTGGAATGAGAGAGGGGAGGAAGGGATTGAGATGAGAGCGGAGGGGAATGGGAGCATAGAGGAAGGGTTAGGAAGTGGCGGAGAGGGCTTAAGCCAAGGAGGGGAGATGCTACAAGGGGATGCGGCTCTGCAAGCACGTATGGAGGGTCAGAATGGGGCAGGTGAGGTAGGGGATGGGAGGGGAGAAGATGGGATGTTGAACGGGGTTGAGAACCAAGGTGCGCAGGTTTTCTCTGCGGTTCAGGGTCAGATAGAGCGGTTCCAGGGTCAGGTAGAGCGGTTGCAGCAGCAGATAGAGCGGTTTCAGCAGCAGGACACCCCGCTTGGGATAAAGGCAGGGAAGGTGGTGGCAGCAGCGGCTGCTCTGGGGTTTACAGTAGCCGCGGGAGTGGTGGCTTTAAGGGTTCCTGAGGGGTGGGAGGAGGAGATGGGCGATGGGAGTTGGAAGAGGGAGAAAGAAGTGGTTGAGAAGGGTGGGAGCTGGTTGGTTGGGGTTGGGGATGCAGGGAGGGGAGATGGGGAGGCGAGGGAGGGGAAGGATGGGAGGGATGGGTGGGATGTGGAGAGGGATGGAAGGGAAGAGAAAGACGGGAAGGAGGAGGAGAAGGACGAGAAGCAGCAACAGCAAGAGGAAAAGCAGAGGCAACAACTGTGGGATGAGACGAGGAAGGAGCAGGAGAAGGGGCAGGAGCAGAGAGGAGTGGGTGGGAAGGCGATGGGAAAAAGAGCAAGGGGAGCAGAGGTGGGGGTAATGGTGGATACAGAGGAGAGCGGTGCTGCTGAGGGCAGGAGAAAGGGAGGGAGAGGGGAGTTGGAAGGGAGTGAAGGTGGTGGTGAGGGGTGGAGAGGAGTGAGGAGGAAAAGGTGGGTGGGGTTGTTGGGTGGTGATGAGGAAGAGGAGGGAGGATGGGAGGGGAGAGGGGTGGCAAGGGGATTCAGTGATAACTTATCAGAGGGTGAGGAGGAGGGTCCGGTTAGACAAACCCCCTATGCTGGTGGTGGTGCTGGTGCTGGTGGTAGTGGTAGTGCTGGTGCTGGTGGTGGTGGCTTTGGTGGTGGTGCTGCTGCTGTCAATGCAGCAGACATCGAAACAGCAGGCATCGCAGCAGCAGGAGACGTTGCAGGGAAAAAATTGGCAGAGGATGCATCAACCAGAGCGACGGGAGCAGACTCTGCAGCAGCTGATACCACGACGAATATCAGCCGGAGCAGCCTTTTGACTCTGCCACCTAGTGGTTCTGACACTGCCCTAGCGCTTCCAACCAGTGGTTCTGAGGCATCCAGTGCGGTTGCTGGTCCTTGGACTGATATGGTGGTGCCTGTGCACACAGACAAGGGGAAGGGCGAAGGAGAGGGGTCTACATCTGCACACATACACACAGGAGGAGATGGGAAGGGAGAGGGTGAGGGAGAAATGGGGGGAGAGGGTGTGGTTGATGTCAAGGGAGAGGGGGAGGGAGAAGGGAAGGGAGAGTGTGAGGGAGAAGGGAAGGGAGATGGTGAGGGGGATGGGAAGGGAGAGGGTGAGGGAGAAGGATTAAGAACGGAAAGTCTGCTAGATGATAGAGTCAGGTTGAATGAAGGGGAGAGAGTGGAAGGTCGTTTGGGTAAAAGGGAACAGGAGGAGATGTTAGGCGAAGGGAGAGAGTTGGGCAGGGAAAAGGATGATGCAGCTTCAGGAGCTGAGAAGCAAGGGATGACAGCAGCAGTAACACAACATGCAGCAGCAGCGGAAGGAGGAGCAGAGACAGCAGAAACAATGGCAGGAGAAGCAACAGAATCAGAAAGTGAAGGGGCAGCGAAAGCAGAAGCAGCAACAGCAGCAGCAGCAGCAGCAGCAAATGGGGGAGTCAGTCCAAATAGGGCCATGGGGGGAGGAATGGACGGTTTCATGGATGTGACACGTGGTGGTGGTGGTGTTGCAGCTGCTGCTGCTGGTGCAGATGATGCTGACCCTGCTGCTGCTGATATTCATGCTGTTGCTTCTGCTGGTGTTGGTAGTGCAGGTAATGTGGCTACAGTGGGTGCTACAATTGGTAGCAAGGAAGCAGCAGAGGAGGAAGCAGCAGGAGCATCAAGCAAGGAGGCAGCAGTGTTTGCAGGGAAGGAGGTAGCAGCAGCAGCAACTGCTCTCTTTGCTGCAGTGGCCATAGCTCGAATCGCCTCTGCTCTCTCAGCCGCTGCTGCTGCTGCTTCTGCTGCTTCTGGCTCTGGTGCCACTACAACTGCCCATGTTCCTATGGCTCCTGCTGCAACTTCCCGTGCTACAGCTGGTGAGGCGCCTCAAAAGGCTGCTTCTGCTGTTTCTGGCTCTGGTTCCACTACAGCTGCCCATGCCCCAATGGCTCCTGTTGCTACTGCCCCTGCTACAGCTCCCGCTACCACAGCTACCCCTGCTCCTGAGGTCCCTCCGCCTGCCACCACTTTGACTAGGGACAAGAGAGGGAGCATGGCAGACAGCTCAATAGCCTCTGCTGCTCCGGCTGCTCCGGCTGCCTCTGCTTCCCCTGCTGCCCCTGCTGCCCCTGCTTCCCCTGCTTCCCCTGCTGCACATGTTCCTCTGTCAGTGAGAGATACACCACATCCCAAAGAAGCAGGAGAGGGCGCTGTGGTAGTAAACATGGCTGTATCAAGAGAGGAGGCTGTGGTCGACAGCAGGGCAGTATCAGGAGAAAGGACAGCAGCCGAAAGCAGGGGTGTAGTAGGGGGGATGGCTGTAGCAAAAGATAGGGTTGTATCAATAGAGGAGGCTGTGGTCGAAAGCACGGCAGTATCAGGAGAAAGGACAGCAGCCGAAAGCAGGGGTGTAGTAGGGGAGAGGGCTGTAGCAGGGGAGAGGGCTGTAGCAGGGGAGAGGGCTGTAGCGGATGGTTGGGCTGCAGCAGGAAGGGAGGTGCCGGATTCAGCAATGGACACTAGTATGGACCGTGTGTTCAGGAGAAACGGGCGGTGGGAGGTGGAGGCATCTGGGGGAGGTAGAACTGGGCGGTTGGATGCAGGGGAAGTAGCTTCTCAAAAAGAAGAGGAGGGGTATGGATGGGAGAGGGGGAGAAGAGGCAGGGAGGCACGATGGAAGGTGGGAGGAGAGATGAGGGAGGTGAGTCAGGGTGATCTGACCAATTTGGAGGTGCAAGATGGGTGGAGGGAGGGAGGAGGACGACGGGAGTGGGGTGATTTAAGGGATGGGGTGGGGAAAGTGGCGGGAGAAAAGAGGAGTGGAGGGGATTTTCATGGGTCGGAGATCGCCGGCTCAAACAGGGTTGCACGTTTGGAAAAGAAGGGCATGCAGGAGGAAGGTCCTTCGAGGAGGAGGCGTGGTTTGCACAGCGGGAAGGAACCAATTTTTCGCGAACATTATTTTGGAAGGAAGGAGGGAGGTTATGTGCGAAAGAGTGCGGATTTGGATGTTATGGAGCATAGAGGAGAAGTGTGGGTGAGAGGGAAGGATGGTGTCTATGAAAAGAAGGATTTCAAGGATGTCGAGTGAAGTGTGATGGTTTCATATCTGTAATTGGTGCTACATCAGAGATTTTTTAGCTTAACAGTCGTTTTCGTTAGTGTATATTCTACAGCTATTTTAGCTTTTTTGTTGGTGGAGCTGAGCCACGACAGCCTCACATTCAGCGTGGCGTAGCGATATTCGCTGCGTGCTCACTCTCCATTCGCCACGTCGTCTCATCCCCATCACGTTTTACTTTTCCGCCTCCGCTGTCCAGATTCTCCTGAGCCAACCTTCTATGCGCCCCGCTTCAAGAACCCCAAGTTCCCAAGGGTCGATTCGGATATTCATTTATCCAACGGTCCAAATTTGCCGTGTGTACGGAGGTGTAGGAAAATATAGGCCCTGTTCGCCACGACCACGCTATAGACAAGGGGCGGGGGATGGGCGAGGGCTCTAGAAGGTGCAAAGGAAGCTGCAAATTACCGGGGGGCTCGCCCTCGACTGAAATTTCGCCAATGGGATCAGGAAGGGGGACAAGGGGATCTAGCGCCTGCCTCCCCCCTTCCTTCAGGGGCAATTTTTTTTCATGGAGGATGAACCTTCGAAATCAGTGGTCTGCACGGGGGAGAGGCGAGGGAAGGGATGGGGTTTCTAGCTGGCAGGGCAGGAAACTGCCATGCGCATTCCGGATCCCCCGCCAATCCCTTTGATGGCCCAGAAATGTGGGTGTTCGCCACGACAGAGAGCCCACCGAGGTTCGGAGGGGATCTTCAGGCTCGACAGGATTTTGTCGGTCTGACCGGCCCTAAAACCCTGATTTCAGCCCTTTTCGAAGGTGCAGGGCGGATTCCGGATTCCCCGCCCATCCCTTTGGAGGCCCAGCAAAGGCGTGGCGAACAGGGCCATAGATTTATCTGCACTTTCTGGCAGTTTCCCCCGGAACCCTAGAACAGAAACTCCTAGAAATAGCTTCCTGGAGTCTAGCTTTTCTGCAAGCCTGTAGTTATTGCTGCCAGTTGTTGCGTAGTCTTTCTGTGCGGCGATCGTCCCAGAATTCGTCAGTGCACGGGAAATCAGCCGTCGTCTAATAACCGATCAGCCGGCAAAGATCATGTCGGCCGTTACGATGCAGACGGCAGCGGCTGTGAAGCCGTCAGCCTTCGTAGGTAGCGCGAGTCTGAAGGCGAGCCAGCACAAGAGACTACAGATGGCCGCGCCCAGGTAGTGTACCTAGCTATTACCTAGGTCGTGTAACGAGGGTGCTAGTGTAACGAGGTTGCTAGTTTATAACGAGGTTTAGACACAGTTGTTTCAGATGTTTTTACCTACAAGTATGTTTAGTCCCGCTGGCACGAGAAGGCGGTGTTTTAGGCATTTGCCCATGAAGCGCACTGGAGCTGATAGCTTAAAGAAGCGTAAGAGAAGCGTAGTGCATACGACCCAGAGCATATGCGTTTTCGGACGTCTCAGAACTGGGTTTACATGCGTTATGGATGTTACGCGGGACATCTGTGATGCCAAGCGCGTAACAAGCGAGGATCTGCGCGTGCATACTGTTTAGTGCTAGTTATCAAGTATCTATGTATGGTTGTACAGTATGTAGATGTTCGTCTTATATTACGCGCGATCTGGCTTCCACGACTCAGGAGTTCCGGTAATTTCTAGTATTGCTGATCTGTGTCCTCTATTTAAGACCTCCCTACTTAGTCCCTCCCCTGGTAACATCCCTCACCTTCATTTCCGTCCCCCCCTCCCTTCTCATCTTCTCCCCTTCCCAACCTGGTACCGTTCTCCGCATGTTCTCTGTCTGCCTTCAGCCGCGCATCCTCCGCCGGCGTTCGGTGCAGCGCCGTCCGCTCGGAGCCCCTTTGGACCCCGAATTCCGCCGCGAACAGCGGCGATATCTGGTCCATCAAGTGAGTCCCTGAGCCTCATCGCATCCATCACACTGTATGAAAAAATGATTCATCTCATAGAATCATAGTGCACAATGCATTGGACATGATGCGTTTGCATAGTGCAAACAGAACGGTCCGATCCTAGTGTTTAGCTTGGAAGAGCTTCTGAGAATCCTCAAAAGCTTGAAAAAGCAGCCAGAGACGGGATTTGTGTATTCGCCGCCCGTGCTTCCGCTCCGCGCTCATCCTTCCGCCCCCGGTTCATCCTTTCCGCCTTTTTCAGCAACCCCCAGCCCCCCTCCCTTCCCCCTCCCTTCCTCCTCTCTCCCCCCTCGCACATCCTTTCCCTCACCATTCCCCCTCGCCAACCGTCACCTTATCCTTCACTCCCCCTATCTTCCCCCAGGAACGATCTGGAAGTGCCGCACAGTCTGTTTATGGGCGCACCGGAGGTGATGGCGGGGCAGGGAGCGCCTCCCCCTATGCTGCAGGAGCGCTTCCAGTCGGTCATCTCCCAGCTCTTCCAAAACGTACGTACGTACGTACGGTTCAGTCGGGCACGTGGCATAGCCCGTCCCGAGTGTTCGTGCGTTTCAGGCGGGTTACTGGGATAGCAACAGTATCCAATACCCCCGCCCGCCCTCATCCCCTTACGTACCCGCACCCCACTATTCGACAGGGCCAACCTCATCGACACACCCCCCTTCTCTCCTCACACGTCCCGCCTTTCCCTTGGCCCGCCCCCCGACCCCCCTCTCCCTCCCCCCCCTCCTCGCCCTTCCCGCCGCTTTTTCCCCGCCATCAGCGCATCATTCGGTGCGGCGGCGCGGTGGACGACGACATGGCGAACCTCATCGTGCCTCCTCCCTCCCCCTAAACCCCCTCTCTCCTCTCACCCCGCTGTTCCCCCGTGTCCCCCATCTCGTCCCCACCAATCAGCGCATCATCCGGTGCGGAGGCGCGGTGGACGACGACATGGCGAACCTCATCGTGGCGCAGCTGCTCTACCTTGACGCCGTCGATCCCACCAAGGTGAGTCAATCGCAGCCGTTGATCTCTTAATCGCATCACTCCCCTTCTCGAACCTCATCGTGGCGCAGCTGCTGTACCTCGACGCCGTTGATCCCACCAAGGTGAGTGCATCGCAGCCGTCAATTTCGCCAACATTACTTCGCCTTCAAATCTCCCAATCCTGTGCTATCCTGAAGCCTCTGTTTCCTCTCGCTCCTTTCACTTCCCCCCGTTCCCCTTCCCCCACCACCCTCCCACGCCTTTCCCCCGCCTCTCTCAACTCAAGGACTACCGGATACGTCAACTCCTCTGTTTCCATCTTTGAGTCGACTCAACACTCCTTTTACGCCTTAAAACTCCCTTCTCCCCAACTTCTCCTCACACCCTCCCCCCTTCCTCATCCCCCGCCCCTCCCATCCCCCTATCTCCCCACCCCCCCTCTCTCCGTCTCCCCTTAAGTGCAGGACATCATCATGTACGTCAACTCGCCGGGAGGCTCCGTGACTGCTGGTGAGTCCTGGGATTAGCGCGAGTGGGTATTGAGAAGAGAGGTGAGTGGTGAACGTGGAGTTGGAGTTGGAGGGGGAGGGGGGGGGGGGGGGGGGGAGTGGTGAGTGGGAAGTGGGTTGAGTGGGAGGGAAGAGTGCACCAGAGGAGGGAGGGCGGGGAAGGTGGCAAGTGGTGGATAGGAGGCTCAACTATGCTGTTGCTGCAGTGGGCGGGACTGCAACTATTGAAGGGCATGAGATGATACGAGCAGGGAGATGATACGAGCAGGGAGATGATATGAACATGAAGCCCCTTTCTCTCAGGCATGGCCGTCTTTGATACCGTGCCCCGCAACCCTTTGACCTTATGCGACACATCCGAGTCTTGAGCGCCTCAACCTCCCCCTCCCTATCTCTCCTTTCCTCTCTTCCCCCTCCCTATCTCTCCTTTCCTCTCTTCCCCCTCCCTATCTCTCCTTTCCTCTCTTCCCCCTCCCTATCTCTCCTTTCCTCTCTTCCCCCTCCCTATCTCTCCTTTCCTCTCTTCCCCCTCCTATCCTCCCTCCCCTTCTCTCCCCCGTTCCTCCCTCTCAGGCATGGCCATCTTTGACACCATGCGCCACATCTGGCCTGACGTCAGCACCATCCAGTCGTCCCATACCCCCTCCCTCGTGCCTCCCCTGTTCCCCCACCCACCTCTTCCTCCACCATCCTCCCCCTCCCAGGCATGGCCATCTTTGACACCATGCGCCACATCCGGCCTGACGTCAGCACCGTGTGTGTCGGCCTTGCTGCCAGGTCAGCGTTGCTACAGAGTGGCATGCTTGCCTTGGCTGGCTGCTGCCCTGTCTCATGTCTGTTACAGAATGGCACACTGGCCTGGTCATGCTTTCTGCTTACCGGCGTGAGCTTGAGTTTACAGAAGTATGTGTTTTTTATTGATCCTGTATTTGTTGTTGTTCCGTTTCCTGTCTTTTTTCCTCTTCTCGTTTTCCTGCCTTTTCATGTATCCACTTCGTGTTTTGCTGTCCATGCGCCTTTCTTGTTTTGCCTGCTTTCCTGTGCAGTATGGGCGCTTTCCTCCTGTCAGCTGGAACAAAAGGTATGCTTTCTCATAGCTCCACGGCCGGCTTAGCATTCCTACTATACCGCCAAAGAAACTTCGTGATTGCAGTGTGCAACCGTAACCTCTCATCATTCCTCTCCAATTGTTTATTGTCAGCGCTTCCCTCTCGAGTTCCCTCCCCCCTCACCCTCCTAAGCATGCGCTACAGCCGCCCTGGCATCTGTAGTAAAGCCCTTTGTGATATATCAGACACTGGGAGGCCTGCAAGCGCATGTACAGCAGCATCTGTCCGCTTTATCTCCGCCCCTTATCTCCTTGTGATGTTATCTCCACCCCCCCTTCCCGCACCCCCATTTCCCCCCCTAATAGGCAAGCACTACAGCCTGTCCAACAGCCGTACTATGATCCATCAGCTGATGGGAGGAGTGCAGGGGCAGCACCTACTCACTGTGTTCCCTCCTCTTACTCCGTCCTGATAATCTTTCTTTCCCTTCCGTTCCCTCCTGCTCCCGTTGTATCAGGCAAGCGCTACAGCCTGCCCAACAGCCGTATTATGATTCATCAGCCGCTGGGAGGGGCGCAGGGGCAGCAGACGGACATTGAGATTCAGGCCAACGAGATTTTGCACCACAAGGCGAACCTGAATGGTTACCTGGCGTACCACACTGGTCAATCGTATGACCAGATCGTTCAGGTGAGCAGGTTGTGTGGTGAGGAGGGAGCAGGTTATTCAGATGAGGGGATTCTTCAGGGAAGGGGGAGGTGGTGTGAGAACGGAGGTTAGCAGCTGGTTCGGAGGGTGGGCAATGGGTGGGGTAGACAGCAGACGGACATTGAGATTCAGGCCAACGAGATTCTGCACCACAAGGCGAACCTGAACGGCTACCTGGCTTACCACACTGGTCAATCCTACGACCAGATTGTTCAGGTAAGAGAGTGGAATTTGTAAGTGAGCAGATTAGTTGGGTAAGAAGGGGGGATTGAGTAACTGGCAATAGGCGTACCTCACTGGTCAATTCTACGACCAGATTGTTCAGGTGAGAGGATTGAGCGGATGAGAGGGTTGTTCAGGTGAGAGGGACCGTTCATGTAAGGAAGTTATTCGGGTGTGGAAGGAAAGGATAGCAGTTTGAGGGTGGGCAGTGGATGGGGCATTTGCAGACAGACATTGTGATTGAAGTGATTTTCTCATCACACGGGGAATTTTTTAGAACTCTAAAAAAATGAACTACCCGGCGTACCACACCGGGCAATCTCTTGACCAGATTGTTCAGGTGAGTGGATTGAGCAGGTAAGGGGGAGGTGGCGTGGGAGCAGTGGGCAGCAGTTGGAAGGTGGGAAGTGGCGCATAGAGTAACGGTTACCTGGCTTACCATTGGCCAATCAGGAAAGTGTTTTTCCAAGTCGAAGGAGTGCAGTGAGGTGATACATGTGAGCGGGTCATGCCGGAGAGAGGCATGTCTAGTTGACTTCTGAGTCGACTCAAAAGTCACCGCGGGTCGTGCTGGTGAGAGGCATGTCTAGTTTTGAGGCGCCTCAAAACTAGACTTTGGGTCGGAGGAGTGCAGGTGAGGTGATACATGTGAACACGCCATGCTGGTGTTGGGATGTGGTGTGGAAGCAAAGTAGCAGTGGAAGAGTGAGGGTGAGAAGTGGGGCATTGAAACATTGAGATTCAGTCCTGCCTGAGTTTGTAACGACTCCAATTTTAACGGTAATCTGGCATACCACATTGATAAATCCACACCTTGATTAGAAAACAATTTAGGTGAGGGGATTGTTTTGAACGTATGCGTAGCCGTTTGGCCCTCCTCCAGCCATATTGATTGACGGCCTTAGCTCATGCCAATGGTGGATTGGATGTCATGAATTCTCCTCCCATTTCTGGCCCTTGCTTTCGTGCTCTCTATCCCATGCTGTTCCTGGCAGGACACGGATCGCGATTTTTTCATGAGTGCAACAGAGGCAAAGGAGTATGGCTTGATTGATGCCGTGATCACCAACCCCCTCAAGGCCCTTAATGCTGCCCCGGTTGCCGCCTAAGCCGCTTGATTAAATAACTTTCGATACTTGTGGTGTAACATGACGTGTTTCACAAACTGTATAGCATCCCATGTCATTGTTGGTTGAAGCTGGTAGTGTGGTGCTTTATGGTTGTATTCGTTGGTAATAGATAGTATTAACTAGTACGGTACGTGAATTGAAGTGCTTTCATTGTTTTGAAAGGCGACCGTTTGCACTAGCATCTGGTGGTCAGGTGACAGCGCGGATCAGCAAACACGCCGTCAAAAGCTCCTAGTAGTCGGTGACGGTGACCGTCACTTCAAGACCTGGCCCAGCCAACCAATGCTTTCGGTCCTTGACGGTCACCGCGTGAGGGCGAGTCAAAGCAGTCGCCTCTTACAACAGGTCGGAATATACTGTAATGCTTTGTGACAATAGCGAATTGGTGACATCAGCAATGATGATGTGCTGGCGTGTATAGTGCGATGGTGTGCTGTAACTGTTTTCAGGTGCTATCAGGTGAGCCTCTGCTGGCGCAGCTGACAGCAGATGTTCACCAACCAATCCACAGCACTCAAAATCCCCGGTACAAGGTCGCGAATAGCAAACGGGCGTATTTCGCACCGCGTTTTCTCCACCTTCATTCGACGTGCGGGGAGGTTGATGGTTCGGAAACTACGCGCTTCGAACCTGAAAGACGTCGTCTTGCAGATTTACCAGCGGGTCGTGGACGTGCAATAGCGACTGCATGGAGCCATCGATCAAAAAGTTTACGCAATCTGAATCGTCCAACTGTTGCGACAGTCGCAACGTCAACCGTGAGCACTTGTCGCGAAAAGCATCGCCACCACCTGTACATTGTTGGGTCACGTGTCTTCTACGTCGAATCTCCCAAGGTCATGCCGTGTCGCATGCGGTTCCACTCACCTACCATAATGGAATGGACGTTTCCGGTCCGGCGCAGGCTACAGTGCCCCCTGATTCCCCTGCGACTCCCTCCTCTTCTCCCCCGTCCCGCCCCTTTTTCCGCCTTCCATACACCCACGCCCCTTATCTTTTCCCCCAACCGACGTTTGAATTCTCCGTGTTTCTCAACCGTGCGCAGGCCTTTCCCCCAAGTGCATTACCGCGCATCAGCCAAGCCAACGGGTCCACGAACAACAGCGCAAAGCGAACCCACAGCCACCGCCACTCTAAGTGCGTTCCCCCTCTCTTCGGTCGTGGGCCTAGGGATCGCCGCCAGCTAAGTGGGAGGTCAAGCCGGGGAGTTCGGAATCCTCCCTTTCCATTCCGCTCCCCCGCTTCCCCCAAATTCTCCCCCGTCTTTACGAGGCAAGAGCATGCCCGCTTTCATGCATCCCCCATCCATCCCAGCACGAAATTATTGGAGCGGCGCGCACACATCTCCCGCCTTCGGTCGGTTCCCCATCCCCTTTTTATTGAGCCATCCGCTCCGCTACCCCCTCGCTTGGACCCCTGTTTGATGCTAGGCCGACCCATCGCCCTCAATTATTTGTGACAGCGACTGGTCATTCGAACCATCGTAGCCGTAGTTTTGATTTGCATTGCTATTCTATTGATCTTCTATCGATCTTCTAACCTCCCTGCTTGGAGGCTCGAGTGCCGAGACGTTGAGTGCTTGGCATTAGTGTTGTCTCCAGCCTTTCACAGTCGAACTGACGTCTTGGCGAACGGATTGACCTCTCTTGTTCCTCATCACACCCATATCCTCCTGAATGGTCTCACTATCCATCCCCATCAACCTCGTCTACCCCTCCGTTAGGACTGTGCAAAACATCAGTAGAGATTAATCCGTTTGTATTTACGTTGTCGAGCACCGAACACGCACCAGTACACGATCCGTAAACGGAACCCATCACCAACCCTAGCACGTGATGGCGACACCTATGATGCAAGCCCGGCTACGAAAGGTGCAGTCAATTGCCAGCAATCAGTCCTGCGCGGACTGCGGTTGCAAGAACCCGCAGTGGGCGTCCGTGACGTATGGCATCTTCTTCTGCCTCGAGTGCTCCGGCACGCACCGCAGCCTCGGCGTCCACCTTAGCTTCGTCCGCTCCGTCATCATGGACTCGTGGAGCGACTCTCAGCTGAAGCGGATGGAAGTTGGAGGAAATTCCGCCTGGAACGATTTCCTTGACCGATATGCCGATGCGACGGAGACGGCGACGATAGCGAAGAAATACGCGTCGCCTGCTGCGCAGTATTACCGGGAAAAGCTCGATGTGCTTGTTGCTGGTCGAGCGTGGACGCCTCCTCCTGGGCTGACTCCGAAGCAAAAGACAGTGGTGAGCATTCCACCCTAATTTTGTCGTGCCTCCAACATCCTTCCATGATCATGTTCGGAATTTCCTGCACACATTCCCCTCATTCTGTCGTTCTTCTGACCTAAATTTTGTAGTACTTTGAAACCGGACTTTTCTAATCACTATGCTAATAATGATTTGTTCACTCTCTCTCATGGTCTTTTCTGTTACAGGCGCGCACGACCCTGCCAGCTGCATCCCGAGCCTCTTCCGCCGCGTCAAGAAACAGCAGAAGATGCACCGCTCCTCCCGCACGAGCCGTTGCCTCACAAAGTTGGGATGACTGGGGCGAGGGCTGGGGTACCGTTGGCGCTAACTCGTGAGACTACCGCCTCGACCTAGCTGTGAATATTAACTATGTACAACCAGGCGATCTGGAAGGGCTGTGCAGTTCTGTACTGGAAGATGTACGATTTTAACTCCACTCGGCCCACGGTGCTCCGAGATGACCGCTGCGGAGCAGTAATGCTCGCAAGCTGAGTCGTGTTCAGTAGGCATGTTCGGAAAATATCTTGTGCATTTGGAATTTCTCTCGCATCTTTTGCTATATCAAGTGATTATTCTTTGATCTTTCAACAAGCATCTGACTGCGACATGGTACATCCTGGTCAGTGGGAAATCCTTATCTATCATGCCTGCGCTGTCGTCCAGCCGTCTCCCCAGTCGTCCCAATGGTCTATTGTGGAAATGTTCATAGACTTGGTTCTCTCCCGAAGCGTACTTGTGGAGCTGGGTGGAGCCTGTAGAACAATGAGCTTCATGATGAGACTACCGGTATTAAAGTAAACGTTGTTTAGAAGCATACACTTCCAGTCGACCATGAAAGCACTTACACTCCGTTGGCGTAGAGGTGGAGGAGAAATCCACTCACGTCCAGCAACTAGTGCGTCTATCTTCTCTCGGTATAATGAAGCTGCTTGAGATTTATATACTTTAGCTTGGTCAGATGGTCTGCTTTCGCCTTGGTATTGATCCAGAAACCTTTTCCACGCTGAATTTCCACCATTCTGCAAACGCAAGTTTCATGAAGCCCTAGAATGCTGAAATACATCGGGGACACACAATCAATGAATATGCTTACCTCCATTCGCGTCACTTGATCTGAACTCCAAGAATCCATGGCAACAGACCTGACAAAACTGATGTGTACGCCCAAGCTACGGTGAACTCCAGAGCACTCTAGGCAAAGAAATATTCCGTAGGTAACGGAGCTCCATTGAGGATTTTTACACCCACAATCGGCACACTCCTTGTTTCCTGGAAGAGTCTGAAGTCGCCTGAGTCTCGTTTGAAGGTCACTACCACCATGACCAGCCATTGCCAGAGATCCTGCAGCACGAAGTTGACTCCGAGTCACAGGAGCTCCCCGTAAGACAAGTGATGATGGGGTACCAACGTCATCCCTCATATGGCTCTCGCTCTACCCTTATTTGCGTGACACCACACGGAGTTGAGAAGTAAAAAAGATGTGGTTTAGAGCGGTATATTAGTTTTGGGTGAGTTTTGTTGCCACGATATACGTTTAGGGCGACGTCAGGTTGTACAACTTTTTGTACGCCCACTACGGTTTACTTCTTTTGAACACGGTGCAGAGCGGTGAACGTCGAAAATTGCTCTCCACCGTTTTGGAACGTTCTGAACCACGATACAAGAACTGTAAACCCATGAGAAATGGTGTTTGGTTGTTGCCCTGCACTAGAATTTCCGAAGGTGACATTCTGGTCCGAGCAGAACGCTCCCCCCACAAATAAGCTAGACCAAACCAGATACAAGCAGGCTCGGCAGTCTTCGATCTGGCAAACTAGGCCGCTGTCGAAGAAACCTAGGCTTCTCGATTACCCCACCAACCACGGTTAGGCAAGCCCCAGCACGGACCATCACATACAGGCCTGGAGTGAGAGCCTCGGCAAACAGAATTCAGGTTGGACACAGAAAAGAGCGGGCATTTTTTCGCTCTGACAAGCAGGTGTGGTGTGGTGTGGTGGTGCGTGCGACACGAAGGGGAAGTCAACAGAGCCATGTACAGTATGTAGGAGAGATCAGTCAGTGTGCGGCCACACCACACGAGAGATTTCGGAAAAGGCGTGACGTCGACACTTCACCGCATTTCCAAGCACAAGGCACTAGCAATCGTCGTCTGTGGGGTGAAATTGAAGAAACTCTTGCGTACGGGGCTATGGAAAATCTGCTTCTTTGTATGCATATCCCGCACAAACGATAGTGCACAGCCCTTGCTTTTTCCCGTGAATCGAGCTTAAATCTGGATCCCGCCAGTCGAAAGCTGCTGGCAGAGGAAATGGAAGAAGTACACGATATCGAAGTGAACGGAAGCGACGAAATTCTGGAGGTTTCACCTTTGAGGGTCTCAGCTATCAAGGCTGAGGAGGAGGAGGAAATGGAGGATGAGGAGGACGAGACGCAGGATGAGGAGCAGAAGCAACAGCAGCAGCAGCAGCAGCAGCAGCAGCAGCTGGCGGCGAAGACGGAACAAACTGTTGATAAAGAGGGGGATTCTAGTACGCGAACGAGAGACGCTGCTCTTGATCACTCCGTTTTCTCCATCCAATCCATCGTTCAGGCATCAGAACCGCTTGCTCGGCCGTCAGATTCGACTGTTAAGGAGACAGAAAACCCCGTCCAGCCGTCAGATTCGACTGTTCACGCGGCAAAATCAGCCGTTCAGTCGTCTGATCCGTCAAGTTTGACTGCTCAGGCGTCAAAATTGACCATACAGCCGTCAGACTCGGCCGTTATAACACCCGATTTCACCAGTGAAGCGTCACACTCTAGAAAAAAGTCGCCACCCGTGCAAACGGGTAGGTTGCAGCAGCAGCTGCGGGCAGTGGAGAGGGAGTTGAACGCGCTGGGGGATGCGCTCGTGGCTCTGAAAGGCGAGAGCGGCAGAGGGATTGGAAGAGCGCGAGGGAGAGGGCTTGGGAGAGGGTCTGGGAGTGGGTCTGGAGGAGGAGGAGCGGCGAAGGGGAAGGGCTTGAAAGTTACCGGTTTTGGATTTGCTGACAGCAGCAGTGGACATGTCGGAAGGGATGAAGATGAAACGAGGGAGAAGAAGAAGGGCGAGGACATGGGCGAGGGTGAAGGTGATGGTGTGGGTGAGGGGGAGAAGGGTGCTGATATCGCTGCTATTGTGGAAGGAGATCGTGACCATATTGCAGTGAAAATAGCTGGCAGCCAGGCAGATAATACTGCAAGGAACCTCCAGCTGGCTTTGACAGAGGAGCGCGTGAAGAGCCTTTTGAAGCTGCGCAGGCAGCTGCAGGCTCAACTGGGGGAGGCTGGACCTGTCGAGAGGTTGGCAGGCAGCCGAGGAGAGGATGGGGGAGGTAGAAGAGGCAGGGGAGAGGGAAGGGGTGGGGATATGGATGGGGGACGGGAAAGTGGAAGGGCTATGGGGAAAGGGAAAGGTAAGGATTTCACGGGGATGGGGGAGGGTATGGTGCGGTTGAGTGGCGGAGAGAGAAGTGCAGGGGGTGAAAGGGGAGAAGGGGAGGGCGCGAGGGAGAATGAGGGAAAGGTGAAGGGGAAGGCGGAGGGGAAAGGGAAGGGGAAGGTGGAGGCGGCAATGCTGATGGATGACGTGGATGATTTTGATTCAGCGCTGGATGGTGCTGCTGCGACTGGATTCGTGGAAACAGTATGTCCAAATGGCTGTTAATCTCAATATTAGTCAAAAATAACGGCGATACGGAATATTGCTCTTGCGCCATTCCTATCCTCCCCCCCCACCCCCCCCTGCTTCTTTCCCTTTTGACACCTGCTTTCCTTATTGTGTGCATTGCTTCCGTCTCAACCATCGCATCTCATCTCTTCTCTCAACCTTCAGGAGCGGGATCGGCTTATTCGTCTGGGTCTCATCACACCTTTCGCCCAGCTCAAGGGCTTTGACAAGGCCGTTCAGTCTGGCCCCTCCCATAAAACCCAGCTTGGGGAAGGAAGCAGCAGGGATGGCGGGATGGAGAGCAGGGCCGAGAGGGAGGGAGAGGGAAACGATCATGGGGGTATATGGAGCAGAGGAGGAGGCGGGGGAGAGGGAGAAGGGGCGGGATCAGGGCAAGGGGATGGGGGAATGCGGGGCAAGAGGCAGACTAAGCTTCTTGGATTGGATGAGGTCCCAAAGGCCCCCGAGCCTTTGAAAGAGTTTGCGAAGATATTAGGAGGGAGGAAGAGGGGAGGGGAGGAAGGACAGAGAGGAGGTGTGGGGGGGAGGAGGAAGAGGAGGAGGGTTGTAAGGAGGCCTCTTCCGGGTAAGGCGTGGAGAGAAGGGAAATGGGATAGGATGGTGGAGGTGGGTGTGGGTGGGGTGGAGGGTGGGGGAGGAGAAGGGAAGATGGAGAGCTGGGATGCTGATGTGGATGATGCTGACGTGGATGCTGATGTGGATGCTGATGTGGATGCTGATGTGGATGCTGATGTGGATGATGCTGACGCTGGTAGTGCGTTTGATGATGAAGATGATGAGGATGACGGTGGTGATGTTGTAGATGATAGTGATGATATTGATGTTGATAGTGACGATGTGATTCTAGAGGGGGGTTTGCGTATACCAGGTTCAGTGTATAATAAGCTGTTTGAGTATCAAAGAACAGGGGTTAAGTGGTTGTGGGAGCTGCATTGTCAGGAGGTAGGGGGGATTCTAGGGGACGAAATGGGCCTTGGAAAGACTGTGCAGGTGGCTGCGTTCCTAGCCTCGCTGCTACGCTCAGGGCTGTACCGCCCGAGCCTGCTGGTCTGCCCTGTCACGCTGCTTCGGCAGTGGCAGAGAGAGGTTCGGGTATGGTGCCCCGAGTTTAATCCAGTGATTCTTCATGACTCTGGGGGAAGGGGAGGGACGGATGGGGAGGAGGCGGAGGAGGAGGGGGAGGGGGGAGAGGAAGAGGGGGAAGGGGGAGGTGGGAGGAAAGGAGGGAAGAAGAAGCAGAAGGGGAAGAAAGGGAGGGGGAGGAAGAAGGGAAGGGCGAAGGAAGAGGAGGAATGGGAGTCTGGAGAGGAAACAGAAGAGTCAGAATGGGATGAGGGGAAGGAGGATGAGGAAGAGGATGAGGAGGAGGATGAGGTGGAGTTTGTGGGAGATGATGAGGGAAGGGAGGAGGGTGATGAGGAGGAGGAAGAAAGGGTGGATGCTTTGTTACGGAGAATGAAGGCCGGGTCGAGAATGAGAGCTGCTAGAGATAGGATGGGAGGAGGAGGAAGAGGAAGAGGAGAAAGAAGGGGAAGTGGAGGAACAGGGGGGGAATTTTTGAAGCAAGAAGACGAGGAGAAGGAGGAAGGAGGTGGAACAAGAAAACGAAGCAGCAAGGGAAGAGGGCAGAGCAAGGGCAGTGGGGTGAAAGGCAATGGGAAAAAGGGTAGTGGGGCCAAGGGCAGTCAGGGCAACAGCAGTGGAATGAAAGAGAGTGGAAGCAAGACCAGGATCAACCGGCAACATCTAGTCTACGAGAAATGGAGAAAGGCTCTTGAATCCGCTGTTGGGGTGACTCTACCCAAGAAACCCTCGTTAGAATCACACCCAGACTCGCCGCTAACCTCCCTCGCGTTAGTCCCCGTACCAGCAGCGTCAGGTTCGGCCCGAGGCAACAGCCTCGTCATCACCACATACGAGCAGGTCCGGTTGCGGCGAGAGCTGTTCCTGGCCGTTGATTGGGGGTACGCGATACTCGACGAGGGCCATCGGATCAGGAACCCCGATGCAGACACCACGATTGCATGCAAGCAGCTGCGCACGCCGCACCGCCTGCTGCTGAGCGGGTCGCCAATTCAGAATCGACTGGACGAGCTTTGGTCTCTCATGGACTTTGTCTACCCGGGCAGGTATGCGGTTACCCCAGATTCAATGCCTGTGCGTTCTCTCCCTGGGGCTCCTGATTGCGTGCAAGCAGCTGCACGCGCCATGCCGCATGCACCGCCTGCTGCTGAGTGGGTCGCCGATTCAGAATGGGATGGACGAGCTCTGGTCATTGGTGGACTTCGTTGAGGCTATGCTTTTCTCATGGCAGGTATGCTTTCTTACTCAGTGTTTCATGAATTGCTGATTCCTTGTCTTCCCCTTTTTCTCCATGATTCTCACACCTTTCCTCCTCCCACCCCAACCAAAGTCTTCCCCCCCACCTTTCACCAACCAACACCCCCGGTCAGGCTGAGCACTCTACCTGTATTCTCAACGGAGTTTGCTCTTTCCATTGCCATTGGCGGATACCTCAATGCCTGAAATCCATCCTCTTCCCCGTTTCCGCCCATCACCCACCCCACCCTTCTTCCTGAAAATCAGGCTCGGCACTCTACCTGTGTTTTCAACGGAGTTTGCTCTCCCCATCGCCATTGGCGGATACCTCAACGCCACCCCGCTTCAGGTAGGTAGGGCTGGTAGAGTGGATGGTGAGTGAGCGAATGCTGTGTTATCAAGGAACAAGGGGTTATCAAGTTTTTAGTGCGGGAGTTTTGGGAGGGAGTTTTGAGGTGTATCCAAACACAACCATCAAGGAGTTGTCACATCCTCAGTGCACGATTTTTGAGACCTCTTTAAACTCAAATCATCAAAGGGTTATTTACGTTCTCATTGCAGGATAACAGAAAGCAGTTCACCACGTGTGGCCTGTGCCATTGTAACGAGGTGACTTCTGAGTCGACTCAAATGCAGTTCACCAAGTTTGGCCTCCTTCCTTCCGTTGCTGCTCCTCTCAACATTACCCCCTTTCAACCCCTTCCCCGTTCTTCTCCGTTCTATTTACTCCCCTTTCCCCACTCCCCCCGTTACCCATCCCCACAGGTCGCCACAGCATACAAGTGTGATGTTGTGCTTCGAGACGCGATCTGCCGTACCGCGATGTTGACATTCCAGTGCCAGAAAATACGAAGGCATATCTCCTGCTGTTGTGAGAAAATACATCTTCCCCCTATTTCCCAACTACAGGTTGCCACGGTATACAAGTGTGCTGTTGTGCTTCGAGACGTGATCTTGCCATACCTCCTCAGGAGAGTTAAGGCCGATGTTGACATCCCTTCAACCCTCTTAACCGCTGCACTGCACCTCCCCACTCCCGACTCACCCATTTTAACTCCTTCCCATCCCCCCAGGTCGCCACGGCTTACAAGTGTGCTGTTGTGCTTCGAGACGTAATCTTACCATACCTACTCCGGAGAGTTAAAGCCGACGTTGACATTCAGCTGCCAGAAAAGACAGAGCGCGTGCTGCTGGTTCCGCTCACTAGATTCCAACGCACGCTGTACCGCGCGTTTCTGCAAAGCGAGGAGATGAGGCAGATCCTGGACCGGTATCGAAACAGCTTATACGGGATCGATGTGCTGAGGAAGATTTGCAATCACCCGGATTTATTGGGGTTAGATGTGGATGAACGGGAGGTGCTGGGAGGGGGAGGGGAAGGGGGAGGGGGAGGTGAGGGGAAGGAAAAGAAGGAGCAAGAGGGTGTGAAGGAGGAGGGAGAAGAAGAGGAGGGGAGGAAGAGGGGGAGGAGACGGGGTGGGAGGGAGCGAGGTGGGAGGGGGGTGGAATGGAGTGACAGAGTGAGAGGGAGTGAGAGAGGGAGTGAGGGAGTGAGGGATGTGGTGGTGGATCCGAGGGAAGGGGGGCGGTGGGAGAAGTGGCGGGCGGCAGTGGTGGAGGAGGAGGGAGGGGAGGGCAGCAACACAAGGAAAAACGACCCTGATTTTGGAAACCCCGACCGAAGCTCCAAGCTGCAAGTGCTGGATAAGGTACAGAGGGTGAGAGCTCCTTGGTTTCCCGGTTTGTCTTTTGAGAATGTGACTTAAGTGACTCAATTTGTGGCGCGGGTTTCGGGAAACCCTGACCGAAGCTCCAAGCTGCAAGTGCTGGATAAGGTACAGAGGGTGAGAGGTCCTTTGTTTCCCAGTTTGTCTTTTGAGAATGTTGAAAAGCGACTGAAGGCAAAAGACATTCCGAGGGCTGAAATCCAAGAATGTTGTCTTTGAGACTGAAGATTGTGATCCTGGTTTTGGGGAGACCCTGACTGAAATGCTGGATAAGGAAAGACATGTGGCTTTTATGTTGAGTTAACAATTAGGACATGGTGTTTCCTCCTCTTCCCCCTGCCATCGTACTGCCCCTCGCCTGCCCCTTCTCCCCTCTTACTCCTCCCCATCCTTCTCCCCCATCCTGCTAACCCCAAACTGGCAGATACTACAAGTGTGGAAATCTGAAGGCCACAGAGCTTTAGTCTTCTGTCAGACGTTGGATATCGTCGAATCCCTCGTGCTCAACCGTAACTTGGGATACAGACGAATGGACGGCAGCACGCCGCCCGGGCTGCGGGCAGCACTCATCGACGAGTTCAACAGCGGGGAGGGCGGCGTGTTTGTCTTCTTGCTGACCACTCGGGTCGGCGGGCTGGGAACGAATCTCACGGGAGCCAATCGGGTCGTGATATTTGATCCTGACTGGAACCCCTCTACGGACCTGCAGGTGAGATGGTTTTGGGTGTGGTGTTGTGCGGTGCAGTATGGTCATGCTTGTCTTGTCCTTATACATCACAGTGAATCTTAATAGAATTGCATGAGACGCTTTTAATATATATATGTATATATATACATATATAAAATCTTATTTTTGATTGTTATTTTCTATTCCTCCTTGCAGGCTCGGGAGAGGGCATGGCGCATAGGGCAGAAGAGGGAGGTGATCATATACAGGCTTGTAACGAGGGGGACTATAGAGGAGAAGGTATTTCACCGCCAGCTGTCCAAGCAGCTGCTCTCGAACCGCGTGCTTAGGGATCCGAAGCAGAAGCGGCTTTTCAAGTCCAAGGATTTAACAGACTTGTTTACGCTAGAAGAGGAGGAGGGGGAGGAGGAGGAGGAGGATAGAGGAGGAGGTAGGGAGGCAGAGAAGGGGAGGGGTAAGCGGAAGGGGAGGGGAAGGGAGAGGGACGGTGGGGGAGGAGGTGGGAGGGGACCGGGGTTGGCGACAGATGTGAGCTTGCGATTGGATAATGCGGATGTGCTGGCGAGTCTGCCTGGGGTAAAAGTGGTGATGGGGGGAGGGGGAGGGGGAGGGGGAGGGGGAGGGGGAGGGGGAGGGACGCAGGAAGCAATGAGAGGAGGAGGTGGGGGAGTAGTTGAAGGGTCAGTGAGTGTAAAGGAGGAAGAGGGTGTGGGGGAAGTGAGGCAAGGCAATGGGACCCTGCTAGGCAGTAGCAACCATCAAGGCATGCAGGGGAGTAGAGGGAGCAGGAATATGGGGAGCACAGGGTGCAGGAATTCAAGGCAGAATGGTGGTAATAGTAACGGGGAACGAGACGAGGCTAAGATTCTTAGGTCTCTCTTTGAATCCAACGGTGTGCAGGCTGCGTTGGACCAGGATACGATCGAACGGCTGGCGTCGGCCGATCGGATCCGCATGGATTGTGAAGCAGCGGCGGTGGCGGCACGGGCAGAAGCAGCTCTCCGCCAATCACAGCGCGACCGAGCCTCCAGCGACGTTTTCGAACCTACCTGGACCGGCAGGTCCGGCCAGGCTGGTGTTCCAGCCCGTGGGGGCCGGAGGAGGTTCGGTTCGGGGAGCACCAATGCTGGTAGCAGGTTCGGGAGTGGACGAGGGGGTGGGGGAGGGGTGAGTGCAGGGATCACAGGCGGCAATGCTTTGTCTTCTAGTGAGCTGGTCCAAAGGCTGAGGCAGAGGCAAGGAATGGTGCAATCTATAGCAAGTGGAGGAGGAGGAGGGGAAGGTAGTAGTGACAGTTTTGCTGCTGGTGGTGGTAATAATGGTGGTGGTGATGGGGGTGGTATTATGACGATAGTTGGGAGAGGTATTGGGCTAGGGGCTCGGTCAAGTGGTCTTGGTATAGGTTTGGCAGGAAGAGGTTCGGATTCAGGCCCGGAAACGGGCTTGGCAGCAGGGGGGACACAGGGTGCCAGTCTGAGCCTACAGCAAAAGCTTGTGTTACTTTTTCAAGAGTTGGGTTCGGCACCAGGCCTGGCCCCAGGCTCGGCAGTAGGCTTGGCAGCATCCAATGCAGTGCACGCTTCGGGAGAGGCCGGCTTGACAGCTTCGGAAATCGTCCGGCAATGTGCAGCGAGGTTCGGAGCAGCTTCAGTGTCAGATGTAGCAGCGTTGAGACAAGCTCTAGGGGCTGTAGCAGAACTAAGACCCTCGGGCGGGGGAAGAGGAGAATCAAAATGGTTCTTAAAAAACACGACATGAGTTTATTCAAAACTCGGTGCCAGGTGTAGCAGCACTGAGATGAGTGCTTGAGGCCGTAGCAGAATTAAGGGCTACTGGTCGGGGTAGAGGAAAGTCTAAAAAGCCATTCTTGATTCCACTCGAATCCCAGTTCGGATGCAGCGGCGTTGAAACGAGCTTATAGGCTGCGGCATAGCTTAGGCCTACAGGCGGAGGAAGGGGAGAGTTGAGTGGCTTAAAAGACAACAATTGAGTCGACTCAAAGCAGTGTCGGATGTTGGCGTTGAGACGAGCTCTAGAGGCTGTGGCAGAACTAAGGGCTACAGGCAGGGGGAGGTGGGGAGAGTCAAAGTGGACACAACTCTTTACACGCCTCACAACCACGACAGTGTTGGACACAGTGTCAAAACGAGAGGCTTTGGGGTGAAAGTATGATTCTTTAAAAGGAACCATGGTACCATTTATATGCCATAAAAGTACAGTACGCCACAGCATGTGGTGGTGCAAAGTACAGTACGCCACAGCATGTGGTGGTGCAAATCATCCATTAACAAACCGGTACATGAACGTACAATTCTGGATAAAACTCTACACTGGTACACGACAAACACCTCCTTCACTAACTCAGAAACTCCGTCCGCAAGCACATGAAACAGCTCATCACAGGCGACCGTCTGCTGATTCCGATTTTGCCAGCTTCTTCCCCCTCCCCCCAACTTTGAGCAGCGAGAAAAACCCCTTCTTGCCCTGTCCATGTGCATGTGCCTGCACCTGTGCCTGTGCGTCAACTGTCTGCCCCCCGCCATATATACCTCCCCCAAACCCGCCTGCACCATACCCCCCTGGCCCGTATCCCACTCCCCCATACGCCCCTCCCCCATACCCCCCTCCCCCATGCACCATCATCCCTCCTCCCTGGTATCCCCCATCCATTCTTCCTCCTGCCCCACCTCCCCCACCTCCTGCCGGAGTGACAGGCACAGACAAGCTCTCCCCCTTTGCCCTGCCACCCCCACTGCCCCCTCCCCCACTGCCTCCCCCACTGCCCCCGCTCCCCTCTATGCTGCTACTGCTACTCACACCAGACGACCCGCTTCCAGAGCTGTACCCCCCTCCGCCTCCCCCTGTCCCCTTTTCCCCCAGAAAAAACCCCCCAGGCGCGCTGCTAGCAAGGGCCTTCCCCGCGCCACTGCTGAGCTCCGCCCCCCCCATCCCCCCCCACTGCGCCAGGCGCGGAAGGTTCACCTCCAGCAGCAGCCTCTGTATCCGAGCCTGCCGCTCAGCCCTGGCAGCGATTTCCGCGGCTTGCTCCGCGGCTGCAGCTTCGGCATCCGCCACCCGATCCTCCTCCTCCTCATTCCAAACCTCCCCCATCCCCCCTGCCTCACCCTCCCCCGCCTCCCCCACCGCTCCCCCGTCTTCCCCCTCCCCCGCCTCCTCCCCTCCTGCCATAACCCGCTCCTTGATTTTGCCCCATTGCTGAAACGTTAGGCTTGCAAGACCCTCCGCCCGCCCCTCCGCCCGCCCCTCCGCTCCCCGCGCCCCACCCTCTTCCCGCGCTCCCCCCGCTGCCTGCGCCCCGCGCGCCCCTTGCGCCTCGCCTTCCGCCTGCCCTTGCGCCTGCAGCGCCGCTGCTCCCCTCCCCCCCGCGCCCTCACGAAACTTGCGCACAGGGCTGCGGGGCAACCCACCTCTGCCCACCTCTCCCCCAGCGCGCGCCTGTCCCTGCGCGCCTAATCCCGCCCCCGCGCGCGCCTGCCCCCCTGCGCCCAGCCCGCACGCGAAGGTTAGCTCTACAGCCGCCTCGTCCCCCGCTTGATACGGAATAAACTCCGGAATCGGCGCCACAATCGGCGCCGCGATCGGCGCAGCCATCGGCGCCGCAATCGGCGGAGCTCCTGCTCCTGCTGCTGCTGCTGCTGCTGCTGTTGATCCTGCTGGTGCAGTACCGTCGTCGTTATGAATCAAGTCGTGTTCGGTTCGCTCGCGAAGCTTCTGCGCCTTGAGGCGACAGAATACCTCGGTGTAACCTTCTGATTCAGATTCCGATTGGCATCGCCGAACCGAGGTAAGCGTCCCCGGACCTGCTCCCAAGCCTGTTTCCGAACCTCTTCCGCACTCCGAGGCTGCCGCCGCGAACCTGTCTTGACCCACGTTCGGCTCATGACGGTAAACTGAATCGAGTCCGCTTGCCGCAGATAACGGGGGGATAACTCTCACTCGGCAAGAACTGGCCTTCACCCCGACTCTTTCCCCCGCTACGAACTCGCCCCCGTTAGTAGCCGTCCCGTTAGTAGCAATCCCGTTAGTAGCCGCAACGTTTGACACGACTGCAGCTTCGGCAGCCTCCAAGGCTCGTTCTAAGGCTTCCGACTCACTTCCAGTCCGTCCGCATATCACGCCGGCCCGCTTGTTCCTCAGCCGCTCCGCTCGTTTTCTCGCCGCGATTTTCGCAAACTCTCGGGTAATCGAACTTTGCTCCTCCTCTTCGCCCTCTCTCTCTCCACCACCGCTTCCTCCGCCACATCCTCCGCCGCCTCCTCCCCCGCCAAATCCGCCGCCAATCCCGGCCCCACGGGTCTCCGTTCCTTCATAAATACCGCCGTTGGTCCCGCTGTTTAGATCCGACGGTTCGCCGCGTTTCACGCCAGGAAGCCCAGAAACGGAATCGGCTTCCTGTCCGCGATACGGAGCGGCACCGGGAGCATCTACAATCATACTGTCGCCTAGTACACGGTCTTTACTTGCCTTAGACCGGGGTATAGGACCTACTAAGTCGTTGCCGCAACCTTCAGGCTTCAAAAAATCTGCAGGGCGGATCTCGTTACAAGCACCCTCGTTATAGTCCAAACCAGGATAAACTCGTCCGTTGAACTTGCCTCCAGGATTGGCCGTTCCAGAGCCCTGCAGGATTCTCCTTCCGTTAGCGCCGCCGTTGACGCTACCGCCGTTAGCGCAAACGATAACGTTAACGTTGACGGAATTGGAAGACGGCGAGGAAGTTTCAGCGGCGAGGCAGGCTCGCCGGAGCGCGTCGTCGAGCGAGTGTTGTGGAGGATGGTAGTCGATTAAGTGCGTGCCGTGCATGTCGTTTAGCAGAGCTTCCATCTCTTACAGCTCCGCTTTTGACACGTCTGGAAAAATTCGCACTAAAAGGCTTACGTTTCAAAAGGTTCGCACTAAAAGGCAGTAATTAAACCAATTGAACGTATTTTGATGCGAGTATCAAGAATTTGCCGTAAGCCATGCTACAAACCACTAACGAAGAAAAAGAAGTCAATGCTTTGACCTAAAACTACTATTTTAATACGCCTATTCTGTCAAGGGCGGTGCGGACTGCGGTGTTCGGCAGTAAGTAAGAGGCGCACACCTATATTGTTCCTTCCAGCCTCAACAACTGACCAATGACCATAGCCTGGTGGAAAATAACACATGAATGGAAGTCCATGAATTGAAGTCCTTTTTAACACGTTCTCTAAGTCCAAAACCGACTGCTATCGTCTCTTCCCTAAGCCCACTGTGACACGTTCCGCGTCCCAAATCGACCTCTACCGTCCCATCCAGACAGCAGCTGCCATTCACAAGCGTCTCAGGATTTTAATGCCACGAACTCCGAGCTAGGCACGTGAGAGAATCGGGAGAATGACTCCAGTGGCCAAAACGGTGATTCACCATCCCTCGCGTGGCCACGAATGACTCGAGTGGCCACCAAATTTGGTGATAATGACTCGAGTGGCCACGCCAGGGGATTCTTGCTGGCTTTTTTTTCACGGCGCATTACCCTAAGGTGATAAAAAAAATAAACCCCATGGCTTACGGCATGCCATTCGGGAGCCTCAACCCTAAAATTTTAGGGTTGAGGCTCCCTCGGATGGCATGCCTTCCGAGTGGGTTTTAGTTTTTTTTCGTGCCCGCGGTCACTAATGTGTTCGCGCATTTATGCCCCCGCAGAGCAGTTTATGATCGCTGATTTTTTTTACCACGCGCTCATTGGTCGTGCATTTTTTACGGTTTTGTGTACAGTGTGTGGGCGAAATTTTCGGGTGCGGAACAGAACGGAACACTACCTAAGGATACCACTCGCACGAATGGGGAATTTCGTGGCTACAAAGCCCCGTAGGGCAATGCGCCAAAGAAAAAAAAGCCAGCAAGAATCCCCTGGCGTGGCCACTCGAGTCATTATCACCAAATTTGGTGGCCACTCGAGTCATTCGTGGCCACGCGAGGGATGGTGAATCACCTTATTGGCCACTGGAGTCATTTTCTCGAGAGAATCCTTACCGTGAAGGAAGGATAAACAAATTAGTAGGGTAGGAAAATGGAGAGAAAGATGCGGGGTGGGTGGGGATTTGCAGCCACGCGGGAGGTTGAGTGTGAAACAAGGCTGTCGAGACAGGTCGAGGAAGAGCGGACAGGACGCCACAGACGCGGGAAAGTGGGTTGGGTTTGTTGTCCCATGCCAAAAGACGTGTGATCCTTAAAACCCTATATCATCGTTCTATAGTGTATCCAAACCACTCTCAAACCCAGCACATCAAATCCCACCGTGCACGAACCCCTGAACTCTGTCAACAACCGGTCTCGGTTGGCCCTCAGCGAAACGAGACGAAATAGGTTCGGTGTTTGCGCGCCACGAAGGTCCGCCGCTTGTCCCCCTGCTGCAATTGGCTGTTTCTTCACCAAAAGGGCCCTGCTCTGCGCCATCCCTTGCGCTGCTCACCCCATCGTGCTGGAGTAGAATCTGCTGACCTGCACAAATCCGCGAAGCTGACCTGTAAAACCCGAGAGATTGGTGTTTGGTCGGGTAGAGCTTCCGGGGCACCGCTTCTTTACGGACCACGAATCAGCGGCGGAAAGAATATGAGAGTTCAGCTCGAATAATCTTGATCGTCGGTTGCCGTAGCCGCCGATTTTCCTCGTCTGAATTTCGACGAATGAGGTTGACCTCAGGTAGCGGCGTCGATTTGACTACAGTTAGTTCCGTCACAGGTTCGTGATCGTGTAGTACTGATCGGAAAGACAAGAGAAATGAACAAGATTCTAAGTCCAGCATGAAACTTCGCCCTTTTACACAAAATGGTGCAAAATGGTGCACAGTTACGACTGCCTGATGCGTTTTGTACATTATCCTTTAGTGTACTTTTCCGTATATAAAAAAAAAAACAAAATAGTGCAAACATTCTACCTGACATTTGTCCATGCCACATTCATGCAGTTCTCATCTCACATTTCCTTCAGCCACTCACCACTTGAGACCAGAAAGTTTGGTTACAAAATACAAGCTTATAGAGTAAGCAGCAATAATACTACTGACAGCTGTTACAAGCAACAATAAAAAAGATAAGGGGAAGGACCACACAAACAAGACAAGCCTTCGAGAGGGTAGCTAGCGAGCCAGTAGGACCAGTGAGCAAGGCGAGAAAAACAAGGAAAACTTCAGAGCTCCAAGAGGGAGGTATGAATAGAGAAAGGTGAGAATGAGGAATGTAGGATGTGCGAGGTGTGGTGGGAGGGAGAGGAAGCAAGGGATGGTGGGGGGAAGCCAATGACATGCCCCCCAAGTTAGAATAAACCAAAATGACTGTCCAGCGGAAAACCCCAGCTGCACTGGGCTCCGGATTAACCCTTTTCCAGCAACTACGATTGAGACCGTTGCTGCTGATGCTGCTGCTGCTTCACTTCCTGCCATGGCACAACCATACTGCACCATTCAACACAGCACCACACCACACCTCACTTCACTCAACCACCCCTCAAGAAATCACCCCTCAATATACTCTCTCCCAAAAAACTATCCTTCAACCCCCCCTCAGTTCACCCCCCCTCAATCCATCCCGCGTCAATACACCCACCTCCTCAATACGCCACCACCCCTCAATAAACCACCACCCCCAGCAGCACATCTCTAGCAGCAGCAAGCACCTCACTCGTCACGGACCACAGCCGAACCTTCCTCAGCCTCGGCAGCCCCCGAACCTGCCTCAGCCCGAGCGGGGTCACGTTCGGGCCGCTCAGGTGTAGCTCCTCCAGCCAATCGTACCCCGCCAGCTGGCAAAGCCCCTCATCAGACACACCCGACCAGGAGAGGTTGAGGGAAGTGAGGGAGGAGGCTAGGGGGCGGAGGTGGGCCAAACCTAGGTTCCCCACGGGGCACTGGGAGAGATCGAGGCGACGAAGGGTCCGGATTTGCCCGATGTGTTCCATGCCTGAGGAGGTTAGGTTCGGGCACCGCCACATCCGAAGCTCCTGCAGGCCCGGGGTAGGGGGCGTGCTGGTGCTGGTGCTGGTGATGCTAGTGCTGCTGGTGGTACTGTCTGTGCTGCTGTCACCGGTGCCACTAGCACTGGTGGAAGCACCACACGAAAGGGAACCACTACCACCGCCGGCGCTTAGCTGAGAAAGATGCACTAGAGCAGCGTCAGTGACAGCAGCACCAGAGATATCCAACACTCGCAGCCGGCTCATCCGCCCTATAGCCTCCAAGCCTGCATCGCTCAGCTTGCATCCGTCAAGACAGAGATCTTCTAGCCAAGGCATGCCCTCACACACACAGAGCACCCCCTCCTCCCCCACCCGCACGCAGTTGGAGAGGTCGAGCTTGCGCAGAGACGTTAGAGGGACTAGATGACGGAGAACGCCGCCCTTTGGGGGAACAGCCCCGGGCTGTTCAACCGTCCTGCTGCTGCTGCTGGTAGCGGTGCTGGTGGTGCTGCGTTTACCACTGCTGGTGCTGGTGTTGCTGCTCCTGCTGCCTTTGATGCTACTGCTGCTGCTGCTGCTGCTGCTGCCCAGATGCGGTTGGTCCATCTGCAGGAACCCAAACCATGAGCTTCCTGTTGCAAACGCCCCTAGCTGCTCCATTATCGTGCCCTTACCCGCCTCCTCCCCTCCCTCCTCCCCTCCGTCCTTCCCTCCCTTCCTCCCCTTCCCCTTCTCTTCCACCCCCAGCTGCTCGCACCCACTAAGAACCAACTCGTTTAGAGAAAAAGCCAGGGCTTTAAGTGAAACGAGGCCCTCGCCTGTGATTCTGGTGAAGCTCAGGTCGAGGGCTTGGAGCCGGGAGAGGTGTGCAATGTGGTGCAGAGCGGTGTCGGTGAGTCGGGAGCAGCCCACTAGATGCAGGCGGAGGAGTGAGCGAGAGGCAGGGGCAGGGGGAGGGGGGCGTGGGATGAATGGAGAGGAAGGTTCCGCGGAAGGTTCTGAGGAAGGAGATGGTGTGTGGGGTACCGGGAGTGTCCATGTGTGCGTTGTTGGTGCACCTTTCTGCTCCAAGCCCTGTTTCTCTGCAGCACTTGTTTTTTCTGAGGCACGCTGATTCTCTGCTGTTTGCTGCCTCTCTGCAACAGTCTGCTGCTGGTCTATACCAGCAGTAGGTTCAGCAGCAGCAACAGGTTCCGTGGCAGCAGCAGGTTCTGCAGCGGCAGCTTCAGTGGCAGCAGCAAGTTCGGCAGCAGAAGCTTCAGTGGCAGCAGCAGACTCAGCAGCAGAAGCAGGCTTGCCAGTCTCAGGGGTTTCCAAGCCTGCAGGTTCGGTGGCTGCTGCAGCAGCTGACCCGTCACAAGAGGAAGGCTCCTCTGTGCCAGCAGAAGCTTCCTCAGAACCAGCCGCGTTGTTACCATCGGCGCCAGTGGTGCTGGCACTGGGCGCAGAAGCTGCAGCAGCGGAACCAGCAGCATCAGCTGCACCCGCACCAGCAGCATCAGCTGCACCCGCACCAGCAGCATCAGCTGCACCCGCACCAGCAGATGACGCAGCAGCAGCGGCACCAGCATCAGTACCAGGACCAGTACCAGCGGCAGCAGCAACAGGTGCAACAACGCCTGAAGCAGCAGCAGTACCAGCAGCAGCTGCAGCGTCGTCATCATCACTGTCTTCCCCAACAAAACGCGCCAAAGCCTCACGAGCGATAGAGCCTGGAGACCTAAGTCTAGGCTTACCCCCTGCCGCCCCTGCTTCCCCTGCTGTCCCTTCTGCACCTCCTGCTCCTGCTGTGACTGATGCTGTTGCTACAGCTGGGGTAGCTGCAGCAGCAGGAGTAGCAACATTACTCACGCCTGCCGAAGCTACTCCTCTTCCTGCAACAGCTGCTTCTGCCCTTACCCCTGCTGCTCCCAAAGCAGCAGCAGTTGCTGCTGCCTCTGCTTCAGCCTCTGCTGCTGCTCGAGCCAGCGCCGCTCGCGCCCTCTCCTTCCCAACAGTTAGAGCCTCAGACACCACAAGACACGCAATCCCCTCATCAGTCACCCGTGTATGCGACACATCTAAACTCTTCAACCCCCCCATCTGCCCAATCCTCTCCATACCTCTATCATTCAGTGCCGTCCCTGAAAGCCCTAACTCCTCTAACCAGCTCATCTCGCGACACACCCTCTCCAGCCCCCTCTCCCCAATCCCCAGACACACCCCCAGGTCTAATTTCCTTAGCCGCTTCAGCTTCACTATCCACTGTACACTCACATCGGTTACCAGGTTACACTCGCTGAGATCCAACTCCCTCAGCATCACCAGAGGCTCGAGACACCTCAGCCCAGCGTCCCCTACAGGCGTGTAGCTCAGGTCAAGCGAGTGAACGGTAGTCAACCGTCCAATCTGTAACACCCCCTCGGTGGTTACCCCAGTGCATCCCCGCAGGTGCAGGCCGGACAAGCCGGGGAGAGCTATGGCGTGGCGGAGGGAGGAAGCAGTGAGGGACTTGCAGGAGGAGTCTGAGGAGCCAAAGCGGAGGGCGGAGATGGAGGAGAGGATGGGAGGGGGGAGCAGCTGGGCTAGGAGGAGGAATTGCTCGAAGTCTTTGTCTGTTGTGTTGGGGAGGCGGGTGAAGTCTACAGTGTGCTTGATGTTGGTGTGAGAGAGGATTATGCTGGTGCCTGTGCTGGTGCTGGTGCTAGGGCCGCTGGCGCTGCTGCTGCTGCTGGTGCACTTGCCACTGCTGCTGCTGGTGCACTTGCCACTGCTGCTGCTTGTGCTGCCAGTGCTGCTGCAGGAGCTGTCCGGGGCTGTGGTTGATGCTGCAGTTGAGACTACAACAGCGGCTCCTCCTTCATTCTCAGCAGCAGTCGCCTCTTTGTCATGAGTTAAGCTGGGTCCCTCACTCTGCTTCTCGTCTCCCGCATTCGCACCTGCCTCTCCTGCTCCTGCTCCTGCTCCTGCTCCTGCCGCTGTGGTTGAGTCTGCAACAGCGGCTTCTCCTCCATCCTTAGCAGCAGTCGCCTCTTCATCAGGAGTCGATTCGGGCCCCTCCTGACACTGCCTCTCGTCTCCTGCCTCTGCACCTGCTTCTCCTGCAGCTCCTGCTGCAGATCCTTCCGCTTTTCCTTCTGCTGTTCCTGCTCCTGCTCCTCCTACCCCTGCCACTTTTCCACTCCCACTTCCTGTGGCTGTGCCGATTCTTGTACCTGTGCCCGTGCCTGTGCCTGCTCCTCCCACTGTTGCTCCTCCTGCTGCGCTCCCACCAGCACCCTTCATGCCCTCCCACTTCCTTCTCAGCTCCTGCACAGCCAATGCACGCTCCTGCTGCTGCTCTTCCTTTTGAGGCACCACCGCGGCAGTCTCTTGCTGCTGCTGCTGCTGCTGCTGCTGCTGCTGCACCTCTCTCCGACCTTCACTCTCCACCCTCTCTCTGCACACCCTTTCCAGATCAGCCAATTGCCTGGCATGCTGCCTCTGCGTCAGCTCAAGAGTTGCAGCCGCGTTTGCTTTCTCCCGCCAGATTCTTTCGAGCGCAGCCAGTTGCCTAGCGTGCTGCGCCTGAGCCAGCTCAACAGCCGCAGCAGCATCAGCCCTCTCCCTACACACCCTCTCAAGCTCAGCCAACTGCCTGGCGTGCTGCTCCTGCGTCAGCTCAAGAGTTACTGCTGCAGCAGCAGCCTCTGCTTTCTCTCTGCACACCCTCTCCAGCACAGCTAGCTGCTGCGCATGCTGCTTCTGAGTCAACTCCAGAGCATCCACTCTCGCCATACACTCCCTGCTCTCGTTACAAGCACTAATCGACGTCTGGGTCGACTCATTAACTGCAGAAGCGTCTGACTCAAGAGTCACAGCAGCATTGGATTTCTCCTGACACGCCTTTTCTTCACAACCCCTAGCTGTCACCTCCGTAGACTCAAATACCGCAGCAGCATCTGCCATCACCTTGCACGCTTTTTCCAGCACAGCCACTTGCCTCGCCTGCTCCCCTGGAGAAGTTGACTCAACAGTCACAACAGCATTGGCTTTCTCCTGACACGCCCTCTTGTCATAACTCCTAGCAGACACCTCCCCAGACTCAAAAATTGCAGCAGCATCTGTCATCACCTTGCAGGCCCTCTCCAACACAGCCACTTGCCTCGCTTGCTCCCCTGGAGTCGACTCAAGAGTCACTGCAACACTGCCTTTCTCCTGACACGCCCTCTCTTCACAACCCCTAGCAGACACCTCTGCAGACTCAAAAATCGCAGCAGCATCTGCCATCACCTTGCACGCCCTTTCAATCAAAGCCACTTGCCGTGCCTGCTCCTCTGGAGTCGACTCAGCAGTCACAACAGCACCGGCTTTTTCCCGACACTCCCTTTCGACCAAGCCCTCCTGCCTCGCCTGCTCCTCTAGAGTCGACTCAGGAGTCACAGCAGCATTGGCTTCTTCCTGATATTCCTTCGCAAGCAGGCCCTCCTGCCTCGCCTGCTCCTCTGATGCCACCTCACGAGTCACAGCAGCAGCACCGGCTTTCTCTTGCTCTTTCTCCTTCTCTCGGCACGCCCTTTCAAGAAGAGCCAGCTGCCTGGCGTTCTCCTCGAGCGACCGCTGCAGCTGCAGCAGCTGTGCCTGCTGTTCCTGGGCCTTGGCACGCAGTACCTCCACTTGGGCTGATATGTCTTCAGGCGTTTCAAGAGAGATCTGCCGTTCTACCTCTTGATCAGTTGACTGGGAAGGCGCTTGCTGCTCCTGGGCCTGGGCACGTAGCAGCTGCTCCACTTGCACTGTCAAGTCCTGGGGTGTTTCAGGAGTGAACTGCGGTTGCAGCTCTTGCTGAGTTGACTGAGAAGGCTCTTCTTGCTCCTGGGCCTTGGCACGCAGCTGCTCCACTTGTGCTGTCAAATCCTGGGGCGTTTCAAGAGAGGTCTCTGGCAGCAGCTCTTGAGGCGAGTCAGAAGGCTGCTGCTCCTGGGCCTGGGCACGCAGCTGCTCTACTTGGGCCGATAAGTCCTGGGGTGTTTCAGGAGTGCTCTGCGCCTGCAGCTCTTGCTGCGCTTGCTGCTCCTGAGCCTGGGCACGTAGCAGCTCCTCCACTTGCGCTGTCAAGTCCTGGGGTGTTTCAGGAGTGATCTGCGGCTGCAGCTCTTGCTGCGCTTGCTGCTCCTGGGCCTGGGCACGTAGCAGCTCCTCCACTTGCGCTGTCAAGTCCTGGGGTGTTTCAGGAGTGATCTGCGGCTGCAGCGCTTGCTGCGCTTGCTGCTCCTGGGCCTGGGCACGTAGCAGCTCCTCCACTTGCGCTGTCAAGTCCTGGGGTGTTTCAGGAGTGATCTGCGGCTGCAGCTCTTGCTGCGCTTGCTGCTCCTGGGCCTGGGCACGTAGCAGCTCCTCCACTTGCGCTGTCAAGTCCTGGGGTGTTTCAGGAGTGATCTGCGGCTGCAGCTCTTGCTGCGCTTGCTGCTCCTGGGCCTGGGCACGTAGCAGCTCCTCCACTTGCGCTGTCAAGTCCTGGGGTGTTTCAGGAGTGATCTGCGGCTGCAGCTCTTGCTGCGCTTGCTGCTCCTGGGCCTGGGCACGTAGCAGCTCCTCCACTTGCGCTGTCAAGTCCTGGGGTGTTTCAGGAGTGATCTGCAGTTGCAGCTCTTGCTGAGTTGACTCGCAAGGCGCCTGCTGCTCCTGGGACTTGCTGCGTGGCAGCTCCTCCACCTGAGCTGACAAGCCCTGGGGTGTTTCAGGAGTGCTCTGCTGCTGCAGCTCTTGCTGCGCTTGCTGCTCCTGGGCCTGAGCACGTAGCAGCTCCTCCACTTGCGCTGTCAAGTCCTGCGGTGTTTCAGGAGTGCTCTGCAGCGGCAGCTCTTGAGGCGAGTCAGAAGGAACTTGAGTTGACTCAGAAGGCTGTTGAGTTGACTCAGAAGGTTCTTTGGTTGACTCAGAAGGCTCTTGGGTTGACTCAGAACGAACTTGAGTTGACTCGGAAGGAACTTGAGTTGACTCAGAGGGCTCTTGCTCCTGGGAGTCTTTGCATAGCAACTCCACCTGGCTTGCTATGGATGCAGCTAGGGAAGTTGCTCCTGCTGTTCCTGCTTCTGTTGCTTCTGCCGCTCCTGCTTCTGCAGTTACTGTCGCTCCTGCTGCTTCTACTTCTGCTGCTGCTGTTGCCTCTGCTGCTCCTGCTGGTCCTGGTGCTGTTATTGCTCCTGCTGCAGCTGTTTCTCCTGCTGTTCCTTTTTCTATTGGTTCTGTTGCTCCTGCTTCTGCGGTTACTGTTGCTCCTGCTGCTTCTGCTTCTGCTGCTGCCTCTGCTGCTTCTGCTGTCTCTGTTACTGGCGACTCTTGAGTCGACTCTGGAGTTTCCTGCTCCTGAGTAGACGCTTGGCCTGCTGCTGCTGCTTCTGTTGCTGCGGCTGCTGCTGATGCTGATGCCGACTTCTGAGGCAATTCAAATTTCGCCACATCCCGGGGCGTAGGGCACAGGAGGTCCAACTGGCTTGCTGCTGCTGCTACTGCTGCTGCTGATGGCGACTCTAAATGTAACTCATAATCCCTTACATCCCCCGTTGTAGGGCACAGGAGATCCATCTGGCTTGATGCAAAAGTCACAGAAGGGACGGGAGTTACAGACGCCGATGCAGCTGCTGCTGCTACAGACGTTGCTGCCGGTTTTGGTGATGGCAGTGGTGGTGCTGCTACGAACACTTCTGCTGGAGTTGTTGCTGCTGCATCTACAGACACTGATGGTGCTGTTGTTGTTGTTGCTGCCTCTGCTGTTGGTGCAGGTGATTTAACCTGCCCCTGCTGCTGGTGCTGATACTTCAACTGCTGCCTCGGCAACAGATGATTCAACTGCTGTCTCTGCTGCTGGTGTGGCTGTTTTAACTGCCTCTTCTGCTGTCAGTGCAGCTGATTCAACTGCCGCCGGTACTGTTGGTGCAGGCGATTCAACTGCTGCCTCAGCAACAGATATTTCAACTGCTGTCTCTGCTGTTAGTGCAGGTGATTCAACCGCAGCCTCTGCTGCTGGTGCTGATAATTCAGCTTCTACCTCTGCTGTCGTGGCAGGTGATGCTGTTGCTGCAGGCTCTGCTGCCGTTGCTGCTGGTTCCGCTGTCATTGCTAGTGCTGGTGGTGCTTCTGATGAATCAACTGCTCCTTCTGCTGCTGGTGCTGATAATTCAGCTTCTGCCTCTGCTGTTGCAGCAGGTGATGCTGTCGTGGCAGGTGATGCTGTCGTGGCAGGTGATGCTGTCGTTGCAGGCTCTGCTGCCGTTGCTGCTGGTTCCGCTGTCACTGCTGGTGCTGGTGGTGCTTCTGATGCTGCTTCTGCTGCTGCTTCTGTTGTTGAATCTGCTTCTGCTGCCCCTGCGTCTGCCACTGGTGCTTCTGCTGCCCCTGCGTCTGCCACTGCCGTTTCTGCTGCCTCTGCTTCTGCCCCTGCTGCTTCTGCTGCAGATATGGAAGACACACATGGAGCCTCCCCTCTCACCGAAGCCCCCACCTCGTCCCCTCCCTCCTTCACTGTCGCCTGTGTTGAAGATGCTACTTCTGCTGCTGCTGAGTCTGCTTCTGCCACTGCTGCTTCTCCTGCCCACGCTGCTGCTGCTGCTGCTGAGTCTGCTTCTCCTGCCGCTGCTGCTGCTGCTGCTGCTGCATCTGCTTCTCCTGCCCCCGCTGCTGCTGCTGCGTCTGCTTCTCCTGCCCCCGCTGCTGCTGCCGCGTCTGCTTCTCCTGCCCCCGCTGCTGCTGCTGCATCTGCTTCTCCAGGCCCTGCTCCTGCCTCTGCTACCACGTCTGTTTCTGCTGCTGCTGCTTCTGCTGCTGTTGCGTCTGCCTCTTCTTCTGCCCCTGTTGCTCCTGCCTCTGCTACCACGACTGCCTCTGCCACTGCTGCCGCTTCTGCTGCAGCTACAGCTGTTACACAGCGAGCGTCCCCTCCCACCTTCTCCCCCACCTCCTTCATCATCGCATCAACACACGCAACATTCCACCCCGCCTGCTGAGCCAAAACCCCCTCCATCCGCGCTTTCATTGCCACCAGCGCATCAATCTCCGCGTTTCTTCCCACCAGCTGCTCCAAAACCCCCTCCATGCGCGCTTTCCACCCCACCAGCGCCTCTATTTCCGCGTTTCTCCCAACCTGTTGCTCCAACACCCCCCGCACCCGCGCAGCCAGCGCCGCCATCACCTCCTGCACCTGCTTCAGCATACTGTCAAAATCTGCCGCTCGCACCGCCAGCTGTCCCACCCGCTGGACGCCAAATTCCGCTATCCGCTGCATTCCCTGCACGCGCCTCTCAAACCGTACCTCCTGCTCTGCCAGCTGCTGCTGCACCCACCCTCTGTCCGCCACTGCTGCTGCTGCTGCCTCTTCTCCTGCCTCCGCCCCTGCCTCTTCCCCTTCAAATGCCCCTTCCTCTGATTTTGACGTTGCCCCTGCCACTGCCCCTTGCACTGCCCCCCGTTCCGCCCCTGCACTAGTCCCTCCTGCTGCTGCTCCTGCTGCCCCTGCTGCTGCTTTCACAGCTGCAAGAATCGCAGCGCCCTCTTCAGCCTGCTTATGCGCCTTCTCCAGAGCCACACTCGCCATTCGTTGCAGGGCCTCCATGCGCCACCGCACCTTCACCTCCTGCTCCGCCAGCTGCTGCTGCACCCACCCCCTGTCCGCCACAATCGCAGCTGCAGCCTCCGCTGCTGCTGTGATAGTCTTAGGACCTCCGGGGGAGGTGAATACGCCTCCTCCTACGGATGCAGCACGAGGGAACGCAGCGTGGGTGACTGCAACCGCGGCTGACGCTGCTGACGCGGCTGAGGCTGCTGCTGACGTGGTCTGCGCCTGCTTCAGCTCCAGCGCTGATATTTTGTCAGTCAGTTGTTGGATTGTGGATGCCACGTCAGCGGCTGCCGCGTCAGCCTTCTGCTGTTGCTCTTCCAGGAGCTTCTGCAGGTGCTCCACCTTCTTGGAAGGTTCGTCCAAAGCAGCTGCTGCTGCTGGCTCTTGCAGGTTCTCCACCTTCTTGGAAGCTTCGTTCAAAGCTGCTGCTGCCGGCTCCTGCTTCTTGGAAGGTACGTCCAAGGCTGTTGCTGCTCCGGCTGCTGCTGCTGCTGCTGCTGCTGCTGCTGCTGCTGCACCACACCAGCCGCTGCCAGCTCAGCTGCAATCAAAGATCTGATCTCCTCCTCGGATTTGATTCCGTGCATCTGGTCCTTCCCACCCTTGGCAATTTCTGCTGCCACCCGAGCCACTTCTTGACCAATCAGCACCACCTCCTCTAGGCACTTAACCTCCTCCTTCCTTCCCTCTTGTTCCTTAACACCCGCAGCTATTGCTGCTCCCACACTCGCCACCTCTCGACCAATCAGAACCACATGCTCCAGGAGTCCACTCCCCTGCTCCGCCCCGTCGCTTCCTAAACCGGATTTTGCGAACCTGACCGATTTCACCTGTTCTGCAACCTCCTTGCTGATTTCCAACACCACCCTCCCCACCTCTGCAGCTTGCCTTCCCACTGCGTCCACCTCTCTTTTCAACTCGCTCACACTCCCCTCCGCACTGCCCTCCAGCCTCCCCACTCGTACCTGCTCTGCAACTGCCTTGCTGATTTCCAGGACCACTCTTCCCACCTCTGCAGCTTGCCTTCCGACTTCCTCCACCTTCTCCCTCAGCTCCCTCACACTCTCCTCCACACTCCCCTCCAGCCTCCCCACTCGCTCCTCCAAACTCCCCTCTACTCGTGTAGCTCCCTCCTCCGTACTGACTTGGACTTTCCTTATCCCCTCCTCCACACTCGATTCTGATTCTTTCACCCCCTCCTCAATACCCCTCTCCGCTTCCCCCACCTTCTCCACACTCTCCTCCACCTTTCTCGCTCTCTCCCCCACACTCTCCTCTACCTTTCTCACTCGCTCCTCCACACTCTCCTCTACCTTCTTCACCCTCTCTTCCAATTTCTCTTCAATCTCTTTCACTCGCTCCTCAACACTACCTGCCACCTCTCCCACTCTCTCCTGCACACCCTTCTCTTCAAGTCTCTCCACCTCCTTAACCACCTCCTCCAGATTCCTCACTCCCGCCATCACACTCTCCTCTACCCTCTTTGCTCTCTCCTCCAAACTCTCTTCTAATTTCATCACCTTCTCTCCCACACTCTCCTCTAGCTTCCTCACTCTCTCCCCCACACTCTCCTCCAATTTCCTCACACTCTCCTCCACCTTCCCCACCCTCTCCCCCACATTCTCCTCAACCCTCTTCACTTTCCTCTCCGCCTCCTCCATCACCCTCTCCTGCCCCTCCGCCTGCTCCCTCACGCGCCTATCCACCGCTTCAATCACAACCTTGTTACACTTCACCCCCGTTTCAATCCGCGCAACCATACCAGGCACATCCGCACCCATCCAAAGCTCCTCCAGTTGCTCCACCTTCTGCTGATTCGCCTCAATCTTCCCCTCCAGCTCCTGTTTCAGCCCATCCACCTTCTCACCGATAATCTTCTCTACCCTATCTACCTCCAACCCAGCCTCTACGCGCATTTCCGACACCTTCTGCAGAATCCGGCTCTCCATGTCCTGCTCACCGCTCTCAACCCCGTCCAACCGCTCCTCCAGCCGTTTCACCCTGCCGCCCAGACCCGCAGCTCTCCACTCCTCGCGTATCTCCTCCATAGGACCAATTAAAGCCTCGTTTGCCTGTGCCTGCTGCACGCGCCACTCATCTCGCATCTGCTCCATCTGCTTCCTCACCGCTTCCTTCTCTGCTCTTAAAGCCTCGTTCGCTTGCGCCTGCTGCGCCTTCCATTGCTCCCTCATCTCTTCCATCTCTCGCTTCACCCTAGCCATTTCTTCCAGCTGCTGCGCCTGCTGCTGCGCCCGTGCCTCCTCGAGTTTCCTCGCCCACTGCTCTTGCACGGCTTTGATCTCCTCTTCCAGTTGCTGTCTGTGCGCCGCCTCCGTTATAAGCAGATTCACCATCCGGTCCAGCTCAGCTTCCCGCTTCCTCCCCTCGCCAGTCACCGCTCGCTCCATCTCCTCCCTCAGATCGCAGATCTTCCGCTCAGAATCGATTTCCAGCCGTTGGATCCCGCCCTCTAGCCGCGCCTCTTCCTTCTCCAAAAGCTGCAGCAGCGCTCCTTTAAAAGCATCCCCGTTAGTACCAACCCAGGACTCCAGGCCCCGAAGAGCAAGCGCGACCTTCGATTGCGCCTGCTGCTTCTCGAGCGAACCCGCGGGTTTACCTGGTAACCAGTTTTCGCCAGTGGCTGACACAGCTGCCGCATCCCCCAGGTGCTCGGCTTCCGCGATCACAGCTCGTTCTACTTCGCCTGCTTCGCTCGCCCCGTCAACAACACCAACAGCCGTCGGGGCGCTCACCTTGTCCAACCGTTCTCCACCACTTGGCACCAATCCTGACACCTTATTTTCCACCTGGGAATTCACCCACTGCTCAATCGCCTCAACCGCCATCCTCCCCCCGCCAAACCTCGCTTCAAGGCGACCTAAACAAGCGTGAATCTCCGGCGCAAGCGCTCCTTTCCCGTTCAACTCCAGAGATTGTTCTTTCCGTTCCTGAACATCCGTCCCTTCTCCCCCTCCCCTTCCTCCTCCTCCGCCTGCTCCTCCGCCTTCCGTCGGGAGCCCTAGCAAGCCTCGTAGCATCTCCCCGTCGTCTAGAGTCTTCTTCACCTCCCGATCCACATCCAAGGCCATTGCAACGGTCACCGCCATTACGCCATGGACTTTGGAGTTAAGGCTCGGGCTCTCCGGGTGGCTGTTAGTGGTAACGTGGTTACCATGGTCGATGTGGTTACCAATGTGACTGTGGTTACTGGTCGCAGAGCTCGTGCTGCCGCCGCTCCCTCCCCTGGCGCTCGTACTGGTGCTGGTGTCACTGCTGGTGTTGGAGGGAGTCGGGTTACCACCGGTAACCATGCCTCCTTCTTGGGAGAGCTGCGGAATGGTGCGGTTGAGTCCGGTGGTATCGGCATTGTGCTGGTTTTGATTAGAGGTGTGAGGCGAAGGGCGAAGCGCTTCTTGGTCAAGCTCGAGGAGCTTATCAGCGACCAATGACAGCTTGCCACGTAGCCTCGCGAGGAGAGCCGCTGACATGTCGTCCTGAGAGGAAGGGGGGGAAGAGAGAAACGGCACGGATAATCAAGGAAACCGCAAAACGGGAATTGGAGAAAGAGAGAAGGCAATCGGAAAAGGGAAAAGGCAATTGGGCAAAAAAAGATCAGGAGAAAGAGGGACGGAGTAAAAGGAAAACTGAATGACGCGACGAGGAGAAGAGGTAGGCAAACACAAGATAATGCAACTGCAATATGTGACGTACCAGATGGTTACCAGAGACACATAGGCGTTATTCTGGTTTCTCTACAGTTGGAGAAGGATAATTCCTTTATTTTTTGTTCCCTTCCAGACCACTATAACCGTGCAAATTCGAATTAAGTACGAAATAATCGGCAAACTAATCTCACCCCTTTATAACCTTGGCAAACCAACAAGCTTTTTAGACGCTTTAGTTAGTATTCAAATGTTTAAGACGAGAATGGCGACAACGTAAAATCATTACAAGGAAAAAAACATCGTTACTAATCGGAGTTGAGAAATGGAGCTACGTTAAGAACGCCAACGCTTCAAACTGACGCTGCTCTTACCGTCGCCATTTATACATTAGCAAGGAGAAAACCCCCACCGGGTAACCGAGACTCTGAGATTGGATAATTAATATTGCTGTCTTTCGAAATAATCGATAAACTAGAGGGTCTTAAAAGAGTGAGAGCTTGTTAGCATGACATCGATGGTGTCATTTCGCGCCTTACTCACCGGCGAACGGAACTTGTAGAACGGTGATATAAATTAGCGACGACCCACGCCTGCTAAGTTGGTTATGGTTTCCAATGGCGACTCAGACTAAGCGATGATACTCCAAAGCGATTATCTACGCCCCGTTTCAGTCGCGTTATATCATCATGACATTGCCCATTGTACTCGATCCTCTACGCCAAGGACTGCTGTCTTTTGCTAACTAACCGAACCAAAGAGCCCGTAATCCAGTAAACAACAATCCATGGCGAAGCGCATGGAAATGTTTGAACCACCTATTGAATATCATCACCTAATCATCTCCTATCTCCATGACTAAATGCAGCCAACTCTGTTTCTCATCTTCTCCCTCAAACATCCTCCACCTTGTGTTTCTTCTCTGTTTCGGCATTCCCAAGGTTGTTGGAGTTGGTGGGGCCAAAATGGGGCTCTATTCCAAGGGCCCTGTTCTTTGGGTTCTTCTATCGAAGTCGGTTTTCCCTGGGGGCCTCGTGGTCGTGGCGTGCCTGTTGCGAAGTTTGCTCCATCTACGGTCCAGCTTGCAATATGGGCGCTGGGCGAGACCACTTCGAGGGACGCTGCAACGGGTTTATTGACTGGGAATGTGATATGAACTACTGTATTCAAAATCGATGTACACTGCGATGTATGTGTGTTTATAAAATAATAATGCTTTTTTTCCCCCTTCCACAAAACGTCAGTGTCATGCGGAACTCGGGGTTCCAGCAGAGATCCCACGGCGCAGGGGGAGCTCACCACGGTGTTACACAAATTGCGCGAAAGCGAAAAGTGCTTCGTTTCACCAACCGTCGACCAATGTACAGCAGTGTTGCTCCAACAGCACATACCTCGCCCAATGTTTCACCTCCACGTCAGACCCCGTCGTGCATGATAGTCGTCGCTCGCGTCTACTTCGCTCCGCAAAGCCCTTTTCCATTTCACCTTTCCGCCTGCTTTGGACTCCCACGGACGCGTGCGCAAATGCGTGCGGACTGCCGAAAAGCCTCCACAATCACTGTCTCGATTGCGGTTTACCAAGGTGCCTTACGTTAGATTAGAAATATCAACACGGTATAGTAGGGTACCCTGAGAGCCACCACAAAGCCTGCATGCCCTTTTTACTGACACAACATTCTCGCGAGGTAGGTAGCCTCTGCTGTGAGGCTTTCTTGCAGGTCTCATGCTCTACCCCCATCAGGGACGAGTCACTCGCAACTTTTGACCTTGGTTTTGGGGGCACACCTACTCCCTTCTCCCTTCTTACCTCCATGCATGACTGTTTTCGTCATCGGATCGGGAGGACGATCTTCTTACGCATGGACATGGAATGATGGCTCGCGGATAAGAGCCATTCAGGCGCGTGTTCTTGGTGGGCGTGAGCGATTGATTCGCTGACGATCGTTCCTCACACCAGGCCGCGCGTCTCGCTCACCAGATTACCCTTGCATTCCTCACTTACAAGAGCTACTACATACAGCGTTACTTACCGAAACGGAAATATCGTTGTAGATAGCACTGATATTGTTTTTAACCTGACGTCGTTTGTTGAGTATCGCGAGCTTCCGTCCGTTTAAACCCCGTTTCAGCCGCCAATGGCTCGGCGGAAGGCGAGACCCACAAATGCAACCCTATTTCTGAGATTCGTCCAGGTTCAATGAATCTCCCGATGGCGTCAGAAGACGATCGGCAAGTCGCACAGGAGCTCGGGCTCCTCCTACGGGGCACCGGGGACGGAAATGTGCATTTCTCTCAGACTCGTTACGAGCAAGTGTCTATATCGGGGACGACTGGGGGAGCAGGAGACGGCTCTGCAGCGTCAGCAGGCGCATCGCTAGCAGCGCAGTATGGGATGCGAGACCAGCAGGGGGCTGGGGGGGGCGCTATGGCGGGCGGAATGGCGGGCGCGGAGGGTTTTGGCGGCGCGCCTGCGGGGGGGGGATATGGCGCGCGGGACTACCCCCACAGGAGCGGTAGCGCTCCGCCGTCGGTGGAAGGGTCCATATTTGCGATGGGTAATTTCCCCGGGTTTTCTTTCAACCGTCAGTTTCTCGGCGCCGATGCGCTGGGCAATCAGCCCGGTGCCGGAACTGACGGCGGCGGCGGCGGCGGCGGCGGCGGATCAGCCGCTGCGATTCAGCTTCAGCAGCAGCAGCATCAGCAGCAGCAGCAGCAACAGCAGCAGCTGCAGAAGCAGCGGGATGCGCGGAAGCTTTTAGATCGTTTGCAGGACGAGGAGGCTTTAAGAGCCGATCCGGGGTATTTAGAGTACTACTACCGCAATCACCACTTAAACCCCCGCCTTCCGCCGCCGCTTATTTCCCGCGACACTTACCGCCTGGCGCAGCGGCTACAGTCTTCCGCCGCCCTAGGGCTCGGCGGAGAGGGCGCGCCGAAGTTCCCCAGCGGCGGAGAAGGCGCGGAAAGCGGGGGAGGGGGGTATGCGCAAGGGGGAGCTGGGGGGTATGAGATCCGCGCGGGGCTTGGTCAAGACGGCAGCGCGGGGACGTTTGGGGAGGACGGCGCGGGGATGGGCTCGCTACGACAGTTCGATGACGGGCATGGTTTGCGAACGGGGAGATCCTCGTCGTCCAATCTGTTGTTTCCGCCGACCACGCTCCCCACTCATCGGGAGGAGATGGAGAGTCTTTTAGAGGATGTGCTTACTTCGGGGGGAAAGGACGACGGCGACGGGGGCGCGCAGGGCGCCGGCGCAAACCCAGGCGGAGGCGGAGGCGTGGGGGCGGGGGGAGCTGGCGCGGAGAGGGGCGAGGGTGTGGCGGACAGATGGGGCGCAGCGGGGGTTGGGAGCGGAAGCTTTGCGGGATTGGCCTATCGGCCTAAGAGCCTCGTTGATCTCATTCAGGTTAGTTGAGACTGAGGGGGCGGCTAGCACGGGTGCACGAGCTGTCAGAAGCAGACAAGTGGGCTGATGAAGGCTTGCAAAACCGCGTAACTGAGGGGGCGGCTAGCACGGGTGCACTTAGCCAACTTGCTTAACTAAGCGTGGGCTAGGCGTTGGATGGATCTGACTGTTTCCGGTCGGAAAGAGTGGTTCTGTCTTGTTTGCCTCTCCAGTACTGTAGCCTGACAATAACGCGTGTCCACTGTTGTAAATATTGTGCTTAGGTCTTGATCTATTCTTCCGCGCCTCACCTTCCGCGCCCCTCTTCCCCCTTCCCCGCCCGCCAGGAGGACTTCCCCCGCACGCCCTCCCCCATTTTCGCGCTTCAGCGCGCAGCCAGCCGCTCAGGGGCGGATGATTCCGCGGACGCCGCCACCGCCGCCACCGCCGCCGCCGCCGCTTCTGCCGCCGCCGCGGTGCCGTCTTTCCTCAGCGCTTCCGCCAGTGACCTTCCGCGGCGCCCGCGCTCGTCTCTGCAGCTTGACGACGCGCACAGGCACGAGCTCGCGCTGCTAACCGCGGGGCTACAGGCGGGCGGAGGCGCGGGGGGAGCGGGGGGCAGGGGCGCGGGGAACACGCGAGGAGGGGGTGCGAGTAGCGTACCCCCGCTCATGGGTGCAGGGTCGCGCTCCGGGACTCCGCTTATCCCCCCCGGATTGGTCGCGGGGAGGGTTAGTCCGGGGCTGGCGATGCAGCTAGCAGCGGCCCAGGCTGCTTCGGTTGCCAAACCTGCCGGTCTGCCTCGGGCGCAGTCCCCAGCCTTTGGGGTAGGTCTGGGTTTGAGCGGTGGGGAGGGAGGGTTGGGGGGAGCGGGCGGAGGGGGGAGGGGAGGGGCTGGCGCGGGGGTGTTTGCGCGGGCGGCTAGTCCGGGGATGGTGGGCGGGCAGGGGGAGGGGGGAATGGCACAGGCTAGCGCTGCTGAGCTGGCATCTGCGATTGAAGGGTTGCGATTGGCGGAAGGGCAGCAGCAGCAGATGCAGATGCAGCAGCAACTGCAGCAACAGTATCAGCAGCAGCAGCAACAACAGGAAAAGGATCAGCAGCAGCACTTATTGCAGCAGCATCAGCAGCAACAGCAGAACATGGGTCAAGGGGCCCCGCATTGGTCACACCTCCCCACCGCACTCCACCCAGCGTATCTCCACTACCTCCCCCCCTCCTCCGCAACCAACCCCCCCACCTCCGCCGCCGCTGCCGCTGCTGCAGGTGCAGCATCGTTCGTGGTAGGTTCCCCCCCTTACCCAGCCTTTTTACACGACTCCCTCCCCCTTCCCCCGGGTTCCGCCAGTTCCGCCGGTTCCCCCTTCCTCCCCCCGCACCTTGCTGGCGGGGCAGGCACGCCTGGCTTCCCCCACGCGCTTCCCCCTGGCGGAGCAGGGGGAGGCTTGCCCGGGGGAGGTTTATCTGGAAGGGCTCTGAACGGGTTTTATCTGTCAGGAGGAGCAGGTGGGGGTGGTGTTGGTAGTGGTGGTGCTGCTGCTGGGGGTGGTGGTGCTGATGGTGGTGGGGGTACTTTTTCACTAGATGCCAACGCACAGCACTATCTGCCAAGCGAAGCCGCCCAGTTCGCCGCTGGCGCTGCTGCAGGTGGGGCGGCTGGTCCAGCTGGCATGAACAGTGGCATTGGGCGGTCGATGAGTGCGGGTGGCGGGGTGAGGCGGGTTGGGCCGGCAGCATCTGGGGAAGGTACAACTGCTGGTATGGGCGTAGGTAGTGGTGGTGGTAACACCGGTGGTGGCAGCGGTGGGAATATGGGTAGTGGTGGTGGCATGGGTGGTGCTAATATTGGAGGGGCTAATATGGGGGGTGTGTCTGACGCAATGCTACCCCCAGAAGTGCAGCAGCTACTGGCCATGCACCCACAGTACAGAGCGCAGATTCTCGCAGGTTTATCTGGGCTGGGCGTATCCGGGGGCGGGGGAGGCTTATCTGGTGCAGGGTTTACCGGAGGAGGAGGTCTGGGAGGGGGTATGAGCGGTGGCGGTGGCGGTAGTGGTGGTGGTGGCGGCACTAGTGCTAGTGGCCTTGCTGCTGCTGCAGCAGCAGTAGGAGGAATGGGCGTGGGCATGAACATGGGCGCGAATATGAGCATGGGGATGGGCATGGGTATGGGGTCTGCTCCCTCTGCTTATCTCCCCGGGAGCAGCCAGCGAATGGGGATCCCTGCTGACGTGGCGCGATCTCGCGCCGCCGGCCTGCCAGCTGGCGCTCCGCACGGTGGGAATAACAACCCGCAGATGTACTATGGAAGCCCTCCAGGAAGCTTCCTCCCTGTGATGCCGCCCTACCCGCCCTTATCTCCTGCTGGTGGTGGCGGTGGGGGAGGAGGAGTGGTGCCAGCTGGCATGCTGCCACATCAGCAGGGCGCCATGCTGAGTCAGCACCACCAGCACGGGCACCATGCGAATCTTTACGAATCGATCCTATTGGCTGAAGGAGGGCTGGGGGGGATGGGGGGCGGAATGGGGCCGGCTGGGGTTGGGGGCGGGGGAAGCATGATGGGGGGAGGGGCAGGGGGGGGCGGAGGGGGCGGGGGGAAGGGGGGAGGTTACGCCATGGGCGGAATGGGCGGTCTGGGGGGGGCGGGCGGGGGAGCAGGGGCAGGGGGGAGCGGGAGGAGAGAGGAGAAAGGGGGAGGTGGGGGGTTGAGGGGGTCTCCTGGGGGAGGGGGCGGGGGAAGAGCTCACTCAATGCATCAACATCAGCACCATCACCATCACCATCATCAGCAGCAGCAGCAACAGCATCACCACCATTCATCCCACCTGGCTGAATCGGAAAGGATGGGTGGCGGAGGGGGGGGAGGAGGGGGAGGCGGAGGGGGAGGAGGCGGAGGGAACAGAGGGAGTGGTAACGGCGGTGGGGGCGGAGGGGGAGGGGGGGGAGGCGGAGGAGGGGGAGGAGGCGGAGGGGGAGGAGCAGGAGGGGGAGGGGGAGGGGGAAGCTTTTTGGAGGAATTTAAGGCGAACAAGACGAGACGATACGAGCTGTGTGATATTGCAGGGCACGTGGTGGAGTTCAGGTGGGTTCACAGGCATGCTGAGTGGTGCTCACATGGTGCTGAGTGGTGCTCAGAGGTGCGTTCAAGGCGAACAAGACGAGGCCATATGAATTGTGCGACATTGCAGGGCACGTGGTGGAGTTCAGGTGGGTTCACAGGGATGCTCACATGGTGCTGAGTGGTGCTCAGAGGTGCGCCCTTAAGGCGAACAAGTCAAGACGAGGCGATATGAGCTGTGTGACATTGCAGGGCATGTGGTGGAGTTCAGGTGCGTTGAGGGATGCAGAGTGGTGTTGAGAGATGCTGCTGATTGGTGGGTGTTGGAGTGCGGTGCGGTGCGGTGTGCCTGCTTGCAGTGCGGACATGAAGCTTGAGATGGCCACGGATGCAGAGAAGTAGCTCGTGTTCTCTGAGGTGCTGCTTCGATTGCTCTCCCTCACGATATATTTCCCCTTTGCCACTCTTTTCTGGTATCTCCTATCTGCTTCACTTGCAGTGCGGGCCAGCACTGCAGTCGCTTCATCCAGCAGAAAATGGCGACAGACGCAGAGAAGGAGCTTGTGTCTCTCTTTCCCCTATCCCACGCTGCTCTCTTCTCTCTGCTCTTTCAACTCGTCTACCCTTACCTTGTGCCTGCTCCCAGTGCGGACCAGCACGGGTCGCGGTTCATCCAGCAGAAGCTTGAGATGGCCACGGATGCAGAGAAGGAGTTGGTGTTCTGTGAGGTGCTGCCGCGGGCGCTCTCGCTTATGACGGACGTGTTCGGGAACTACGTGATTCAGAAGGTGAGGAGTTGAGGGGCCAAGGGGGGATAGAAAGGGGGGGAGGGAGGGAGGGGGGGGGGATAAGGGGGCAGCAGGGAGGGAGAGAAGGAGCTGGTGTTCTGTGAGGTACTGCCTCGTGCTCTCTCACTTATGACGGGTGTCTTCGGCAACTACGTGGTTCAAAAGGTGCGTGCGTAGGGTGAGCGGCAGCAGACAAGGAGAGAAGGAGAGAAGGAGAGACAGAGCTGGTGTTCTGTGAGGTGCTGCCCCGGGCTCTCTCCCTCATGACAGACGTGTTCGGGAACTACGTGAGTGAGTGTGGGCGTGAGTGAGTGAGTGGGTGTGGGTGTGAGTGAGTGAGTGAGTGTGGCCGTGAGTGAGTGAGTGAGTGGGTGTGGGCGTGAGTGAGTGGGTGTGGGCATGAGTGAGTGAGTGGGTGTGGGCGTGAGTGAGTGTGGACGTGAGTGAGTGAGTGTGGGCGTGAGTGAGTGGGTGTGGGCGTGAGTGAGTGAGTGTGTGTCGAGGCGAGCATGGCCTGCTCTTCCACAGGTCCCCACCCCATCACTGGCTGGCAGGTCCCTTCTCTTCCATCAACCTTCTACTTCCCTTCTCCCCCCTCCATTTCCTCGTGTCCTTTGCTCTTCATTCATCCCTCTCCGCAGTTTTTCGAGCATGGGCTGGACTCGCACAGGGCAGCACTCTCAGCGGAGCTGAAGGGGCATGTGCTGGCGCTGGGGCTGAGTTTAGCATTGCAATCCCTCCATCCCTCAACCCCTTTTGCCTTTCTCCCTTTTCCCCCTCTCTCTTTAACCCTATTGCAGTTCTTCGAGCATGGCCTGGACTCGCACAGGGCAGCACTGGCAGCGGAGTTGAAGGGGCATGTACTGGTGCTGAGTGTAGTGATGCAACCCCTCTCTCTTTCTCCTCACCCCTCTTTGTCTCCTATTTTTCCTGCCCTCTCTCTCTTCTCTGCAGTTCTTCGAGCATGGCCTGGACTCACACAGGGCAGCACTTGCAGCGGAGTTGAAGGGGCATGTGCTGGCGCTGGGGCTGCAGATGTATGGCTGCCGGGTGATACAGAAGGTGAGAGGTGGTGCAATGCGGTTTGGTGCGGTGCTGACGGGCTGAATGAGAAGGAGCCTGAAGGGGCATGTGCTGGCGCTAGGGTTGCAGATGTACGGCTGTCGGGTCATTCAGAAGGTGAGAGATGGAAGGGGGGATGGAAAGGGGAGGGGAAGGGGGTAGGGGAGGGGGAAGGGGAGGGGGAACGGATGAGAAAAGGGAGGGAGAGAGGGATTGGCATGTGTAAATGTGGCTGTGAACCACGGGATAGTCAAGGCACAGAGGCGAGAAAGTGTTATCAAAGGAAACGGGAACTTGTGCTGGCAAGTCTGAACGGTTAAACGCTCGAGCGAAAGTGGCAGCAGTGATGGAGTTTCCAGCCGCGAATTCTGTTAGCGGATGTGCGTTCCGGCTGGAAACTCCACCACTGTTGCAACTTCGCTCGAGCGTTTAACCGTTCAGATCGCCAGCACGAGTTCCCGTTTCCCATGACAGTATTTTCTCACTTCCATGCCTTGACAGGAGTGTGAAGCAGTGTGTGCGGGATCAGAATGGCAGCCACTCTACTTCCAATCCTCTAACTTCCCTCTCCTTTTCTCGCCATCCTCTTGTCTCATATCCATCAGGCCTTGGAGGTTCTCCCCCGGTCGCAGCAGCTGGAGATAATCGCAGAGCTAGAAGGCAGTGTGGTGCGGTGTGTGCGCGATCAGAATGGCAACAGGTTGTATTAATCCAATCCTTCTCCCTATTCCTTGCTGCTCCTCTCCCCACACCATCAGGCCTTGGAGGTTCTGCCCCTGCCGCAGCAGCTGGAGATCATAGCTGAGCTGGAAGGCAGTGTGATGCGGTGTGTGCGCGATCAGAACGGCAACCACGTCATTCAGAAGTGCATCGAGTGTGTGCCGCCCGCCCACATCGCCTCCATTGTCAACAGCTTCTATGGCCAAGTCGTGGCCTTGTCTACTCACCCCTATGGGTGCAGAGTTATTCAGGTGAGCTTGGTTTCCCCTGCAGGCGGGCTTGTGCACTCACCAGCAGAAGTGCATCAAGTGTGTGCCGCTCGCTCTCATAACCTCCATTGTCAACAGCTTCTATGGCCAAGTGGTTGCTCTCTCCACCCACCCCTACGGGTGCGGAGTCATTCAGGTGAGCCGCTAACTTACTCTATTCATTGCGTGGGGAGTTTTCTCCGCGTTTCTGCTCCGCCCGCCCTCATCACCTCCATCGTCAACAGCTTCTACAGCCAAATGATTGCACTCTCAACCCACCCGTATGGGTGTGCTTCTGTACATCCAGTTTCACACGTGTCCACTTGTGCTTATATCTGTCTGTTTCCTACTGCAACCCCTGTCGGTCTGACGCACAGCGAGTGTCGGAGCATTGCACAGAGGAGGAGCAGAAGCAGAGAGGCGTGATAATGAGACGAGCTTGTGAGGTCCACATGTGCCTGTGTCCGTGGGTGCTTCCGTCCACACGTGCTCATGTCTCTGTGTTCTCCTCCCTTTGACCCCTGTCTGTGTCACAGCGAGTGCTAGAGCATTGCACGGAGGAGCAGAAGCAGAGAGGCGTGATGGACGAGATCATGCGGTCTACCTGTTCTCTGGCCCAGGACCAGTACGGCAACTATGTGGTGCAGGTGGGTGCTGTAGGGTTGACTTAGGCTTGAAGCATGGAATGTGGGTTATGATATGGGATCTACCTGTGCCCTGGCCCAGGACCAGTACGGCAACTACGTGGTGCAGGTGGGTGCTGCTGGGTCTGTGTGAGTGCTTTTCTGTGCTGCCCAGTGTTTCTGCATTGAATATGGATTATGATATGAGATGGGGTCGTCATGAGAATCTTCCCCTTCTTCCCTTCTTCACCCCTGCTCTCTGCGTTCTTTTCCCCCTTTTCTGCCCTTTCTTAACCTCCTTCCCTCCGCTCCGCTCCACCCCAACCCCACATCCCCCCCTGCTCTTGTTGTCACCAGCATGTGTTGGAGCATGGGAGCGAGGATGAGAGGAACGTGATTATAACGAAGCTGGCGGGGCAGATTGTGACAATGAGCCAGCACAAGTTCGCGTCCAACGTGATTGAGAAGTGCCTGCAGTACGGTGGGCCGGCTCAGAAGCAACTGCTGCTGTCTGAAATGCTGGGCAGAACTGATGAGAACGAGCCGCTGCAGGTGGGTGAAGGGCGCAGTAGGGGCGCGTAGGAACAAACTTGCCTGCAGTATGGCGGGCCGGCACAGAAGCAACTGCTGCTGTCTGAAATGCTGGGCAGAACTGATGAGAACGAGCCGCTGCAGGTGGGTGAAGGGCGCAGTAGGGGCGCGTAGGAACAAACTTGCCTGCAGTATGGCGGGCCGGCACAGAAGCAACTGCTGCTGTCTGAAATGCTGGGCAGAACTGATGAAAACGAGCCGCTGCAGGTGGGTGAAGGGCGCAGTAGGGGCGCGTAGGAACAAACTTGCCTGCAGTACGGCGGGCCGGCACAGAAGCAACTGCTGCTGTCTGAAATTCTGGGCAGAACTGATGAGAACGAGCCGCTGCAGGTGGGTGAAGGGCGCAGTAGGGGCGCGTAGGAACAAACTTGCCTGCAGTACGGCGGGCCGGCACAGAAGCAACTGCTGCTGTCTGAAATGCTGGGCAGAACTGATGAGAACGAGCCGCTGCAGGTGGGTGAAGGGCGCAGTAGGGGCGCGTAGGAACAAACTTGCCTGCAGTACGGCAGGCCGGCTCAGAAGCAACTGCTGCTGTCTGAGATGCTGGGACGGACAGACGAAAACGAGCCACTTCAGGTGGGCAGGGCACAGTAGGGCACAATAGTCACCTTGAAACATGCAAGGGGCAGGTAGGGAAGTTCGCGTCCAACGTGATTGAGAAGTGCCTGCAGTACGGCAGACCGGCTCAGAAGCAACTGCTGCTGTCTGAAATGCTGGGACGAACTGATGAGAACGAGCCTCTGCAGGTGGGCACATGTGGTGGATTAGAAGGGTACACTAGGGGGCACACAAATTTTCGGGTCACCTTAGGTGGCCAACGTGATTGACAAGTGCCTGCAGTGCGGCGGGCCTGCACAGAAGCAGCTGCTCTTATCGGAGATGCTGGGGAGAACTGATGAGAACGAGCCGCTGCAGGTGGGTTAAGGGCACATTAGGGGCACAGTAGGGGTAGGGGGGGCTTCTAGGGGCACATTGGGGGTAAACTGGGCATGCTAAGGGCATATAGTGACAATGAGCCAGCACAAGTTCGCTTTCAATGCTGGAGGCGTGCAGCGAGGGGCTGCGCGGCCTCCTCTCATGCCCTATTATTCCCTTCCAGGCAATGATGGACCAGTTTGGCAACTACGTAGTGCAGAAGGTTCTCGAGACGTGCAGCGAGCAGCAGAGGGAGATGGTGCTGGGGCGCACTTACCCACTCAGATGCCCTCATACTTTCTGCCCCTCTCCGCTCCTCTCCACTTCTCTCCACCCGTCACCATCTCTTTCCACCGTTCTCCAGGCAATGATGAAGGACCAGTTTGGTAACTACGTTGTTCAGAAGGTTCTGGAGACGTGCAGTGAGCAGCAGAGGGAGATGGTGCTGGGTCGCATTCGCGTGCATCTGCACACACTCAAGAAGTTCACGTATGGGAAGCACATCGTTGCACGCGTTGAGAAACTGCTGGCAGCTGGAGGTGAGTCTGTTTCTTGAGAAATCTCAAAATTCTGCTGCGGAGGTGAGTTTTGTTGTTCGTGGCAGGTAAGAGAGCAGGTGTGTATCTATGTGAAGCACATCACACTCAGAAACTTCACTTACGGGAAGCACATAATTGCCCTTGTGGAGAAACTGCTGGCCGCTGGAGGTGAGTCCAAGATCACTAGGATAGGATGTAGGTGCTGCCAAGTACAAACATGAACTTGAAGAGCAGCCGGTCACACAGTGTGTTCACTTGTAACATCGAGAGCACGATGACATTGCAAAGACTGCACTCTCCGTGCTCTTGATGTTAGAAGTGAACACACAGTGTGACCGGCTGCTCTTCTGGTTCATGTTTGTACTTGCCACCTGCCGATGGAAAACCTGCTTGATGTAGGAGGTCAGTCTGTTTTTACTGGCACATAAGTGAGCATGTGCATATTGGTGTGCAACCGCGTGCATCTGCACACACTCAAGAAGTTCACCTATGGGAAGCACATTGTTGAACGCGTGGAAAAGCTACTTGCTGCTGGAGGTGAGAACAGCTGATTGGATGGGCGGCAGGAGGTGAGTCAGTTTCTGGTAGCATGTAAAGGAGTGCAACCGCGTGCATCTGCACACGTTAGAAGTTCACCTATGACACATTTTGCCCTCCTCACTCCCTCCTCGCTCCCTCCCCACCCCCTTCCCACTCCCTCCCCGCTCCCTCCCCGCTCCCTCCCCGCTCCCTCCCCGCTCCCTTCCCGCTCCCTCCCCGCTCCCTCCCCGCTCCCTCCCCGCTCCCTCCTCGCTCCTTCCCCACTCCCTCCCCCTCCTTCCCCCTCCCTCCCACTCTCTCCCACTCCCTCCCAATCCCTCCCACTCCCTCCCACTCCCTCCCCACGCCCTCCCATCAGGCCGCATGCAATCTCGGGCGGAGAAAGAGTGGGTGATGGCACCCTCTTACGCTGCTCTTGAGACTTCTCAGGTCCCTGCTTCTGTGCCCCACTTTCTCTTCCGCATTCGCTCCCCTCATTCCCTCTCTCCATTCCCTCCCCCCATTCCCTCCCCTCATTCCCTCCACACAGGCCGTATGCAATCTCGGGCAGAGAGAGAGCGGGTGATGGCACCCTCCTATGTGGGTCCACCTGGGGGAGGTTTTACTGGTGCAGGCTTTTCCGGTGGAGGAAATGTTGCAGGGATGGGTTCACGGTCGGGCGGCTCGACTTCTAGTGGTGCAGGAGGGGCGGCAGGACAGGCTGGCGGCATGATGAACTCGTCTGTGGTTGGTTGAGCCTCGGGCGGCTTTTTTGGGTGTTGGATGGATTGACTGCTGTGGTTAAATGTGGTATGGTATATGTGCATTGTGTTTAAAAGGTTGATGTGATGTGAGAGTGTGGGATGTGGATGGGTTTTCCTGCATATAGGTCGGAGTGGAGGTGTGAATGGGCGGTTGGTTGCGTTGCATGTGTATCTTTGTTGATAATTTCCCGCCAAGCAGCCTTGAGGCTGCTTGGTGGGGAGTATGGACGGTCAGTGGGTTGACCATATACTCTTGTAGATGGATTTTTGTAGGATCTGAATATGTAAATTCATGTGAATGCCTTGATTTAGTCATATTTTAGCACTTGTATTCCGCTTCTTTACTCTTCACAAATCATCTGAAGAAGTGAAATTTACTTTGGTTCTAGTTCGTGATTGGTTGAAGTCGCCCTTTCGGGATCGAGGATTTTCGCCGCATCTCCCGCTGGGTGAGGGAGGTTATCGTTCGAAACTGAATCCGACGTTCTGTGGTGGAAACTGGAATTGCCCCAAGCGAGCCACCTTATCCCCTGGGCGCAACGTTGGGGGACTTCCATTCCCCCAAGGGATAAGGTGACCACATTCTCCGCCCATCAACCCTCAACAGCAGCCAGTAAGAATGGGAGAAAGCTCATGACTAAATAAATTTGTGTGCCCGTGCAAGGAAAGCTGCCCCATGAGGACTTCGTGATTGGTGGATTGTCATAAATTTACAAGAAAACGGTTATTCCATGGGGTGACAATTGCCCATGCTAGCTTTTCTGTCCTTACCAGTGTGACCCGCCCAGACAGTCGTTTCTTCACTACGAGGGTTTCAAGGACTGCCACCAACCTCACCTCGTTGAACCAAAAAATTGTTGGGTGGGAAAGAATTGAACGTGTAATCATCTTGATTGGTCTGACCCCCTGCGAGTGATATACTGATAACTATCTATTCAATAGAGGTCTTCTTCTACACCCAGTTCTGAGCACTTCGCAACAGAATTTCGCTGACCGGATAATGAAACCCGAGGAAGGGCAAATCACCAGCCAGTCGAGGTCCTGTCCTGGGGCACTTGGTCTCTACTCTCTATCTGCTGAACAACAGACCCTCTCTCCTAGGGTTTCTCTTGTCCATCTCCCCTTTCTTCAACATCTCTCCATAACTTGTTTCTATCAGCAATTCCCCAACTTCCCAGTACTCCCCATGAGCACAAGTTAGCCTTCTTCCAAATTACCTTGCGGTGTTCTACCCTTGATTCTGCTAGTGAGCTCGCCCAAATATGATGCGAGGGGGGCCATATGGGTGGAGCCTTCCCGAGGAGCCATTGCCAAAGCTTGGTGGGAGGTAATTTGCCTTACCATAAATTCTAGCACTTCATTGCCTGCTCTTGTTGACTCCATTTCAGGCACATTCCAGAGCACTTGACCGCAGATTTATTCCTTTATCTTTTATTTCTTATTTATTCTCGTATGTTTCTCCTTCAGCCGGCAAGGCACGCGCGAGAGGTTATTCGACCGCGACGACCAGAGCCTCAAGTACAAGGGAGTGCAGAAGCATGTCCGCGGCTGGCTCGTCAAGTACGCGTCGCGCGGCAAGACCGTCGTTCTGGGCGTTCGTCCGACGCAAGAGGAGGCGGCGTCGCTCTATGACAAGTACGACGTTATTAGTACGAGATTACGAGAGTGCTAGTTTTAATGTTTTAACTATCAACCAGTTATCTGCGACGACAATCGTCGCCGTTCTCGTATCTCGCCTTGTGTCAGCCCTCTCATTAAATCCTTCCTTCTCTTTCCGCTGTCCCTTTTTCTTCCTTGTTACACTTCTTGTGTTGTTCGTTTCCATCCACGTCAGGTTCGCCTACAAGGTCCACGGCAACGCCGAAACGCTCAATCTCGGTCTCACGCTCGCCGAGAAACGCGCCCTCGACGCTCTTTCCGACCGCGAGTTCCTCGCCATTATTAAAAAGGACAACTTTAACCTTAGCTTCCGTAAAGGATGGAGCTCGAATTACATCGGCGTGAGCTGGTACGAAGACTATGGCGGATGGGTGGCGCAAGTAAACATGGGCGGGATCACGCGCAAGATCAAGCGCAGCAAGACGGAGGAGGTGGCCGCGGCGGCCGTCGATCGCGCGCTGCTGCGACGCGACGGCGACCGTGCGATCACGAACGCGATGATCTTCGGCGGGTGTATCAAAGTCGAGACGCTCATGGATCTCGAGGGGCTTCGCGACGCGGTGATCCTGTCGCGAGTCGCCGAGATGGAAGGTGCGACGAAGCTCCTGTGATTTCTTGTCTCGGTTGTTTGATGTCCTTTTTCCCCCATCCCACCCTCTCCCGCACCTGGTTCCGTGATCGCATTACCTCTTTCCCCCCCACTTCCCCTTCCTCCCCACCCTCCCACCCGTCCAACTCCCCTCCCTCCTCCTCCCCCCACCCCTCTTCTTTTCACCTGCTTTATTGTTATCCTCCGCAGCCTTTCCGCTCTCTCATACTGATAACCGAAATTAAGTAAAATGTTTAACATGTTTGTTACTCCCACTTATTTCCACCTTCGTTTCTCTCTCCCTTTGTTCCTTTATCGTTTCCACTCATTTCCATCTCCCTTTCTCTGTCCTTCCCAGGCGGAGCATCCGCCAAGTCGGTTTCCATCGTCCCCGCAACCCAGTTACCTTCAGGTAACATCTCTAGAATCGAGCTCTTTCCCCGCTATAATACCATTCGTTTCATCTAGATCCTTGTCACCATGGTGTAATAAGTTGCTAACGTCTTTCTTTGTCAACTCACTTTTATTTTTTCCCCTGCTACGTATTCAAAGGAGCCTCATGACCACCCGCGTCTGCATGCGTTTTCCCTGCCCCTTCTGTTTTTGTTCAGGTAGCGAGCTGGTGGCGGGGTGGGCGGGCAAGCTCCGCTGGGGAGTGATGCACAACAAGGACAAGGGCGTGTGGGAGATGGTGCTCTATATCGGGCCCAAGCCGTTCCTCCGAGGCCGAACCCAGCTTGGGGACGAGGCTGCACGCCTGTACGACAGGTGCGGTCTCAGCTGAGTGGAAGGGGTTTCTGGTCGAGTCAAAGGGGGAAGTGATGCACAACAAGGACAAGGGCGTGTGGGAAATGGTGCTTTATATCAGGCCCAAGCTGTTTCTTAGAGGACGAACCCAGTTTGGGGACGAGGCTGCACGACTCTATGACAGGTGTGTTTGCTGTTGAGTCGGGAGGAGGGAGGAGAGGGGGGGGGGGTGGGAGGGAGGAAGGTGGGGTGGGGGGTGGGGGAGAGAGAGAGGGGAGGGGGGGGAGTGGGGGGTTGATGCACAACAAGGACTCCTCTCGTCCCACTCTTCCCCTTCCATCGTCCTGCATATTCCCTCTTTTCCCTTCGTGCCCGCTTCTTTCTCTGTCCATGCGTCAACAGCAAAATGGCCTACACGTTCTGAGTGCATTTCAGTAGTTCTCAACTTTGCCTTGTCTGCTGCAGAGAAGCTCAGCTTTGCCTTCCTTTTCACTCTTCCTCTCTCACGCTTGTTTCTTCCTCTCCCACGGCAGGATGGCATACAAGTTTCGAGGCACGTCAGCAGTGCTCAACTTTGGCTTGTCCGCCGCTGAGAAACTCGAACTCGAGCAGATGACCAAGGACAATTTCCACCTGCACCTCTCATGCCACTGTCCCCCTCCCGTCTTCCTGCGTGTTCCCTCATCTCCCTTCCATCGCTTCTTTTTCAGGATGGCATACAAGTTTCGAGGCACGACAGCAGTGCTCAACTTCGGCCTTTCTGCTGCCGAGAAGCTCGAGCTCGAGCAAATGACCAAGGACGATTTCCACCTGCACCTGCGCAAGCGCTTCGTCCGCAGCTTCCGCTCGCGATCCTGTCCGTCGATCTACAAGGGCGTCAAGTGGGGCCCGCAGGAGCAGAAATGGATCGCCGCGATTCGCGTGGGAAACCGGTTCTCCAAGATTGGGCTGTATGATGCGGAAGAGGAGGCCGCTGCTGCATATGATCGCACAATTGTGGAGGTCCGGGGGGTGCATGTGATGACCAATGCGAAGTTTGTGGATGGGTTGAACCACGCGCAGGTGACTGTAACGGAGATTCCTATAAAGGGGCAGGAGGAGGCGTTTATCCGCGCGGCGGGAGGGGGGGTTGGCGGGGAGGGGAGGAGAGGGGGAGGGCGGGGGGGACACAGGCGCGGGCGGGGGAGGGGGCGTCCGCCGATCACCCATCTGGCGCGGGAGGAGCGGAGGAACAGGCTAGTGGCGTCGTTAGGAGGTTCTGCTGAAGCAGCTAAGTTGGGGATAACCGGTGGTGATGGTGCTGGTGCTGCTGGTGATGGCGCAGGTGCTGCTGCAGAGCTAGGGGCAGGAGCAGCAGAAGGAGAAGGGGGAGGAGGAGAGGGAGAAGGAGAAGGAGAGGGAGGAGCGGTTGGGGATGGGTCTGGCGGAGGGGGGAAGGAGGAGTGGGTGCCGCCGCAGAGAGCAGAGGAATTGGAGCAGATAGAAGAGTGGATGGCGAATGAGTGGGAGCAAGGGGAGATTGTGGGGTGGATGGACGGGGTTGCTCCTGGGGGAGAGGAGAGAGGGTTGAGCACGCTTGCTCCTGCTGGAGCTGCTGCTGGTGGTGATGCTGGTGGCGCGGGGGAAGGCGGTGCGAAGGAGAAGGGGGACGGCGAGGAGGAAGGGTCTCTAGCGATTGACTTGGAAATGGCTGGGCTAGATGATGGGGATGACGCTGCTGGTGGGGGGGAGGGCGGGGGGGATGCTGACGGGGATTGGGAAGAGTTTTGTGAAACGACTGCTAGGGAGGTGGCGGAAGGGGCAGGTGCAGGCGGGGCGGAAGATGGGGGGGACGGAACTGGCGCGGGGGGAAGCGGGGGGGCGGGGAAGAAGGGCGCGGGGGGGAAGGGGGGGGAAGTTGGGGCGGATGAGCTGGGGAACGCGCATGCTTCTGTGGAGCAGCTATTGGCTGCTGCGGAGGCTGGGCCTGGGGGCGGGGCGGGGGCTGCGGGGGGAGGCGCAGGGGGGCGGGGGAGGGGGAGGGGGACGGAGAGGAAGAGGAGGATGATGTGATGCTAGAGTTGAATGCGGATGATGAGGGGAATGAGGGGGGGAGGGCGGGGGAAATGGAGGCAGGGGGGAGGGCGGGGGGGACGCGCATGGGCGGGATTGGATGGATACTGTAGAAGGGGATGATGACAAAACGGATGGAGAAGGAGGAGGAGAAGGGAGAGGAGGAGGAGAAGGGGGAGGAGGAGATGGGTCTAAGACTCCAGCCAAGGGACCAGGGCAGGAAGGGGATGCAGGTGCAATAACCCCTGCTCAAGACCCCTCCCGTCTCCCGCTCACCCCAGGCTCCGCCCCGTCCACTCTCCAAATCAGCACCATTTCCACTCTAGCCGCCCCTACCTCATCTTCCGGCGGTCCAGATTCCTCTGGGTTACAGGCTTACTCAGGAAAGCGGCCGCGGGGGCGGCCGAGGATTCATGAGCATCCAGAGGAGGAGAAGAATAGGCTGTCTGAGAAGTATATGGGTGTGGAGTTCAAGGGGAGGACACGGGCGTGGGAAGCGTTTCTGATGTCGGGGCAGCGGAGGTATAACTATGGGCAGCGGTATACGGAGGAAGAGGCAGCAAGGCTTCATGACAAGTAAGTTTCGTGGCTGAGAATACGAGGTGGCTTGTAAGTTAGCTCAACAGTCACCAGGTGGTATAACTACGGGCAGCGGTATACGGAGGAAGAAGCAGCGTGGCTTCGTGACAAGTAAGTTCAGTGGTTGGTTGTGAATACAAGGTGGCTGTTTTAGAGGCATGTGGGTGTGGAGTTTAAGGGGCGGACGAGGGCGTGGGAGGCGTTTCTGATGTCGGGGCAGCGGCGGTATAACTACGGGCAGCGGTATACGGAGGAAGAGGCAGCACGTCTGCATGACAAGTAAGTTCTGTGGTTGGTTGTGAATACAAGGTGGCTGTTTTAGAGGTATATGGGGGTGGAGTTCAAGGGGAGGACACGGGCGTGGGAAAGCTTTTCTGATGTCGGGGCAGCGGCGGTATAACTATGGGCAGCGGTATACAGAGGAGGAAGCCGCACGGCTTCATGACAAGTAAGTTCAGTGGTTGGTTGTGAATACAAGGTGGCTGTTTTAGAGGCATGTGGGTGTGGAGTTTAAGGGGCGGACGAGGGCGTGGGAGGCGTTTCTGATGTCGGGGCAGCGGCGGTATAATTACGGGCAGCGGTATACGGAGGAAGAGGCAGCACGTCTGCATGACAAGTAAGTTCTGTGGTTGGTTGTGAATACAAGGTGGCTGTTTTAGAGGTATATGGGGGTGGAGTTCAAGGGTCGGACGAGGGCGTGAGAGCTTTTCTGATGTCGGGGCAGCGGTATACGGAGGATGAGGCAGCTTGGCTTCACGACAAGTAAGTTTTGTGGTGGTGAATACGAGATGGTTTCGAGTTGTCTCGACAGGCATTAGGCGGTATAACTATAAGCAGCGGAATACGGAGGAGGAGGAGGCAGCACTGCTTCATGACAAGTGAGTTTTGTGGTGGTGAATACGAGATGGTTTCGAGTTGACTTTTGAGTCGACTCAAAAGTCACCTCGTTACAATGACACATGACCTTTTTTTGTGGTGGTGAATACGAGATGGTTTCGAGTTGTCTCGACAGGCACCAGGCGGTATAACTATAAGCAGCGGAATACGGAGGAGGAGGAGGCAGCACTGCTTCATGTGTTGACGAGGTTCTATGCCCCCGTTGTGCTCCTGATGTGCTCCATTTTTTGTCGTTGCACAGTGGTTTTGAATGCAAGGATGTTTGCAGGCGGTAAAACTGTGTGCAGCAGAGTACTGTGAAGGAAGCAGCGTGATCTCATGACAAGTAGGGTCGAATGCTGTGTTTGTGGGTCGGATGCTGTGTTTGTTGCTGGATTTGATTCGTCTTGCCATGTTATTATTTCCTTCCCATTCCGCAGGGTGGCATACCATCTCAAGGGATCCACAGCCCCCACCAACTACCCACTTTCAGAAGAGGACAAGGCGCGTCTCGACTCAATGACAGTCGAGGAATTCCTAACCCACGTGAATTATCTTCCTATTCCTGTTTGCTTCCCATTCCCATTCCGCAGGGTGGCATACCGTCTCAAGGGACCCACAGCCCCCACTAACTTCGATCTATCAGAGGAGGACAAGGCGCGTCTCGACTCAATGACAGTCGAGGAATTATCAAGGCATCACATCTGTCCCCATTCCTTCCCGTCCCCTTCCGCAGAGTGGCATACCGTCTCAAGGGACCCACAGCCCCCACTAACTTCGATCTATCAGAGGAGGACAAGGCGCGTCTCGACTCAATGACAGTCGAGGAATTCCTAACCCACGTGCGCCGTACCAACGTCAGCAGCGTTTTCCAGGGCCGGCGTGGCTCGTCCTTATTCAAGGGCGTGAGCTGGATGCCGGACAAGCAGCGGTGGGCGGCGCTCATCAAACTAGACCACGGAAAGGTGAGGAAGATTGGATTATACACCACGGAAGAGGACGCAGCAGCCGCGTATGATCGCGCTCTGATCGACCGCGACGGCCCAGAGGCACTCACCAACGAGAGGTTTTTCCGGTCGCTGGACGACGATGCTTTGGATCGGTTGCTGCAGTCGCGACGGTCCCGAGACGAGTCCTGCAACTGGAAGGAACGGGCGAAGTATTTTTTGGATAATATCGACAAGCTGGGGCATAAGTCTAAGAGAGCAAGAGCACCGTCGCCGGTGGGAGCGCGGGGGCTTGTAGGAGGGGGTGGGGGAGGACCGGTAGGGTCGAGGGAAGGAGAGGAAGGGCCACAAGCAGGGACGGCTGCTGCGTTGGGAGGGGGCGCGATTAGCTCTCAAAAGGTGTCTCAGAGTGCTGCGGGTGGGAGGAAGGGGCGTGGGGGTGGTGCAGCTGGCAGTGGGAGGTATGGGGGTGGAGGTATGGGGAGTGGGGGGTATGGGTATATGGGAGGGGGGGTGATGGGTGGTGGGGGCGGGGTGATGGGCATGGGGGGGTATATGGGCGGTGGGGTGATGGGGGGGAATGTTATGGGAGTGAATGTGATGGGATCGAATGTTATGGGTGCGAGTGTTATGGGTAGCGGTGGGGGGTATGGTTTAGATCGCTGGGGTTTGTACCCTTCCCCTATGGCTGCTACAGGGCATCTAGCCCCAAACCGGAGGGGCATGCCGGGTTTTAACCCCGGAGGGGGTGGGTTTGCAGGTGCCGGGGGAGGGAGGAAGGGTGGAGCGGTTGGGAGTGGTGGTGCTGGGTTCAAGAGAGGGAGATATGATTTCGAAGATGAGGACGAGGATTATGAGGAGGATGAGGAGGGGTTTGGGGAGGGGTATGAGGAGGAGGGGAGAGGAGGTGGGGGTGGTGGGATGGGGCGGGGCGGGTGGGGGGGTGGGGCGGGATGGAAGAGGCAGCAGCAGGATCAGTTGTATGGGGTGATGGGGGGTGGGATGGGAAGCTGTGGGATGGGGAGCGGTGGGATGGGGTCTCGTGGTGCTGCTGGTGGTGCTGGTGGCGGTGCAATGGGTAGGAGGTCTCAACCCCGCACCTCCTCTCCTGCCGAAGACATTCTTCGCATGTACTCTGTAGGCCAGTCTGCACCAGGTGAACCTTCCCCAGGTGCAGACAAACTTGGGGCGGGCCGGGCGGCACAGAGGATCCCTAGGGATGCGTTAGGAGGGGAGGGGGAGGAGGATGAGGGGGAGGAGGATATGGTGGGAGGGGGGGAGGAGGAAGAGGAAGGAGAGGATGCGAGGGGAGGAGGATCCAGCCGTCGATTGGGTGATCTGATGACAAGGATCTCCGGCGCGCTATCTCAGCCGTTGGATGGGGAAGATGAGGAAGGAGGGGGGGGAATGGGGATGGGTGGGGGGGAGATGGGGGGAGAGGAGGATGTGGTGGTGGAGGTGAGGGGGAGAGGGAGGGGGAGGGGGAGGGGCAGGGGAAGGGGGAGAGGACGTGGGAGAGGCAGGTCTGGGCGGGTGATGCCTGTGTATTGACTCGGGGTTAGTCGGATTGCACATTGGAACTTTGGCGGGTGCATTGGCTGATACGGTAGTTGGATGGAGCAATTTGTGTGTGCATTAGTGACAGTTCCTCTTTATGATGGTTGGTTAGGTTATTGTGCTGATTACCATGTGGCATTGTGCCTACGGCTGCGGCCTGACTGTTGAGTGACTCAACGTCACCTCATTGTGCCTACAGCACACACCTGGTGTTGCCCCCTAGCAACCACCATGACTGATAAAATGTGCACTGTACTAGAAACAGCCATACTGGATATAGGAAACTACAGTACAGAGGCCAGCATAGTTTCCAGCTAACCATATCTGTCACAGTGATTACTCATATAAGTCGTAAGGGGAGCCTGAGCGTCGTGAGCCTGAGTCTATAACCTTCTTGGCTATAGAAGCTTTTCGAGCATGTGTTGCTCATCACCTGCACACACGAATTCAAAGGCCCGGGCATGCAGTAGTGCAGGCAGACCAGCTATCTCCCTCTTACCGTATTCCCCTCTGCCTCCTCCCTCACTGCACCTCCTCTGATCCTCCAGTCAGTCCCTTGGTGCCAGCAGTTTCTCGAGCATGTTACTCAGCACCTGAACCCACGAGTCCAGCGGCCGGGCATGCAGTAGTGCAGGCAGTCCAGTATTCTTCCTCCTCAGTCCCTCTGTTCGCTGTGTAAAACCAGCTACCCCGTCAGTCCCTCAATCGTCTGGGCGCAAGCAGCTTTTCCAGCATGTTGCTCAGCACTTGAACCCAGGCATCAAGCGGACCAGGCATGCAGTAGTGCAGGCAGTCCAGCTTCGTCAGCAGCCCCGTGTGCCCATCCGGTCGCAGCTCCGTCATCCTCTCCACATCCATCATCGCCATGCCTAGCTGCTCCGCGCCCACCGCCTGGAAAACCCCTCCCCTCCCCGCATCCGCTTCTCCATCCCCTCTCCTCCCCCTCCTCCCCCTCCTCCCCCTCCTCCCCCTCCTCCCCCTCCTCCCCCTCCTCCCCCTCCTCCCCCTCCTCCCCCTCCTCCCCCTCCTCCCCCTCCTCCCCCTCCTCCCCCTCCTCCCCCTCCTCCCCCTCCTCCCCCTCCTCCCCCTCCTCCCCCTCCTCCCCCTCCTCCCCCTCCTCCCCCTCCTCCCCCTCCTCCCCCTCCTCCCCCTCCTCCCCCTCCTCCCCCTCCTCCCCCTCCTCCCCCTCCTCCCCCTCCTCCCCCTCCTCCCCTCCTCCGCTCCTCCCCCTCCTCCCGCTCCTCCCCCTCCTCCCCCTCCTCCCGCTCCTCCCCCTCCTCCCGCTCCTCCCCCTCCTCCCCCTCCTACCCGCTCAGTCCCTCAGTCTTCTCGGCGCCAGCAACTTTTCGAGCATGTTGCTAAGGACTTGAACCCACGAGTCCAACGGACCAGGCATGCAGTAGTGCAGGCAGTCCAGCTTGGTCAGCAGCCCCGTGTGCCCGTCCCACCTCTGTTCCTTTCCCCCAGTCAGTCCCTTAACCTCCTGGGAGCCAGCAGCTTTTCCAGCATATTGCTCAGCACTTGAACCCAGGCATCAAGCGGACCAGGCATGCAGTAGTGCAGGCAGTCCAGCTTCGTCAGCAGCCCCGTGTGCCCGTCCGGTCGCAGCGCTGTCATCCTCTCCACATCCATCATCGCCATCCCTAGCTGCTCCGCCATTGGCTGGGACAGCCGGTTCTGGTGCGGGAATTTGTCCCAGTTGAACGGCAGCTTTGACGGGTCCTGCGGCGTTTCGATTGGCTTGTGGTGTTTCGGGCAGTCTACATGCCCGCCCGCGCTGTTCCGGTAGATTAGAAGCTTATCCGGGAACCGGTTTCGGAGGTACAAGAGTGTCGTGCGCAGGTGCGGCTCGAAGTCGTTATCCTCTCTATAGTGCGGCCCGCGGTTCAGTATAATCGCGTCGGCAGCGGGAAGCACCGGCGCCCTGGTCCAAGCGAAATGCAGATACTCCCGAGGGTTCCCCAGCTGCAAATGATCATTCCTTAGAAACACCATCCGCAACCCCGGGCAGACGGAATCATCAAAAGTCACATCCCGGCAGAAAATCTTCGCGGCAGGCCCGATGACCCACCCGCTGCATTCCGGTGATTCTTCCCGTGTCTCGTTGAATTCGGAGGAGACGGGTTTCCGGACCCCGAGGAGCATGGAGTCAACTAGGACTTGGAAGAGTTGGTGTTGCAGTGAGTCTCCTACAAAGACAAGGGTTCGATCTCGGCCCACTCGCTCGCAGAATCTGCGCGGGTCGAAGGGCTTCCACGGCTGCTTGCTGCTGCTGCTGCTGCCAGCGTTCCCTGATTTGAAGTCTGCGAGCCTTCTGCTTCTGCTGCCGCCGCTGTTGCTGCTGCTGTGGCTGAATCTATTTCCCCTGCCGCCAGAACCAGAAAGACGCCGGCGCTGAGAATCGAACCCTTCACCTTCCCCTTCCCCCTCGCCCTCATCCCCGTTATCCTCCTCTAGCAAATCACCTTCCTCCTCCCCCTCCTCTCCCTCCTCCCCCCCTCCTCCTCCCCCCTCCTCCTCTTCATACCTCTCCTCTCCCATTCCCACACTCGCCACATCCTCCTTATAATCACACTTGCCTTTAGGAACATCCCAAACATACTTCAATTCCCCGCGAATCTTCCATTCACTAGGCGCACCCCCCCTCCTCACCACATCATCTGCTTCATTCCCAGCTATCACCCCCTTCATAGTCTCCATTGCTCTAGTGTCACACGTACCCAAGCCCTTGTAAGGCCACGGTAAAAATCTCGGCCGCCCATCGAATTTCCACCGCCCCGCCTGCCCGACGCACGCTGCCCACGACCGGAAACTTTCAACCTGCCCGGACGTTCGGAGAACTGAACCTGGAATGACCCTAGTCAGATCTGGGACGGACAACCCCCACTCCACCCCTTCAGATGTAGCAGCTGGTAGCATAGGCACGGCGGCTAGATTTGATTTTGCTGCCGCCCGTTTGTCCCCGCCTCTCGACTTCCCTTTACCGAGGCTCTTGATTGACTCCATATAAGCAGCCTCGCTTAAGTAAACGAATTGAGCTGCCCGATCCACCACCTCTTTCACATGGTCTAGGTCACAAAATAAAGGGGAGTTTTCGCCTTCGGCCCCTCCCCCTGACACCGCTGCCATTGCCGGGTCTACATCCGGTTCTTCCCCTCCAAAAGAGGGGCTAGTACTGCACACGGAGATGTAATGTTGAAGCCTTAAAACGGAGGAGAGGGAGTAGGAGGGGAAGCGGAGGGCGGAGGGGTGACGCAGCTCCAGGACAAGAGTTGCCGGCCGCATGAAGATGGTGTGCATTAGAGTGCTGTCTGTGACTGTAATGAACAGGGCTGTACGCGAGAAGAGGTTTCGCACTGCAGTATAAAACGGGGGGGGGTGAGGGGGGGTGAGGGGGGGGTGAGGGGGGGGAGAGAAGGGAGGGGGGAGGCAGAGTGAATGAGATAAGGGTGCTGCCAGTGCGTGTAACGAATAGTTCGTACATGGAAAAAAAAAAGATACACACTGCAATGAAGATCTATCACATTCTTCCTAAGGCAGTAGCCCACTCGCTCACCCACTCACTCACTCGCTCACTCACTATCCCCATACTCACATTCTTCCACAGACATGCTGGGGCAGTAGCTAGCAACGCGGTGGGCCGGGAAATGCTGAAGCACAACATTCCGTATCGCCTCCGCATCGGCCCGGTTATGCAACCCTTGCAATCCCACCACCACCATCCAGTCACTCGGTAGTGCCGCCCATGCCACCTCATCCTCCCCCAAATCCACGTCAAGCATCGGCAGCACGCCGGCCAAAAACGGCGTCGGGTAGCTCACGGAAAGTTTTTCCATGCTGCCCGGATTTTGGGCGGATTTCGCGTCGTGGATGGCTTGGGAGGAGGCTTGGAGGAAGAGGTGGTGGGATTGGATGACGGAGGGGAGGGAGAGGGAGGTTCGGGGGGAAGCGATGGAGGAGGCTCGGGGGTGGTACGGGCGGTCCGGTTCGAAGAGCGAGGTTCGGATGTCCCGCCAAACCGAGTGCTGAGGCTCGTCACAGTGCTCGGAGAGAGGTTGGATGAGAGACTCGGCGAATAGGAGCGTGTTGGGCGTGTGGAAGGGGAAGGGGGTCCATGGCAGGTCGAAGTCTAGAATGCTCGTCAGCATTCGACGCAGCCCCTGATAAGGGAACAGAAAGGGGTGGGGAGGGAAAGGGGAGAATAGGAGCGTGTTGGGTGTGTGGAAGGGGAATGGCGTCCATGGGAGATCGAAATCGAGAATGCTCGTCAGCATTCTACGCAGGCCCTGTGTAAGAGGGATTCGGGAGGGGGTGGGGAGGCAAAAAGGGGGAAGAGGAGCGTGTTGGGCGCGTGGAGGGGGAAGGTAGTGTATAGCAGGTCAAAGTTGTCAATGGTGGAGAGACATGGACCAGCAATTCCCCGGCCTGGTGATTCACACACGCACATGCTCAACTCAACACACTCCCCCCCCCCCACACACACACATACCCACGCACACACACCCAAACACACGCGCACACACCCAAACACACGCGCACACACCCAAACACACGCGCACACACCCAAACACACGCGCACACACTCACCCGGGAGGACGGCAGAGCCACGTGTGCGTCCTTGAGGGCGGGGTTCTTTGTCATCTTGCGCAGGACGTGCAGCAGCGGGAGCCTCTCAATGACCTGGTGGTACGAGCGCTGATCACTCCTTGCCACCATCAGATTCACCACTGTTTGATGTGACACGACTGGAGCGTCCTTGGGGTAGGCGAACTGGCAAGAAGGAGGGAGGGGAGGGGAGGGGAGGATGGCGGAGCAGCAAGCAGTGAGCCTCTGGTGGTACGAGCGCCCCTCGCTGCCATCAGATTCACGACCCTTTGGGAAGAGGAGGGGTCAACGGAGTGGGCAAGAGGGAGAGTTGACTCAAACGTTCAAAACACTACCTGGCCGTTTGAGGTCAATTATATGAACCACCTAACCATGGAGAACTATTATTACACCTTGTCATCCATCCCCGTTACAGCATACCTTGGCTTTCCAGTTGCAGCCGCCCGTGTCGAACAGGTGCGTCTTGTTAAAAACCTGCCCGAAATGATTCACAAACACGTCCCGCAAAACAAAAACCTGCCCGGCCCACTCCGCGCGATCCTCCTCCGCGCCTCCCCCCCTGGCCCTCCGCAATACCCCCTCTGCGCCTTCCCCCTCCAGCGCCCAGCACCCGGAGCGCAGCAGTTCCCCGGGTAACTTCCCACTCGCGTTCGCTACACAGGCTTCCAGAGGGTTGTTTCCGACTTTGTACCGTCTTGCCCGTAAAACTGTTGGGGGATAAGTGATCGAGCCCGGAACTTTCTTCTTCCGAAAGAGCTGGTACACTAGGTCTTCCTGTTGACCAATGAGAGAGTTCGTCGCACCCATATACTCCTCGTGCCAACACGCGTCGATTTCTGGTTGGTAGCCGCCGCAAGGTCTCAAATCGGGGCATTTACCCGCTCCTTTGCAAATGTGCCACGAAGGAACTTTTTCCTTCTTGCCATTTTTTGGCTTGCCCGGCGGGTATTTAGTCCCGGGGGGATGTAACTGCGTCAGCCTGTAAAATTTGAGGTTGCTCGAATGTATCGAAAATGGTAACTTCTGTCGCTGATGTTTCGCAACCGGCTTCGGAATCTTCGCCGCATCGCCAGGACTCGACGCCACGCCGTCATCGGGACTCCACTCGTCGCCAGACTCATTCGCAACGCCGTCGCCAGCGTCGCCCGGCGACACTCGCTCCTGTCGCTGATGGTATCGCCCGCCCAAGGACCCGTCGCCGAAACCGTCGCCGTGACCGCCGAGAGCGTCGCCGAGGCTGTCGCCGAGATCAGCGTTTCGCACAAGATCAAGCAACGAGCTGGATCGTCTACGTCCTAACCCTAATCCTCCTCTTCCTCCTCCTCCTCCTCCTCTTCCGCTTCCCTTAACTGTTGCACCGAGCTATCGTCAGGCGGAGGGTAATCCGCGTCGTCCTCCTGTAACCGTCTCCTTCCGCCATGCCGATTGGTCGAGGAGTTTTCGCGAGCGGCGAATGCTTCGTCGCACGACGTCGCGAAGGAGAGGCAGTTCGCGCAGGTGACGAGGAGGAGGGCGACGAGGGGGAGAAGGAACAGACGAATCGACGGCGAGCAAGACGCTGGATTCTTTCCAAGCACGGTTTTACTCGATCGCGAGGGCCGGAAGATGCGCGACCTGTGGTTGCGGTGAAACGTTGCCATGGCGGCGCCTTGTGGCTGGAGTATCGGCTGGTACCTGTGCTTCCGCTGTTTCTGCTGCTGCCTCTGCTTTTCTCTCTGCGTCACCTGTTTAGAAGAATGTAGCTTGAGAAAAAACGCTGCGTATTCTTCTCGAGATTGCAGGCGTCCCTGCCTTGCCACTCGGAGCCGCTCAACCAGTCAATCCTGTTGTGCAACTCCAACAAAACTCTTGGCTGCGATGGAAGGATTAGACGAAGTATGTCTGCGAATGGCAGGCAGGCAAACTGAGATAGAGCCAGGGAACGGCGTTGGGCTTCACTAGTTGGGGCCCATACTCTGGCAAGGCAAGTGCTTGGGGGAGGTAGGTGTAGCACAAATCCTGCACTCACTTTCCCGAATACAAACTACGGTTATGCTCGGTCCTTTCTGGTATTATGTGGTGATTATCGAGAAACGCTCTTGTGGAAGCCTGATGAACCACACTGGACGATCAGCGGAGTAACGCACTGGATACCCCCGTTTACTGTTCGGTCTGGACCTACAGTAAGGGATAAGTGGTCATTCAACGAAAGTTTGTTGATTGCGGAATTAAAATCGACATCACTACACTCGCCTTCACATTTACGCAAGGTGGAGGGAGAAATTCCCACTTTCGAGATCCACAAGGATTTCGGCGTTTGTTTCGGGCTTAGTTGGAAGGTCGTTTTTTCGACAGGGTAACCTGAAATGCAGGTACCACACAGTCAGCATGGTCCGTCATTGGTCAACTGACGCATAGGTAGTTGTGGCGAGGCGCGGGGACTTGCCACTAGCAATGCTTCGCAAACAGTCGCCGACGCTGGGAGTTACGCTCGCAGGGGGTCGGCAGGTGGCTTATAGGTGTCGCAGAAATATGCTGCCAACCTGGAAGTGTAGAGATTGACCACCTGGCGAAACGACTGGTCTGCAGGTCGTCTTACGACGTCGCAAATGGAGGATATACACCCTGTCGCACATGGATATTTTCGCACAGGCAAACGAAGCAGCGCCGTGAGAAATACGCGTTTCAAGCCAATGCGCTGAACATGATCAAAGTCAGAATCAAGGTATATGTTTGTTTGCCCCTTTCCGCACATTTCGCGCACTGCAAACGCGGATGTTGCCTTGAACTGGCGCCGCAACATTCTAGGCAGGTTTGAAATCGGCTCGAATCTAGGTTCCTAGGTTATTGGGTTGCCACGTCAAACTCAAACCAGCTGGTCTGTCGACCATCGTTCTGCAGACAGATCGAACCACGATGCTCGCGACGGCGACGGCGTCGCGCCGCCAAGCGATGGCCCTTGCGGGTCACGCGCGGCACGGAACGACGTGGTCTTTTGCCTCTTCGAGGTAAATGCCTGTAGTCTAGTCTAGGAGGAATCATGGACGGATATTTCAACTGTAGATGTTCGCCTCAACTGTTTCCTTTCTTTCCTTTCTTTAATAAACACTCGCCCTGCCTCGCGTATTTAGGGAAGCCAAAGAAGAAGCAGAAAAAGGTTACTGGCGCTGTATAACGTTGAAGCTAAGACGTCTCAAATACCATACCTCACGTCCGCCTGGTGTGTTTTGAGTCGACTCAAAACACACGTTTTTCCCATTATCGTCTCGTCCCTGCCGCCTTTAGTCCCGACCACTCCCCTATTTCCTCCTCCTACCGACCATCCCGAGGCGCCTCAGCAACCATTCTCCCTTGTTCCGCTTCCCCCCTCCCCGCCATTCCGCCTGGCAGGCTCCTCTCCTCCCTGGCGGGGCTGGACTTCGCTACAGTCGACCCCGCTTCGCTACAAGCCTCCAACTCCAAGATTTATAACCTCGGTAAAGCATTTTTGACAGTGAGCGTTTGTCTCGATGATTCGTTGAATACGAAAGACATGGTTTCGAATGCTGTTCACTGATATACTCATCTTCCCTCCCCCACCTCCATTCCCCCCTCAACCACCCCGTTTCCCTTCCCCATTCGCCCTTGTTCGTTCCTCTTCCCTCTTTCCAGTGGGTGGGGAGTGGAGGGGCAGTGAAAGGAGTCAAGTGGTGGTTGATCCGTTGAATGGGAAGGACATGGTTTCAGTACCGGACGCACAGGCGCATGAGATTCAGGTGAGTGAAAGGGATGTGAGTGAATGCGTGCCTTTTGTGCATTAGTGTGTGGATGGGTGAATCTGATGGATAGGTCATTGCATCAGCCCCTGGTGGTAAATTCTGTGGAGATTCTAAAATCTGAAATTCAGGTCTGGTCAAACTGTGAAGCACGACGCATTCTGTCCCATGCTCCTTTTGAGTCGACTCAAAAGTCGATGCATTCTGTCCCGTGCTCCTCCCGCTTGCCCATTTGTCAACACCCTCTCGCACCCACTGCTTCGAATCTGTTTTTCTCTCTCCCGGTTCATTTTCCTTTTCATGGCCGATTTATATTCCGTCCCTGTCTGTCTGTCAACTTCCACAGCCATTCGTGGAGAGTCTTTCCTGCTGCCCCAAGTCTGGTTTGCACAACCCGTTCAAGAACCCAAGCAGGTACAACAACCAATCCAGATAAACCCACTTTTCTTACACATAAAAAAGGGAATTCCCTGCACATGAATCTCCTTGCGGTAATTTCGCTATCCTGCTTGTCTTCTTTGGTGATGTTTCCATATACCCCTTCAGAGGTCTCACATAACCTACTCTTCGCGTCAAACCTTTTTCTCTCTTCTCCCCCTTCTCCCCCAACCCCCCGCGCATTGAATGCCCTCCCAGGTATCTCCTGTACGGCTCTGTCTCTGCTGCTGCTGCCAATGCACTAAAAAAGCCCGAGGTGAGATGGAAACAATCTGAAGTTGAAACTTGGGCGTTTTCGAGGTAATATGCAGGCTATTGCAAGGTGATAGGTAAGCGACTCCAATGAATCCCACTAATTCCTCATTAGTCCCTCTCCCTCGTCCCTTGGCTAATTCAGACAGTGTCCCGCAAGAGCCTCTTCTAGACGACTTCCCACGGATCCTTGTCTCGTCTCTCTGCTCTTTTGATTTCACCCTCTTCCTCAGGTCTCTGACTTCTTCGCTCGTCTCATCCAGAGGGTCTCCTCCAAGAGCCTCTTCCTGGCCCTTTGTTCATATGAACCCATGACTCTCATACATACATTGTGTCTTTCCGTCTTTCCGCCTCTCTTCCCCTTCCCCTCCCTTCCTCAGGTCCCTGACTTCTTCGCTCATCTCATTCAGAGGGTGTCCCCCAAGAGTCTCTTCCAGGCCCACTGTTCATGTGAACCCCCACCTCTCGTACATACATTGTGCCTTTCCGTTTTTTCCTCTCCTCCCTTCCCCTCCCTTCCCCAGATCCCTGACTTCTTTGCTCGCCTCATTCAGAGGGTGTCTCCAAAGAGCCTCCTCCAGGCGACTTCCCACGCATTCCTTGTCTCTCTCTCTCTCACTCTCCTCTCTTGGTCCTTTTTCCCTCCTTCCTCCAGGTCTCTGACTTCTTCGCTCGTCTCATTCAGAGGGTGTCCCCCAAGAGCCTCTTCCAGGCACGGGCGGAGGTCTCAGTGACTCAGAAGTTTCTGGAAAACTTCTCAGGCGATCAGGTGCGCTGCAGGGGGTCAGGTGGGCGACAACAGGAAGTCAGGTGGGCAGCAGGAGGTTGATCAGGTGGGCAGCAGGAGGTTGATCAGGTATGAGGGATCACATAACATGGGCCTTGTTTGGAGGCAATTTAATTCAACTCACGGCTATAAGCAACTGCATTTCAGTTTAGTCGGCCATCATTCATTCCTCCCCAGTGCCATTTTGTTCTTATTTCTTCACCCTTTGCCGCACACTCCCTCATTCCTCATTCTTGTTTCTCACCCCCCGCCCTGTCCTCGCCAGGTTCGGTTTCTGGCTCGGTCATTTGCCGTACCTGGCGACCACACGGGGCAAACCAGCGCTGGACACAGGTGGCCCTACGGTCCGGTGAGTGGCTGATAAGACCTTGCCAACAAGAAACTTTGTTACACAAACACCCATTATATTGTTCCCTATCAAAGATTCAACTGTAAGTCACACACATTTCCTCTACTACAAAAAACTCGGTTACAATGATGCTTGGTGGTGCGATACTAAACCCTATCAAAGTGCTTTTTCATGGTTGCAGGTGGCGATTATCTCGCCCTTCAACTTCCCTCTGGAGATCCCAATGCTGCAGCTCATGGGGGCGCTATACATGGGGAACAAGCCGCTGCTCAAAGTGGACTCCATGGTGTGGTGCGGTACAATGCGGTGGAATGGGGTATCGTATGGTATGTATGTATGTTGTTCTGTTGTACGCTGCATGCTGCAGCTCATGGGGGCGCTATACATGGGGAATAAGCCGCTGCTCAAAGTGGACTCCAAGGTAAGCTGTAGTGCAGTGCGGTGACATGCGGTGCAATGCTGTGTCGTATGGTGGTGCACTCTGGTGTGGCGTGGTGTGAAATATGCGGTGAGAGGCTTTAAGCACAAACGCCTCTGCTTCCCCCACCACACTCTCTTTCACCCAGGTGGCAGTGGTAATGGAGCAGGCGCTGCGTTTGCTGCACGCGTGCGGCATGCCCCATGCTGACGTGGACTACATCAACTGTGACGGGCCGGTTATGCACCAGCTGCTGCTGCAGGCACGTTCTTGCAGGTTCGGGGTAACAGGTTTGTTGATGCTGACGTGGACTACATCAACTGTGACGGGCCTGTCATGCGCCAGCTATTGCTCCAAGTATGTAACAGGTTCGGGATAACAGTTTTGAGAATTCTCCAAAGTGTTCGGGATGACAGCTTTGGTCATGCAGGTTCGGTCACGCAGCTAGAGCCATGCTGACATATGCTAGATCAACTGTGACGGGCCTGTCATGCACCAGCCGCTGCTGCATGTATGCAGGTGTGCGTGCGTGCGTGCGTGCGTGCGTGCGTGCGAGCGTGCGTGCATGCGTGCATGTGTGGTCATGTGGAGGCGTGTGCTATGCAGGTTTAAAGGCCCCGTCCCCGCTCCGTATCCCTCCTCCTCCCCCTCTCCACAGGCCCAGCCGTGTGTGACGCAGTTCACAGGCAGTGCACGCATTGCTGAGATACTGGCAAAGGACCTGAGGGGCAAGGTGAAGCTGGAAGGGTATCACAGGTACCTCTCTCCACCGCTCCGTATCCCTCCTCTCCCCCTCCACAGGCCCAGCCGTTTGTGATGCAGTTCACAGGCAGTGCACGCTTTGCAGAGATTCTGGCCAAGGACCTGAGGGGCAAGGTGAAGCTGTAAAGAGTTATCAGGTGCCTTCCTTTACCGCCCTGTACCCCTCTCCACCCTACCATGCCAGGCCCAGCCATGTGTGAGGCAGTGCTCGGATTGCAGAGATTCTGGCCAAGGACTTGAGGGGCAAGGTGAAGCTGGAGGGGATTCTCAGGTAACTTTCTCCACCACTCCGTATCCCTCTTCTTCCCCTTCCAAACAGGCCCAGCCGTGTGTGACGCAGTTCACAGGCAGTGCACGGATTGCAGAGATTCTGGCAAAGGACCTGCGGGGGAAGGTGAAGCTGGAAGATGCAGGGTTTGACTGGAAGATCCTGGGACCCGATGTGAAGGAGGTGAGTTGCTGATGTGAGTGTGATTGGGTTGCGTGTGGATGGGTAAGGTAATGGTGCTTAGGTGTGCTGTGCTGTACAGTGGTGTCCTGCTTGCATTGAGGGGCAAGGTGAAGCTGGAGGATGCAGGGTTTGACTGGAAGATCCTGGGCCCAGACGTGAAGGAGGTGGGTGGGTGGTGTGCTAGTAGGTAGCCTGTGCGTGGGTAGTGCATGGAAAGCTTGGGTATTGCTGCTTAGGTATGCTGCCCGTTGTGCGTCCCTTGCCTACATGGGCTCAGCATCTTCCAGTCCAACCCAGCGCCTTCCAGCATCTTACATGGGTGGGACTGGAAGATGCTGAGCCCAGGTGTGAAGGAGGTGGGTGGGTGCTGCGTGAGCAGAATACTGGCTTGATAAGTCTGTGTTATCGGTGTAGGCTTGCGTAAATTGTTCCTTAGGTGATTCACAGTGAATTGCACTGTAAAGGTGGGCTCTGTCTCCCCTCACTGCTCTATGGGTTCAACCTTTCTTCCACTTCTTGTTAATCCCCTGCCACCCTCTGTATGTCTGCAACCCCAGTTGGACTACGTGGCATGGGTGTGCGATCAGGATGCATATGCGTGCAGCGGTCAGAAGTGCTCTGCCCAGTCTATTCTCTTCATGCACAAGGTGAGCCTGTCCTCCTTATATGCAGCATGCTTATCCTCCATATAAGCACTTCTTGCCCATTCCGCCTCTCTTGCCCGTCCCCACTCTCATGCCCGACCATCAGAACTGGGTGCAAAGTATCGCTTTGAGACGTCATTCTGTTTGAGACAGCTCAATTAATAATGTTCCTCCATTCCTCGCGCATTCTCCCATCATCAGAACTGGGTGCAAAGTATCGCTTTGAGACGTCATTCTGTTTGAGACAGCTCAATTAAGAATGTTCCTCCATTCCTCGCGCATTCTCCCATCATCAGAACTGGGTGCAAAGTATCGCTTTGAGACGTCATTCTGTTTGAGACAGCTCAATTAAGAATGTTCCTCCATTCCTCGCGCATTCTCCCATCATCAGAACTGGGTGCAAAGTATCGCTTTGAGACGTCATTCTGTTTGAGACAGCTCAATTAAGAATGTTCCTCCATTCCTCGCGCATTCTCCCATCATCAGAACTGGGTGCAAAGTATCGCTTTGAGACGTCATTCTGTTTGAGACAGCTCAATTAAGAATGTTCCTCCATTCCTCGCGCATTCTCCCATCATCAGAACTGGGTGCAAAGTATCGCTTTGAGACGTCATTCTGTTTGAGACAGCTCAATTAAGAATGTTCCTCCATTCCTCGCGCATTCTCCCATCATCAGAACTGGGTGCAAAGTATCGCTTTGAGACGTCATTCTGTTTGAGACAGCTCAATTAAGAATGTTCCTCCATTCCTCGCGCATTCTCCCATCATCAGAACTGGGTGCAAAGTATCGCTTTGAGACGTCATTCTGTTTGAGACAGCTCAATTAAGAATGTTCCTCCATTCCTCGCGCATTCTCCCATCATCAGAACTGGGTGCAAAGTATCGCTTTGAGACGTCATTCTGTTTGAGACAGCTCAATTAAGAATGTTCCTCCATTCCTCGCGCATTCTCCCATCATCAGAACTGGGTGCAAAGTATCGCTTTGAGACGTCATTCTGTTTGAGACAGCTCAATTAAGAATGTTCCTCCATTCCTCGCGCATTCTCCCATCATCAGAACTGGGTGCGAGCTGGCCTTGTGGATTGCCTGCGATCATTGGCTGCTCGGCGCAACCTGCAGGATCTCTCCATTGGTCCCGTGCTCACAGTGAGTGCCTCTAACGGAAATTTATGTGCTTACTCTGAGTTCTTGTATTGCAACGAGACACGGTGTGAAGTGAGTAGACTTGCTCACCATCTCTCGGGTCTCTTAACCCTCCTCAAGACCCTAAAGTTCAGGATTCTGAGCTGCTTCAAAACCCTCTTCCTGTCACTCCCATCCCCGTCTTTCACCCACCTCACACCACCCCACCAGGTGACAACAGAGGCCTTTCTTTCCCACGTGAAAGCCCTCCTCTCCATTCCCGGGGCTCGCCTGGAGTTTGGAGGAAAGGAGCTGCTGGGTGGGAAGCACAGCATCCCCGCGTGCTACGGTGCTGTGGAGCCGACCGCTGTGTTTGTGCCGCTTAAAGCCATGCTCGCGAGTCGGGAGAACTTTGAGATTGCCACCAAGGAGGTGTTCGGACCGATTCAGGTGGGTTGGATTCTGTGGGCGTGCATATGCATCTACTAAGGTACGTATAGTAGATGCAGACATATGCGTACCTTAGACTCCATGATCCAGTTTGAGCGTTAATCTGTGGACAGGGAAAGGACACTGGAACAGGCTGGTGGGCGTTAATCAAGTGCTTCACGCTCCCCTGCTTGTGCGCTGCCCCCTCCATCATCCCCAGGTGGTGACAGAGTATGACGATAGCGAGATTGACCTCGTGCTGGAGGCCAATGAGAGGATGACAGCTCATCTCACCGCCGCGGTGGTGTCCAACGACCCTCTCTTCCTGCAGGTGTGGAAACAAAAGAAAAACAAGTAAAACGTTCGAGGTAGTTGTACATTTATCTCTCTGTTGATTTCTCTGTTGATTTCTCTGTTGATTTCTCTGTTGATTTCTCTGTTAATTTATCTGTTGATTTCTCTGCAGTATCAGCCCTTTCTGACAGCCCTCATGGACTTTGGGAGTCACTTTTGAGAGTTCTCAAAAGTTCTTTTCTATGTTGATTTATGTGCAGTATCAGCCCTTTCTGACAGCCCTTTCTCATGGGCTTGTGTGTTTTTCACTGATGCTTAACCATCGTTCCTCCCCTGCCATTGCTCCATTTCCACGCCAGCACGTGCTGGCAAACACTGTGAATGGGACCACCTATGTTGGACTGCGGGCGAGAACCACAGGGGCGCCACAGAATCACTGGTAAGGAATAAATCATAAGCACGCTTTTTCAAGCCCATTTTGCACTGTGTACTAAGATTTCCTGGGTGGTGTGCTATGGGTGTTGATGGTGTAGTTGGCACTACAACTTACATCCACTCTACTGGTTGTGTTTTTATCCACTGCGCCTGTTTCCCAGGTTTGGACCTGCCAACGATCCACGAGGGGCAGGCATCGGAACCCCGGAAGCAATACTCTCGCCTAGTTTGGTCTTGCCATCGAGAGATTATCTCGGACTATGGTCCAGTTCCTTCCGGGTGGACCCTTCCGGAGTCGACTTAGTGTATTTCACCCCAGTTCTGACATATAGGGAAGTGTTTCATGATTGAGTGACCCCTAAACCTGGGATACCATATGCAAAACGACAGACATTTTAATGCCAATTGAGTTGCTAATGACTTGAAATGGGAATCAACTGTATATTCGAATCACTCCTTAAGAAGTTCAAGTCCGTGAAGTGTACCATCTTCACGTCCAAATTTTGGTATTCGATTCGACCTGACAGCCATTTTGAATTGTGGCGGGGCTGTGCGACGGCTCTGGCTTTCGCCTGTCGAAGAGCCGTTCAAATCCTCGCATTCAAACTTCCCGCTCTGTTGTCACAGCCTGCTGGCCGTTCATTTCCAAATTGAGACACCGCTCATCTCCATCATGCCATGTCCTTCTCCGCCAGGAAAATCTCATCTACGGTTGTGAATCGGGTAACATTTCATATCGGACGGCTTATGGGGACTCGGACTCTCTTTCCGCGGCTTTTGCCCCGTTACGACCAAAGCCACTCCCATTTTTCAAATGCAAAACATTTCCCGGACGGTTCGCTGCGTCTCATCGCCATGAACAGTACCATTAGCACCTCTACTCGTTCAGCCAATGTAGTTTCCCGTTTGCCCGAATCTCAACGCCCCAGCCGTATAAGGCGGCCGTTTGGCGCAAAGCGAAATTGTTCTCCTGCGAGCCGAGCCGCACAACCCAGCCGCATTTGGCGACCCACACAGATTGTCCGCGGCACGGCTTTTCAAAAAGCTAAACCTCCTATACCATTTTTCACCGCACTGTAACCTACCGAACCTGCGTTGCTCGTTCTCGTCCTGTCACCATTTTCATTTTTTGCCGACAGCACACACACCTTCACCTACAAAACACCTCGCCTGGCTCATTCATCCTCATCCGCTTTCTGCTTTCAACACCAGACGTATCACGCGGTGCACTCTCGTGCTCCTGCATCCACTCGCGCTGAGTCTCAGAACGCTTTCCCGCTTACGACGACTATCTACTTGACCGTTTCCAGCATCTTTCTCTTTCTAGATCGGTACCTTGCGCTCAGAAGCTCCAGTCGTTATCGCTCAGGGGCACGTCGTTCTATTTGGGGATTATTACCTAGTCAAAGAGTTTAAGCCCGACCTATCTCAAGCCATGGCCACCAGAATGGCCTCTCAGCACGCTGTCAATGACGAGAACAAGGTGATGGATGGGAAACGGCTTGCAGGCAAGAACGCCGCGGCGGCTATCGCACCGGAGCTCGGCGCGATGAAGCTTCGATCCGGCCATGTCCTCCCTCCCCCGCGCCGAGCGTTCGGCACGCTCACCAACAGCATGGCCTCCAAGGCAGCTGCAGGCGGGAAAAAGGCCGAACCCGTCCGCCAACGCGCTGCTCCCGCCGCCAAGGTGCCTGGTCGTGCCTCCGTTGTTGTGGTGAGCACTAACACTCTCCGCGCTTTCGGAATCTTGATCAATTTCCGTCGCCGTTCTACGACTTGACCTTGACGCATCTAAAGTGTATAGTCTCGCCGTTCCTCCTCTGTTACTTTTTTATCTGACATTTTCCGTTTCTTTCTTTTGCAGCCCAAGCCTCAACCCGCCGCCAAATCCGCTCAGACCACCAGCGCCGTCAGCGTCATCACCCTCTCACCTGACGTGGAAGAAGTGATCCCGGCTGACGTGGACATCGAAGAGCCCCGCCACGTGCACACCATGACCGCTGAGCTGACAGCCGTCAGCGAGGAGGCGAGCGTGCTCTCTACAGTCACCGCGATCAACGCCGCCGCCGCCGCCGCCGCGTCCGTCAAGAGGGAAGCGTGGTGGGACATCGACGCCGCCGACAAGAGCAACCCTCTTGCCGAGACGACTTATGTCGCGGATATCTACAACTTCTACAGGCGCACGGAAGCGGAAGGCATGGTGGCTCCAGATTACATGAACCGTCAGAGCGACATCAACGGCACGATGCGCGCGATCCTCATCGACTGGCTGATCGAGGTCCACCTGAAGTTCAAGCTCATGCCGGAGACGCTTTTCCTCGCTATAAGCGTCATCGATAGGTACCTGGCTGTGACGCCGGTTCCGCGTCGCAACCTGCAGCTGGTGGGGATCACGGCGATGCTCATCGCGTCTAAGTACGAGGAGATCTGGGCTCCTGAGGTCGGCGATTTCGTGTACATCTGCGACAACGCGTACACGCGCCAGGACGTGCTGAAGATGGAGAAGGATATGCTCAACACGCTGCAATTCAAGCTGACAATCCCCACTTCGTACGTATTCACCGCTCGATTCCTCAAGGCCGCGACCGCTGCCGCGAACGCTGCCGCTGCTGCCGGTGCGGGTGCTGACAAGGCGGTGACCGTTGGAGCAGACACCCGCGTTCACGCGCTTGCGTGGTTCCTTCTCGAGCTAACCCTGCCAGAGCACTCTATGATCAAGTTCTCCCCGTCGCACCTGGCTGCCGCGTCGGTCTACGCCGCGCTGCTGACGGCTCACCACGCCAACAAGACAGCCACGGGAGCAGGCTCGGCAGGCGCCGGTGAGGTTTGGGGCCCCGGCATGGCGTGGCTTACCGGGTACGACGAAGCGACGCTGTGGCCGTGCGTGGAGCAGCTTGTGGCTCTGCACGGAAAGGCCGGCACGGGGAACCTCGCGGCGGTTCACAAGAAGTATTCGCGGAAGCAGTTTGAGGAGGTGGCGAAGATCCCCGCTGTTCCTCACCTGCCCGAGAACCCCCCCCGTGCCGCCGTTGCACATAAGCTGACCAAGTCGACATCCTGCTTGTCGACGGCCAACTCGTCCGTTCCAGTGGCTGGCAGGAAGTGAAAGGCGGAGGATGGATGTACCTTGGGAGTCGCACAGAGCTAGTATTTTGTCGCTTAGAGCTTATTGCGCAGGGTCATCTCGCCCTGTTTTTGCTTTCCTGTCGTGATAAGGGCTCCCTCTGCCCTTCCTTAGGAGCTTTTGTTTTCCTAGCTTGCTGTCTGAGGGGCTCACTCGGCCTAGACTAAATAAGGACCTCCGGGTTCTTAGATTAGGACGTGTACAGCGGTCTATCAATAATAACTTACCTTTGAGCATGAAGTATGACCATGACAAGCAAGAAAGAATCACATGAGAACGACATAAATTATGCTGTGACTGGGAAACAGCCTTCTTCCATACAATCACCCACCTTCCTTCACTACTTCTCACAACCTTCCGAACCCTGGTCTGAGGATAACGCATCAATGTCCGCTGATTGTGGTGCTGGATAGGTGGCGGCTTCCAGGAACTTCTTCCCCTTGTACTTCTTATACACCGCACCACAGCGACTCGACAGAGCTGTCTTGTATAACTCCAGCAACAGCCCCACACAGTGCCAAAGCTCCTGAGCTTCAAAACCGGTCAAGTCGGCCATGCGTGATCCCCAAATTTCACCTTCATTGGTTGGCCTCCTGTGCGTGATGGTCTGGCTGCTCTCTGGATTAGTTGACTTGGCTGCCTTTCCCTTTTGATAGGCTCCAAGCAGAGCAGTGTATACTGCTGCAGCAGCAAGATGGGACGGACTGAACTGAACCATGTTGATTTCTGGAATGGTCAGCTCCAGAAGGTACCATGCAAATGCATGCACCCGACTGCTGGTTCCCTTTGACACTTCGATGCTCCACCCATTGGAAACTGCTTTTGAAGCTGTGGCGGCATCAGCTGCAGCCTTGGCGAAATTTAGGTAACGAGCAGCGAACATGTAGCATGTTGGGATGCTCAGCTTGAACGATATTGTGTTCAATATCTGCTTCTCCATCATCCGTATCTGTCCTCGCGTGTAGGCGCCAGCTCCAATATCTTCGAAGTCAGCAACAAGGGGAGGGTAAATCTCCTCGTATTTCGCAGCAATCATGATGCAGGTTGCTCCAACCAGCTGAATGTGCTTCTTAAGTACATGAGTGGTAGCAAGATAGCGGTCGAAGATGTTGACAGCCAAAAAGAGTGTTTCTGGCATCAGATTATAGGATTCGTGGACCTGCATAACAGTTTTAAGGAGTCAGAAAAATGCGGTCAGAAGTTTATAAAAAGCGTTGCGGACGACAATGGTTGACCTGAACCACCCAATCTAGCACAACGCCTCGAATGCGACTGTTGACTTCGGGTTGAGCAGACATGTAAGTGGGGCAAACCATTCCCTCCTTCTGTAAAATAGAAACTCAGAGTTAACCTTCGAGTTTAGCATCCAAAGAAAGATATCAGAAACTGACCTCCGTCATCTTGTAATGGTTGTAGATGTCAGCGACGTAAGTAGTCTCAGCAAGCGGATTCTCACGGTCTTGAGCATCGATATCCCAACATGACTCCACTTTTACTTCCAGCGTATTCTCAATGAGCTGCTTCGTCATGGTCAAGATGTGCCTCCCAGGACCAGCGTTGTTCCCTGCACAATGACCAGCACTATCCCTTCGCTGGAAAACATAACGAGTCACTTCGTTTGTTGCTTTCTCGTGATTGGATGCGAGTTGTGTCACCGCCTGCGTGTCCAAATCAGTTGCCTTCACACTGTGAGAATCAGCAGCAATAAGATGATCGGCGACATTGTCCTCATGGATTGGAGCCGTAATGTGATCAGGGAGATCTTCGTCATGAACAGCAGAAGTAGAGTGATCAGCGACATTCTCTTCATGGATTGCTGCTTCAACTTGATCAGCAACATCTTCATGGATAGCTGCAGCAACGGAATCAGCAGCATTCTCTTCATGGACCTCTGCAGCAACGTCATCAGCGACATCTTTGTCATGAACAGCAGTGAAATGATCCGTTACATTGTCTTCTTGAACAGCCGCTGTGAGGTGATAAGTGAGATCGGCACTATCAATGGTCGCTGCTGGTGCGCCCTTTGAAGGATCACTGATTGCAGTCGTTGATGACCTTCGAATGACAGTCGCGTTGCTGGAACGAGCGGCAACAGGAGCAGAACTGCTGCTGCGTCGCAGTACATTGCTTCGTGTGGTAGGAAGACGTGTCTTCTCGAAGAGACCTTTCGAAGTTCCAGCCGGACGCCATGCCGGAGTAGGTGGTTTTGTTGGCCGAGCCTGTACATTTGTTGCTAGTATCAGTAACGATCAGAAATGGCATTCCTCATGCCGCTTTAATCACGTTTCGAGCACACCTGAGGAGCCGCCTTTTTTAATGCTGCTTTCGGAACATCCCCGACTTTTACAGGAGCTTTGTCACTGAAACATGAAACGCGGAGTCAGTGATGTATCTCGGCGAACTTTGCTGTTGACGCACTTGATTGTCTTACCGCTCGGAGACCACGGCCTTTGTGGTATTCGTGACATGACGAAGCGAAGGACGAGAACTTTCGTTCTTACTCCGTACGACGTTTGCCTTCGTTGCTGAATTTCAGACACGCGGATAAGTATCGTATAACATAGAAAATGGATCAACACAAACGTTCTGACAATACTACCCTTCCCTGCAGCGGGTACAGCGTTTTCGTTCTGGGAAGCCACTGGACGAGTCCGTGTTTCCCCACGACGGCTCTGCAAGCAGCAGTAGATCGTTAGGGAGTTCCTAGATAAAAGAGATGTCGTTAGATTGCAACTCGATCGCACCTGCGTTGCGAGAGGTGCCATGATTCTCAATGCTATGGTCTTCCTGAATCCTGATTCTAGACGAAAGATGCGGTCGACCATGAATGCAAATTTGTAGGCTCTAGGGGTGTTGACTTTCGCTTCTGCGTGCTGGTTCAAGATCGAATAATGCAGCAGATACATTCGTACACTTTGTACAATTATGCCGAGATTGCAATTGTACAAAACCATTTGCCCAGATTGCAGTACAAAATTCAGGTAATGCTGTTTTGATTCTCATAAGCTATGATATGAATTCCATGCCATTTTATCGTCATGCCACACCATGTTACAATGATCACTTGAACAAGGCTTATTCACCACCAAGAACGAATGCAACTAGTAACAAGCTACATCTTGGTAAGTCTAAATCTGCATTTTTCCAAGGTGCATAAACCACTATGACTGGCTAACAGAGAGCATTATTGCGGGACTTCTCCTGAATCAACCACCGTTTTCTTTGCCGTGCTGATTATATGGTACATGGCAGTTACCGCTGCCTTGTTTTCCGCCCACCATGTTTCTGCTTGCTTCTCCATGAAAACCTTGCGGCTACAGATGAGCATGCACACCAAACAAACAAGCAAAACAAGAAAGATCATCATAGAAAAAGAATAGAGTGTTCGGATATGAAGACGAATGATTGTTTGGGTATGAAGACGGGTGAGAGGAAAGGTTTCAGTGGAGACTACAAGGAACATATGGAAGGAATGCTGGGAAGGTAGAAATATGATGTGGGGGATGTGGGGGTGGGCTGGAGGGTGGAGAGTACTGACAAAAAAAAAACAGAAAACCAGGGCTAAAATGAGAGGGTGGGATCGAGGAAGCAGGGATGAGAGACTTTTCAGCCCATACATGACCAAAACTCAGAAGATGGACGCACCAGCAACACAACTAAAGCAATGGCCTACCTGAATCGGATTCGATAAAGCTCAGTCCCTTCTCCAGGCAGCTTTGCCAGAGTCACATACACGCCAGGCTCTCTTGTTTAGATACCTTTGGCAATTGGAACCACAAAAAAAGAATAGAGCGGCAGCTTACCTGAACCGGATTCGACGAAGCTCAGTCCCTTCTCCAGGCAGTTTTGCCAGAGTCACATACACCCCAGGCTCTGGCTGTTCCACCCACTCCCCATCCCCCAGCTTCCTGCTCCTGTGCTTCCTCCCATGTCTCTCCTCCCTGCTTGCACTCTCCTCCCTACCAGTAATCTCCTCTCCCCGAGCACTCCCCTCCATGTAGGCTCTCTCCTCCCCAGTCACATTCTCCTCCTTCCCAACGCTCCCCTCACCCCCAGCATTCTCTTCCCTATCACCACTCCACGTCTCGCCCCGGCTCATCCCACAGGGCACATATTGCCAGCCACAGCTCGCCTCTTCTTCACCTGCCCCCACACAGTCGTCCGCACTCCTCACTGCATCTACATACTGGTGCTGGCCTGGTGCATCACTGGCTGGACCGGCATAGCTCGTATAACCCTCCTCTAAACACCCCGCAGAATAATTCTCCTCTGGACTTGATTCTGCTGCATTTTCGTCCAAGTCCGATGCTGCAAGAAGCATACCAGAACCATCCTCCGTAATCCTTCCAAATGAAGCTTCGCCTGAACCCTCACTTCCCTCTCGTGCTAAACACTTCCCGTCCAACCCATCAGCACTCAGTTGCCCGTTCCCCCTCTCCTCACCACCCATCACAGCAGCAACAACCGCACTGTCCTTTCCTGCACCTCTATCTACTGCGAACCTGCTAGCAGGCCGCTGCGGTCTGGGGGTCATTTCACAGATCCCGTTCCAAACAGGAGGGATCCCAATGCTTGTCACCCTCCCAGTTTGAACAACCCCTTTCCGAATCACAGCATCAGCACCCACCTGCTCGTTTGCAGCTCCCATCCCACCACTCCCATCCTTTCTTTCCTCCACCTCTTCTTCCCCTGCCTCCTCCCCATCCTCCTCCTCACCAGCCACTCCCATTCCTGGCCCTCTTTCCTCCTCCAACCCTTCCCTGCCAACAGCAAATCTCTCCTCTGCCTCCTCACCCTCCCATTCAGCCACATCAGCTAAAGCATCGTCATGTGAATTCTCCTCTCCTGATGCTGCCCAAAAGTCAGGCCCCTGCCCTGTACCTCCCACAGCTGCCCCAGAAGGGATTCCCCCCAAACCTGACTTCCCAGCGCCTTTATTCACCTGCCCGAACCACTGCGACCTGGGAGAGTCAATGTTTTCATCTGCCCCACCTACAGGGCTCCAAGGCATGCCCACAGCGCTTCTGAAGGACCAAGACTTGTTGGAATTTCTGGTGGGTTTAGAGATGTTTGACGAGTCTGAAGGAGATTTTCCTTCAGGCACTGACTGAGACGAAGGGTATGGGGAGTCTGAAGAAATCTCATTCTCACTTTCCCCATCCCCTCCTCCTCTCTCCTTTCGTGCTTCGTCCCGCTGAACTGCCTCCTCCTGAGTTGCCCCTTCCAGCACAAGGCAACTATTTCCTTCAACATCTGCAGATAAACCATTCAACCTACTGCCTTCCACCTTGCCTGAGGCTTCCGCTGCATGGGATGCATCTGCTGCTTCTGCTGCTTCTGCACTGTTCGTTGCTTCTGACACCTCTGCTTCTGCTGCTACTTCTGCCACGTCCGGTTCTCCTTCCCATCCCTCAGAACATTCCTCTAACTCTTCCTCCACCCGCAGTGCAGCCAAAGCAGCCGCAGCAGCTGCCACAGACTCACCGTCCCTCCCAGCTATCCCTGCTGCTACAGCTGCGGTGGCATTAGCGGCACCAGAAGGGGATTTAGATCTGGTCCAGTCCCGGGAACTCCAGGAGTTGAAGGAGAAATTGGTTGTTAGTGGCTGTAGCCCTGCTGCTGCAGCAGCGGCTGCTGCTGCTGCCGCTGTCCGTGGAGTGACCTTGCGTTTCAACAATCTGGAGTTCTTGCTACCGCTGCCGCCACCACTACTGCCGTCGTTGATTCTGCTGCCGCTGCTGCTGCTGCTGCTGCTGCTGCCTCTGCTGCTGCTGCTGCTGCTGCTGCCCCCGCTTACCCTCCCCTCGAAGCTGCCACTGCCTGTGCTGCTGCTACCAGCACACGCACTGTCTGCACCCACACCTGTGCTCGTTCTTGTATCTGTACTAGTGCTTGAAACGGGTGAGCTCTTATTGGGATTCAAAGCGACCCCCATGCTGCTGCCATTTGCACCAGCCATATCCATGGATAGAGAAGAGTCACTGGTAGCACCCACGCAATCAGCCCCACCAGCTGCCTCCCTGCGTACTTCTTCCCCACATAACCCCTCCTCACATGTTTCCTCCCCACGTGCCCCCTCCCCACGTGCCCCCTCCCCACGTGCCCCCTCCCCACATGCCACCTCTTCAGCTACTGCCTGTCCTGAAGCCGACCCAGCGGCAGTGCTGCTGGTAACTTGCTGAGGAGGGAGCTCCGTTAGGGTTGGAGGGATGGAGGCGGAGGAGAGGAGTGGGCCTGTATAGACCACGGCAGCTGGCAGGGAGGTCACTGCGAGGCTGACTTGCTTGGTGCTGCCCTGAGGGAGACCTTGAGAGAGAGTGGTGAGCTGTGCATGGGCGAGGGGAAGATTGGGGGGGGGGGGAAGGAAAGGGGGAGAGGGAGAGGGGAGATGGGTAAAGAGGGGATGAGAGACGGGAAGAGGAGTGAGCCTGTCCGCAGCTGGCAGGGAGGTCACTGCGAGGCTGACTTGCTTGGTGCTGCCCTGAGGGAGACCTTGAGAGAGAGTGGTGAGCTGTGCATGAGCGGGGAGCAGGGGGAATGGAAAAAGTGGGAGCGGGAGGAGGACGGAGGGGGATGAAATAAGGGAAAGAGGAGCGGGCCTGTGTAGGCCACGACAGCTGGCAGATGAGAAACATATCCATGATCTAATATAAGGGATCATACCTGCTGAGAGAGCAGCTGGATGACATCACGAGCGCCAGCAGCACGAGCAGCGGCTCTGCTGGCAGCTGAGAAGGCTGCCTCCACCTGCTTGCTCGCTAGACGCCTCTCTGCCTGCCGCTCCCTCTCCACCTCCGCACTCCTCACTTTCACCGCTCGTAGCTGGTGGTTAAAGAAGAGCAGAGAGCAGAGAGGGTTGCAGAAAAGAGGGAAAATGACGACAGGACACACATACGGACATGTACAGAACGCTTCACATTTAGATCCAATACACTGGAACATTTGCATCTTGTTCTCAACTTGTGGTGCTATCAGCCACATTATTCCCCCCTTTTAGGGTTACTGATTCCCCCTCAGGGCCAATCCGCACCTCTTCTCTCAGTCTCTGTATCTCCTTGTCTGCCTCCTCCTTCGCCTTTCTCCACCGCGCCTCACCGCTCCCCACCGCACCCCCCTGCTGCCTCCAATCCCAAGGCTCCACTGCCACTCCACCAATCACAGGGACGCCACCAGAAGCAGCACCTCTACCCACACCACCACCAGCAGCGCTGCTACCAGCTATCATAGCTGCGGCGGCGGCAGCAGCAGCAGCAGCAACCTGAGACCCCGTAGGGCTTGCAGCTCTCCCTGTCCCCAACGGACTATTACTCGATTGCCACATGAGAGGACTTGACGGGCGCCGGCCCGAGCCTATCACCAAGCCTGCCACCGAGCCTCTGAGGGAGATGGTCCGGGAGGCCCGAGGCGGAGGCCCGGAGTCTTCTGTGAGGTTCGGGGAGAGGGAGAGGCTGGAATGGCGGGACGGGAGAGTGGGAGGGGTGGTGGTGGTAGTGGTGTTGGGTGGAAGGGTGGATGAGGGTGTAGGGCTGGCTATACTGGTTGAGACAGATGCATTGGTTTGGGAGAAGGGCCAAGAAGAGGGGGAAGAGGAGGAAGAAGAGGAGGAAGAGGAAGTGTGAGAGAGGAAGCCGGAGGGGAGGATGGGGAGGGAGGAGGAGACGGAGGTGCTAGAGGATGGGACGGTATGGTGAGGCTGAGGGGATGGGGATTTGCGGAGGCTGGCCTGCTGCCCTGCCTGCTGCTGCTGCTGCTGCTGCTGCTGCTGCTGCTGTTGTTGTTGTTGTTGTTGCTGCTGCTGTTGTTGTGCCTGTGTATGGGGGTACTGGGGATACTGATGGTAACTCAATGGGGAGAAGGCTTGGTTTGAAACGAGGGAGGCGAATGAAGGAGGGGGAGCGACAGGGCCCCACATGGGGAGGGGCAGTGCGGACCCTCCATCGTGGCTGCGTGCATGCACATGCGCGATCTCTGTGGTGTTTCCAGGAGAATTCCCAGGAGTAATCCCAGGAGAGACCCCAGGTGTTCCTGAGAATGACCCAGCCTTGGCCCTACTGGTGCTGCTTCTCATCCCTGCTGCTCCAGGACCAATAGAGTTCCCAGAGGAAGCACTGCTGCTGCTGAGGGATAGAAAGTTTCCAGTAGCAGCAGCACCACCACCACCACCACTGCTGCCGCTGACACTGCTGCTAGTGAACAGCCCAGGCTTACCCCCCCCTGCTCCGCCACCGCTCCCTATGCCGCCCAGACTACCGCTGCTGCTGATACTGCTGACGCTGCTGCTGGTGCTGCTACTGCTCTTCAAATTGATGCTGCTGCTGGTGCTGATACTACTGCTAGAGCCCTTACTCATCTTGCTGCTACTGCTGATGCTGCTGGTACTGCCACTGCTGCCAGCCGAAGCCTTACTCATCTTGTTAAAGCACGCGTCACACACACGGTAGGGGCGGGTAGGAGTCGGGGCCATAGCCGCTCCTAGCAGCTTGCGGGGGCTGCAGGCGTGGCAGACGGGGAGGGAGCAATTGTAGCAGTGGTGGCGGATGCGGGCAAAGGAGAAGGCCTGGCGGCAGAGCGTGCAGTGGTGGTGGTCTGAGCCCTGTGCGTGTCTGTGCTGACACACCACTGCTGTACTCGCTGGCCCACAGGACACCTGATGTGGAGAGGCGACAGGGAGGGGCAGATAGAGAAGTTGAGGAGAGATAGAACGAAGAGCGTGCAGTGGTGGTGGTCTGAGCCCTGTGCGTGCCGGTGCTGACACACCACTGCTGTGCTGGCTGGCCCACAGGACACCTGAGATGAATGGAGAGAGGGAGTGATAGTGAGTATAGAAACGGACACCCTCCATGCCCCACCCTCCATCCATACCCCATTCTCAATACACCATCCTCCATGCCCCACCCTCCATGCCCCACCCTCCACGCCCCACCCTCCATACCCCACCCCTCATGCCCCACCCTCACGCCCCACACCACTGACTCAATGACTCACCGCCGACAGCACGCGCTGGTCTCTGATGGATTCAACTCTCGTAGGAACCTCCCTGTCCCGCACGTCCCCATGCCCCAGCTGCCCGTGACTGCCCCGTCAACAGCTCACCCCATATTCCATGCCCCCTCTATACGCCCCATCCACTGACTCACCGAGAGCACGCGTTGGTCTTTGATGGCTTCAACTCTCGTAGGAACCTCCCTGTCCCGCACGTCCCCATGCCCCAGCTGCCCGTGACTGCCCTGACCCCATGTGAAGAGGTCCGATGATGCTGTGAGCGCTGCTGTGTGGTGCGTGCCGCATGCTATCTGCTCGATCTGATTGAATAATGGAGGCCCAGACACAAGGGCTGGGAAAGGGAGAACGGGGAGAGGGGATAACGGGAAAAGAGGCCTTATGTGACTGCACGGGCCAGCTGGCACGGTATTTTAGGTGCCTAAACGATTACTACAAGGGCCAGCCAACTGCTCAGAGCTTCTGAGGCTAAAGCGAACACATGGCTTGCTCATGCGATGGCTTCACATGCATGTGTGCTGCCATCACATGGCTTCACCTGGAGTGTGGCCATCCGCTTGGGGGTTCCCTAGCTGCCCATGAGCTGCTGACCCCATGGCGTACACATGGCCTGATGGTGTGAGCGCCACCGTAATATCCTGCCCGCATGCCACCTGCCAGGGTGGGGCAGGGCATAGGGAGCAGGGTGAGGGATGGCAGGGCATGAGGAGCAGGCGAGTTGACCCCATGGCGTACACATGACCTGATGGCGTGAGGGCCACTGTGATGTCCTGCCCGCATGCCACCTGCCGGGGGTGCGAGGGTATGGCACAGCGTATGGGGAGCAGGGCGGCAATGTCAGGAGAATTGATGTCATTCTGGCTGAGAGAAGCATGGCATTATGGCTGCGGGAGGGATGGCATCACGGCTGAGAGAGGAATGGCAGGAGAATCATACCTGGGAGATGTCAACTTGGCTGAGAGCGTCTACTGCCTTGGGCAACAGCTGCTGCTGCTTGTCGCCATGCCCCAGCTTGAACCTATCTCCATCACCCCATGTGTACAGCCTTCCGCCTTCAAACGGCCCGGCTACCCCCCCTGCTGTCACGCCCCCTGCTAAGCCTACCCCAGCTAATCCCCCTGCTTTTGTACCTCCCCCTATTCCCACTGCCCCCCCTGCTCCCGCTCCTGCCCCCCCTGCTGCTACTGCTGCGCCTGCTGCTGCGGAATCGCCTTCACTCGTTACTGCTGAGGATGTTGCTGCACCGTCGCTTGCTGTAGTGGCGCCTGAGCTTGCAGTGCTCGGATGGGTGCCTGCAGTGCTAGGGGCGTGCACGACTGCTGCTGTGTGCCACACGCCACAGGCAACGCGGGACACCCGCATGCCTCGAAGGGACTCTACTTCCTTGGGGGATGACACAATGCTGCAGCGGAGTGTTTGTGGGGGGCAACAGGAGGTAAGGGGGTAAGGGTTGCTTGCAGTGGTGGGGGCATGCACGACTGCTGCTGTGTGCCACACGCCGCAGGCAACGCGAGACACCCGCATGCCTCGAAGCGTCTCCACCTCCTTGGGGGATGACACAATGCTGCAGCGGGGATGGGGGTAATTGGGAGGGGGAGGGGGGGGGAAGGGACAGGGAGGGAGGTGTTTGAGGGGAAAATGGGGGTGGGTGGGTGGGAGGGAGAGAAGGACACGACTGCTGCTGTGCCACACGCCACAGGCAACGCGGGATACCCGCGTGCCTCGAAGGGACTCTATGGGGGATGAAATAATGCTGCGTTGGGGTTGAAGGGGGACGGGGGGAGAGAGAAAACTATTTGTGCAGAGAATGGGGTAGATGGGAGTGGGAAACAAATGGGGTTGGACGCATCAGCGAAAGGGATAGAGGGGGGGAGAGACAAGAGGGAGGTGTTGGGGCAGGATGGGGAAAGGAGGCGGGGGAGGGAGTACAAGGGGTGGGAGAAGAGGAAGGTGGGTGAGAGGAGGAATCGGGAGGGGTGGGAGAGGGCAAGGGGAGGAATTAGGAGGGTTGAGAGAGGAGGGAGGTGGGCGAGGGGAGGGATTGGGAGGGGTGGGAAAGGAGGGAGGGGGGCGAGGGGAGGAATTGGGCGGTTAGGAAAGGAGGGAGGCGGGCGAAGAATTGCCAAATAAGTGCTTACTCGCAGTTCCCATGCCCCAGCGCTCCAAATGTCCCATCTCCAAACGTGAACAGCTGGCCTGTAGCCGCTACAGCCGCCACGTGCCACGGCCCACATGCCACCTGCACCAGATACAACCCGTCCAGGGCTCCCCCCATGCGCCTGGGCACCCACTGAGGCATGTCCTCGTATCCGCCCTCCCCCAGAAGGCCCCTGCCCCTTCGGCCGTCCCCCCAGAGAAACGCCTCCCCTGCTCTTGAGAGAGCGAGTGTGACGAAACTGCCGCAGGAGACCTGGGGGATGGGCGGAGGATGGGGGAGGGGAGGATGGGGGGACGATGGGGGGAGGACGGGGGGGAATGGGGGGAGGATTGGAGGGGGGGAATGACGCAAGGATGAGGGGAGGATGAGAGGGGGATGAGGGGAGGATGAGAGGAGGATTGGAGGAGGATGGGGGAGGATGGGGGAGGACGAGGGAGAATGGGGTATGCAAACCAGGTAACCAAATCACTGCAAGAAGCAGCTACCCCATTCACTCACTCACCCCACTCCTATTCACCCACCTCGCACCATCCACTCACCCCACCCCCATTCACTCACCGCACCCTAGTTGCTCACCCCACCCCCATTCACCCATCCCGCTCAATTCACTAACCTCGCCCCATTCATACATCTCACCCACTCACCCACCTCATCCATAGGAATACCATCCAGCCCCTCTACCAGCTTCGGGTTTTCCAAGTCCCTCTCACGCCCTGACCTGTCCCAGCCCAGCCCCCATTCACCCATCTTATGCCACGCAGTCACCTCACCCCATTCACAACCATGCACTCACCTCATCCATGGGGATACCATCCAACCCCTCTACCAGCTTCGGGTGTTCCAAGTCTCTCTCACGCCCCTGACCTGTCCCAGCCCAGCCCAGCCCCCATTCACCCATCTCACCCCATGCAATGCGCTCACCTCACCCCATTCACAACCATGCACTCACCTCATCCATGGGGATACCATCCAGCCCCTCTACCAGCTTCGGGTGTTCCAAGTCTCTCTCACGCCCCTGTCCCAGCCTCCCCCCTCCCTCCTCCCCCCAGCAGAACACCTCCCCTCGCCTCGTCACCAGCGCTGCATGCCCCTCCCCACATGCCACGTGGCTCACATCCAGCACCACTCCAGAATCCAACTGTTTCGGCACCACTGAATCAAATCCGGGGATCGGAATTGCGCTACTCGTCCCACGTTTCCGCAATCCGCCCCCGCCTAACGCCCCATCCCCCAGCCCTTCTCCCCACATAAACAAATCCCCCAGAACCTCACTCCCGTCGTCCCCTGTACTGCTGCTCGCAGCACTCGGTAAATACCCCGACCCGTCGCTAGACCCAGAGTAAAAACCTTTCACGGGCAGCCCGGGGAGCAGTTCGGCACGGTCGGCTGAACGAGAAGAGGGAATAGCTGTGCTGTGACCTGGAGGTGCTGCTGCGTAAGGCAAGGTGGCACTTGCAGGGCTGGAACTACTGGTATTGGCAGCAGCACTGGTATTTGCTGCGGTTGCGGTGGTGGCTGTGGCAGAGGTGGAGGAGGGGATGGAGGGCGAAACAGTGGTGGTGGTGGCGGTGGTGGTGGAAGGAGGTTGGGATTGCACGGAAACCCCTCCGATAGACAGCGTGTCAGAGAAATCGTCCAAGTCACTGACGTCCGTCCCCGCTTCACTGCACGGCTGGTTCATGCTGCAGCTCCCAGGAAACGTCCGGGCAGACCCAGAGGCTGATGACCCCCCTGCTACAGTGTTTATGCTCCCGGGAAACAGGGAGCTTCTCCCAAGAATGCTCTCGTGAAGAGATGACATGTCATGTGCCGATCTAGAAAAGTTCATGCCTGTGCCTGCACCTGTGCTGCTACTGGTACCTGTCTCTGCTCCTGCTCCTGCTTCTACCCCTGTGCCTGTTTCCATGCCCGTGCCCACGCCACTCCCTGTGCCTCTGCTCTCAGGTGGGCTCCTAAAGTCGGAAAGGCTGCCGCTTTCATTGGGTTCCACAGGCGGGGATGACTGAGGACGGGGGGAGGGCGGGAAGGGGGAAGGGACAGATGCGGGCGGTAGATTGAGGAACAAAGGAAGGGAAGAAGAGAGCGAAAGGTGCAGAGTTCGTGACGGGATAAGGAGAATAAAGGGAACGGGACAGGGACAAGACGATTAAAGGGAGAGTCAGAGCCCCTGACGGAAGCCTACCTCTACTCTCTGTCTGAAGGGGGACATGTCGGGAGACCACTCTCGAACCTCATCCGGGAGACATGGACGCGGATCTACGGTGGCTCAACCCTAGGCACTATAATTTGTGGCCTAACAAAAGACGCAGGGCGCCTATTGTTTCTCCCCAAAGCCTACCTCTACTCTCTGTCGGAAGGGGGACATGTCGGGAGACCACTCCTGAACCTCATCCAGGGACGTGGACGCGGAGCGACGGTGGCTCAACTCTAGACGCTCTGAACTGTGGCCTACCTCAACACGCAGGGCGCCTATTGTTTCTCCCCAACTCCTACCTCTACTCTCTGTCGGAAGGGGGACATGTCGGGAGACCAGTCCCGAACCTCATCCAGAGAGATGGACGCGGATCGCCGGTGGCTCAGCCCTAGCTGCTCTGAATTGTGCCGGCATCTCTCTCCACTCTCTTTCTGAACACGCAAGCAGCCCATTGTCTCTCTGCCAGAAACCTACCTCTACTCTCTGTCGAAAAGGGGACATGTCGGGAGACCAGTCCCGAAAATCATCCAGAGAGATGGACGCGGACCGCCGGTGGCTTGACCCTAGCCGCTCTGATTTGGGTCGCCGGTTCCTCTCCACCAGAGCACGCAGGCCCGTGTACCACATCTCCGCCTCCTCCGTGTCCTTCCATACCTGCAGGGGGATGGAGAGAGGATTTACGAGTCGACTAAAAAAATTATGGTGGCTTGACCCTAGTCGCTCTGATTTGGGCCACCAATTCCACTCCACCAGAGCACACAGGTCGGTGTACCACATCTCCGCCTCCTCCGTGTCCTTCCATACCTGCAAAGGAACAACAGATGACCATACAGGCATTAACGGTCTAATCTGTATGTTGTCATTTCCTCTCCACTAGAACACGCAGGCTGGTGTACCACATCTCTGCTACTTCCGTGTCCTTCCACACCTGCAGGGGCATGGAGAGAGTGCATTAAGAGCCTCAAAAGTTCCAGAAACAAAATAACACGCTAACAAGTGTAAGGCAAGCCCAGAGGCAAGTATGCGCAGCATGCTTGTGTTGCAGGAAAACAGGACACCAGGTTTCCTGGGGAAGGTAGTACGTACGACGTCGAGCGGTCGTTCTCCTTCGCCGAAAATAAGGGAGAAGGACTGGTTGTCCTTTTCGCTTCTGGACGACCGAGCGAAACTGCCCTGGAGCACACAATCAGCCAGAAACCAGCATCCACAGGCAATTGCGTGAACGAGCGGCAGGTTTGAGGAGCCTAAAACAACGGAAACGTGAATTCAGCAGATGTAACGTCCGAAAAGCTTAATATTCTTGTGGAATCCGTACCGTTCGCTGGCCCCAGAGAATCTGGCTGACGTTGGCCAGAGGAAACGTTTTCTCGCGGTCGCCAGAAATGTATACGAGATCGCACTCGTCCTGCGTCGGCAGGAATGGCGAAGCCATGTCAGGCAAACCCTTGAGAATCAGATGCCTAGGTAGGAAAACGAGCTATGAAAAATGTGAGGGGATGTTACCGTTGTGACCCGAAGGTAGCAGGCTCGCGGCCGGCCAAGGCGGGAATACTTCAACAGCCGACTCCCTTTTTTCATTGCGATAATAGCCTGCGCGCACGCGTCGGGAGATTACCGGAATATTCGTAAGGCTTTCATTTCTCACCACACACAAGAACTGTCAAGTAGAAGACGGAAAGAAACAGTCTGCTTCCCCTCATTTTCACCATGACGCTAACCTGTTCAATCTCCCTGTCTGATACGGGACGCATTGTGGTTTCCGCGAAGCGAGGTGCTCCGTAAACTTTAGCTGACTTCATCGTGTCTTGGTGAGTGATCCGCTTTCAAATAAATAATTAAGTTAATAGCATTAAAGACAAACGGAGTCAAGTTGTAACAGCATCACCCTTGTCCTTGAAGGTGTTTGCATGCCGAATCTTATGGCGGGGGTGATATGCCACATGTACGCATAGTAAACAAGCAGATTATTATATTGTCCAGCATGGAACTAAAGATTGCAAACGTAGCCCTCAGTTATCTACCGCGATATGCTATTGACCCTACGTGAGCAACGAGCGACTCGCCTTGACCTATCCAGGCACAACGCATCAGAGGAGGTGCGGTGCGGACGAAATCGCTAATCGCTATGGCTGCTGATGGAATCTGAACCCGATGAGGAAGGTGGTGATGGGGTTCGCGAAGTACAATCCCAAGGGCAGCATTTCGCACAAGTTTCAAGAGAGGCCGTTTGTCAGGTCGTTTGATTCTGACCTCCGAAGTCCTCCTTCCTGACTTTTTTAACTCTGCCAGGAACTTTGGCCGTCGATGCAGAAACGCTGCGAAATTTGGAAACAGACCGGCGATGAAGGGAGACGCCCCTGAAACTGGCGGTCATAACACGGAAGATTCGTGATCCCACAAGGCGAGTGGCTACGAAATGTATGGGGCATTTATCTTAGCGGTAACACTCATCGGGGTCAATCTCACGCGAGTAAAGCCACGTGTTAAAATCGTAACCAAAGTATCTTCTGATTGCCTACACGGTAACTTACATTGCCAACCTGGTCAGCATTATTTCCAGACTGGTAATGAACAGTGCATTCCGAACTCCAAACTGGTAACTCGTCAGAACAACCGCGCTGTACACCGTACGTACCCTGTATGGCTCGGCAAAACGGAAAATGAGATGGATATTTGCTTCACATTGTAACATTTATGTCTTAATTTCACATCTATAACTTGACCACAAGTAAATGAAAGGAAAACAATAAGTGCTAGCAATTTGCTTCATTTTGATTTCGTAATCCCTAATCAAGACAATAATTTAACACCAAGAATATGTAGTTAGCATTTACCAACACAATTAAAATGAAGTGAAGTGCAAGAACTTATTGTGTTCCTTTCATTTTCTTGAGTAGGTTACAATGTGAAGCAAATATCCATCTCATTTTCCGTTTTGCCGAGTCATACAGGGTACGTACGGTGTACATTGCGGTTGTTCTGACGAGTTACCAGTTTGGAGTTCGGAATGGACTGTTCATTACCAGTCTGGAAATAATGTTGACCAGGTTGGCAATGTAGGTTACCGTGTAGGCAATCAGAAGATATTTCGTTATGATTTTGACACGTGGCTTACCTCGCGTGAGATTGACCCCGATGAGTGTTACACTAAGATAAATGCCCTGCAGGCCGCCGAGTGGTTGCGACAGGGCACAGGCTCCGAGTCATTGGTGGCGATCAGGGCCTAAGTTATCAGGGCAATTACCCTGTTTTGACTGAAATTATAGGGTGTTTTTTCTAGGAGCCCTGATTTTCACAAGGTTTTTTCCGGACCAGCCCGTAAAACTGAAGGGTGATTTTTGAGTCAGCTCGGATCTCTCCGGGGAGTTCTCAAGGGGACCCGTATAATTTTAGCAGACATGTTCTCCCCGACCTGCCTTGCATTCCTCTCGGTCTCCCTCTAAACACACGTTGGGCCAATTTTAGTGAATTTCCTAACCACTCTCTCCTTGTTGGCCTCCATGTGTCTGATTGCCCCGTTCTACGTCGACATGGCTTAGAAGGCCAATAAGGAGAGAGTGTCTGATTGCCCTGTTCTCCCTATGTACTCTTCCTCATCGTATTTTTTTCTAAGTCTACAAAAAGTATCTCGCTCACCCCTCCAGAGCCACTCCATCTCCAATCTCCCCAGCCCTCGCGCAACCCACTGTGAGTTTCCCGCGAAATTCTGGTAATGCATGTTTTCAGGCCTTTTCTGGCTCGAACCCGGATTCGTCAAGGTTTTTTTCCCGCTGGCTCGGATTTTACAGGGTCTTTTTCACAGGGGCCCGGATCGTCCGAGCTAGCAAAAATCCTAGCAATACCCTGGTGGCGATTCCACGTGGCTGCAACTAACGGCACCAGTCGCTCGCTGAATTCTAGGGCTGGCGAAAGGCCCGTGATTCGGATTCGGAATTGCGACAGCGTGGTGGTAACCGTAACGTATTGCATTTTGCTTCCATGTACATTCAGAGTGCCTGGACCTGGAGGCTGAAACCGCACAGGGTAGAACAGAACCACCTCCAAGGAATGAACCCCCACCCCAAGCAGAACCTCGTCCCGGCAAGCTTGGGAGGGACCCCAGATAGGGACTATGACGTTTACAGAGCATAGGTAAACATAATCAACTACGAAAAACTGAGGCTAGAGATGCATATTTGGTGCAGTATGTCGGAATAGGGCTACAGATCTCATCACACGAATATTTTAAACTAAAGATAACCATATGAAATTTCCATGATATAATTGAATAATGATCAATTAGTTTTTAAAACTTTGAATCGAAATACTCTTTTTGCATCTGAATAAAGCAACTCTTCTGAATAATGATAAATGCAACCACCAATCCCCAGGGAAAAGGAGTACTGTCGCTTGGAACGAAGCCGATAATGACCGACAATTTCCCTTGCCATATCCACCTTCACGGGTCACAACTCGAGACCCTCCCCTTCAGCTCTCACAATCGCACCGCTCTTCACGTAACGCGCAGCTTTCCCGCCACTATCAGGAGCAACGGTACTGGCTGGAAGTTGTTATCTCTTGTCACATACCGCCAACGATATTAGCGAACCATGGCTCCAGAGGACGACGTCATGGATGAGCATCAAGAACGCGAGAGCACTCCGGCTCGAGCGGATCCCGCCGCGGAAGGCGCGCAAGATCGCGACGCGGGTGGTGATCCGTCCGGAGCCGAAGCGGAGAATTCAGATGCGGAGGTTGCTATAAAAGGTCCTGAGGGGGAAGATGCTAACAATATAGCAGATGCCAGTGCAGACAACGACGATGCTGGTGGAGTCGATACCAGGCCTTTTGATAACGAAGATGTTAATAACGGTGCCGACGGTGCGGCTGAAGGCGATGAAGTCGATACTAGGTTAACGGATACCGAAGCTGGAAACGGAGCAGTTAATACCGAAACCGGATCGGTTGTCGAAGCGGAGAAGCACAGTGAAGCGGATGGTAACCAGATGAACGGGCTTGTAACGGACGGCGGTGAGCATAAGGGGCAAGAAGACTCAGACAAGGAACCGGAGGGTGAAGCGAAGGACACGGATGCTGAAGGGACGGAAGCGGGTGCTGAAGCAGCGGTCAACGGAGCCAACGGGGTCAACGGGGTCAACGGGGTCAACGGTGTCGCGATGACGAAAAAAGAGAAGGAAGCGGAGAAGCGAAGGCGGCGAAAGAAGCAGAAGAAGAAATCCAAGGCAGGGAACAAAGGAACAGTGAAGGAGGAGGAAGAAGCCGAGGACGAGAAGCCTAAGCCGGTAGGCTCTTTCGGGGTGTCCATGTATTCCCATCTACGGTTTCCAGTTTGGAATTTCGTCTAGGGTTCCCATCTCGGGTTTTCGTCTAGGGGTTCCACTTAGCGTATTGCTTTAGGGTCTCCTTTTCGGATGTGCCTCACACTACATTCCTTTCACTTTTCGAACGCATCCTTTGTCTCTCCCCTCCTTGGGATCTCCGCCTGCCTTTTCAGGTGCTGGCAGGAGTGCAGGTGGAGTATGTCACAGAGAAGCCGGAGATTGAGGGAGAAGGATTCGAGGATTTTCTGAAGATCTTTGAGAAGTTCGCCACTGTGGAAGAGCCTAAGGTATGCAGAAATTATTCGTAGGCGCCTCAAAATTCACACTGCGTAAGAGCTTAAGGTAGTTAAGCGGCTAGAAGAAGCTGTTAATTATGACGGTTTTCTGTCTGCAACTTTGTGTATGTGTTTTTTCAGGCATTTTTTTTCCTGAACTGTCTTGTGAACAGGAAGAGGAGAAGGAGGATGAGGAGAAGGGAGAGAAGAAGAAGAAGAAAGCGGATTCGGATGATGAGGACGAGGATGAGGAGGAGGAGGACAAGGAGAAGGGTGTGAGCAACAAGGAGAGGAAGGTGGGATGCTCTTGCTGATGCTGATGCTGCTGCCAATGCTTGCCCCATTAGGCTGCGTTCAAATGTTTGTCATTTGATTATTTTGTCACGGCCGGGCCTCTGACTCTGCTCTCTGCCTTTTCTACCAGTCAAGGAGTCTGTCCTTTACATCCTATTCCATGTCAAGCATTGCATGCCACGTGCCAGCGCATACCATGCCGTTCATGCAAAATGATGCCAATATATGCCATTTGACGCCACGTCCCACCCACCCATCCCATGCCATGCACACACCATCAGATGAAGAACAGAATGAAGGTGGGCGAGCTGAAGCAGATCTGCGCGCGCCCAGAAGTTGTGGAGGTATGCTATTGCCTGCTGCCATCCACATCACATGTCATGATGTCATGACGCCACCATGTCACCATGTCATGTCGTCACCATGTCATGTTGTCACCATGTCATGATGCCGCAACGTCATATGACACCATGGCATGACATAACCACGTCATATGTCGACATGTCATGATGTCACCATGTCACTTACTGATTGCGTTCTCCACAGGTGTGGGGCGTTACAGCATCAGATCCTCCGCTCTTTTCTTCTTCCACCCCCCCACTTCCTCCCTTTCCTCCCCCCCAACCAGGTGTGGGACCCCACAGCATCGGACCCTCGCCTGCTCGTGTACCTCAAGGCCTATCGCAACACCGTCCCTGTGCCACGCCACTGGTCGCAAAAACGCAAATACCTCCAGGTGATGCCACCCACCCTTTAGGCAATGCCGCCCACTCTGCAGGCATTACGGAACGGTGCCTCCCACCCCCCCTCACTATGTCCAAACAAAACCTTATGCATGCTAGCGATACGTGCTAGCTAGCGCATGCGCGGGTCCTGCCTCGTGGGTCTTATTTCTTCCTTCGGCTGCTGCAGGGTCTGCGTTGCCTGCCCTGCACCGACCTGGATCTTGCTTCTGGTACACCCGGCTGTTACTACCTTCCTACTACAATCCCGCAGTGTGGTGGTTTAGGAAATCTGATGGAATTTGACGGTGAGCATGGGGCTAGAGAGCTTTTGACGCGAGACAGTCGAGTGTCTCCGTTCCTTCATCCCGTCTATTTCCATTATATCTCGCACCCCCTATGTGTTCATGTATCCCAAGCTAGCAATTATTTTTTATTTTCTCCACATCTCTTGTTTGCTGGAGCCTTTTCACCTCAGCAGTAGGGTAGGTTCCACTGATCGGCATTGGAGTGTGCATTTCCTCTTTCACTTGGCAGATTCTCCGTGAATTCTTTGAGCAGAGAAATTGGCTGGGAAGGCTCATGCGTGGGATGCTGAAAGACAAGAAACACGTTTCCTCCCCTCCATTTCGCATTTTGTCACCCATGTTTATCTTTTTATTGTGCGCATTTTGACGCGGCCAGGCCACTGCCCCTTGTTCCAAATCAAGCAGATACTAACATTTCTTCCTTGTTTCCTCCTTTTCTCTCCCATCTTCCCATCCCTCTCTCTTCCCCCTCCTCCTATTCCCCCCTTGCATCGCCTATCTCTCCTCCTATAAATCACCTGCCACTACTACCGCCCCACACCTTTCTCCCTCCTCCCGCCACCTCTTATCGTGGCCTCGCCCCGTCTACTCTCTCCTCCACCTCCCTTTCCAACCTTCTCCCTTTCCCCCCTCTTTTCCTCTCCCCCATTCTCTCCTTCCATCCTCGTCCGTCCGTGCTTCTCTTATCCTCTCTCGTTCCCCTGCCCACCATTCTCCATCTCTCACGTGCAACTCATTTGCAGGGAAAGAGGGGTATCGAGAAGCCTGTGTGGCAGCTTCCGGACTTCATCGCTGCTACAGGCATTGAGAAACTCCGACAGGTGAGTGTGTGCACTATTTCTTTGATCCATCTGCTGCTCCTCGTTGCTTCTCTGCAAGAGGGGTATCGAGAAGCCGGTGTGGCAACTGCCGGATTTCATCGCTGCTACAGGCATTGAGAAGCTCAGACAGGTGGGCGCCTTATTTCGTTCCCTTGTTCCTCCTCTCCCTGCTCCCGTCTCCTCTGCCTGCTCCCCTCTCCCGCCCTTGAACGTGATTATGCAACACCTGAATTAATCCAACACTTCTTGCTGCCACTCTCCTCCCACTCCCCTCCCAGGCATACGCGGAGAAGGAGGACAGCAAGAAGATGAAGCAGAAGCAGCGTGAATCTCTTAGACCCCATACTGTGTACACACCAAACTCACACCCTTCCCTCCCTTTTCCCTCCCCCGATGTGAATCGCCCCCTCCCAGGCGTACGCGGAGAAGGAGGACAGCAAGAAGATGAAGCAGAAGCAGCGCGACCGCATGCAGCCCAAGATGGGGAAGATGGACATCGACTACCAGGTGGGTGCCGTGCCGTGCTTTACCTGGTGCCATGCCATGCCGTGCCCTTTTAAGCAACCTCCACTCACCGTTCGCTGAGTCTACTTTTCTCAACTCGGGCTTGTTCTTCCGCGTTGCACTGTGCTTCCCCCGTTCCAGGTGCTGCACGCAATGTATTTTCTTTTCAAGTACCAAACAGGCTAAGCCATGGCATTCTCATATGGTGTTCTCTCGCTGTCTATCTTATCCTCTCTCGTATTCTCCCCAGGTGCTGCACAATGCGTTCTTCAAGAACCTGTACTACAATGGCACTTCCTCATAACAACATTGCACTCACATGGGCGTTCGCACCCCTCTTCTTCTCCCCCCCCGCAGGTGCTGCGCTGCACGACGCCTTCTTCAAGTATCAGACAAAGCCCAAGCTCAATTTCTGAGACGCCTTAAAAGTCCCTGTCCCTCCATTTTGATCTTATGCTCTCCCTTCCCCCGCTTTTTCCGCAGGTGTTGCACGACGCCTTCTTCAAGTACCAAACAAAGCCCAAGCTCACATACGTGGGCG